TGTTAGTTGATGTTGTTGGTGTTTTAGTTGGGTGATTGTTAGACAGGAGGTGTGATGCGTTTAAATTGAGTTTGGCGTCGGTGTCAAAAGTATTCACTGCTGTATGTTAAGCAAGCGTTTGTTAGCGAAATATGCACTTGGAAGAATAAATGGTAAATTACACTTGGCTATTTGATGCAATCAAAAACAATAGTTGTGTATGTAATTATTATTTAATAACCGCAACGTATTTATATTTTTTGCTAATCACAATCAGTCAGTCACATGCCAGAATAAACAGGCCGATTATTTTACGATTTATGATCACTTCCAACTGTTGTTGTTTCCTTAGTACAAACACGCACACAATCAGATCCGACAGGGCTTGCAGTTATAGCAACAAGTTTTAATTCAAATTATGAATTACTAACGTTTTTTGGCTTATTTTTCGCAAATGAAAACACAAATTAAGAATAAAAATGAAAAGGCAAAGTGGTATTAAAATCTTTTCCGTTATTACATCTACTTGCATTCAATTCTCACCGCGTACTAACCACAAATCAGACGGAGAGTGTTTGGTTGAATGGCTTTGTTGTTATTCGATGTTTTTCCTATGTCTCACCAGAAAGAAAACGAAAGACGTTATCAGTTGTTAAGAAGGAGAGCGAATATGCACAGAGAGTATAACACTCAATCACCGCTGCTCATTTGTGTTGTTTGTGTTAATTACATTACCAAACCAAATATAACAACCAGCCAAGTACTTGCTCGCATACATACCAACCGATTGCAAGAAGTGAGAAGACAGATTGTTTGGCTCTCTTTAAATAATTGAATGTGTTGGAATTTTACAGGTAGGTGATTGGATAAAAGTAAGAGAGAGTGAGAGAGAGATGTTGTGAGAGCCAAATTTTCTAAAGCATTGTGCGTCATTAATATGACAATGGCAACGTTTTACCAAATATTTTTCTTGCTATTGACCATGTTTTGTCAAGATCTAAACCATTTAACCTTTACTTCTGTTATAGATTTGTATGTATGTTCTTAACATCAGAGTATTGCAGCTTCAATTAAGGAAACTGGAATCCAATACCTTCTACAATAAGCAGAGTGTTATACTAACTGTGCCATTTAGTTGGCAGAACTTTGAATAATTCGTCGGAAAAAGAATAAAGTACCTTTACATTCTTGTTGTGCATAAAAGTCCATTACGGTTCAGCCACATCCGTCCTCCGTCTGCCTTTATGTCTATTGAAACCAGGATAGTGCTCTCAATACTAGCATTAGAAAATGGATATTACTCCTAGGATATTTGGCATTAAAAAAACCTCCTTAAAGTTCCTACTGATTTTTATACCCTATGTTATGTTAGAGCACTCCAGCATTTTAATGTGACATCAGCAGAAATGGTTCGAAAACTAAAGAAGCGACTTGATCGAAACCCGCGTCTCAGGGGCCAAAAAATGGCTCGTGAGCTGAACATATCACAATAAAGCCTTTGAAACTCCAAAAAGTGCAAAAACTTACACCGCAACAGAAAGAAAATAGACTCAAAAGAGCTAAAGAGTTGCTTCGCTTGGCCGAAAGTGGTCAACTGCCGAATTTGGTTTTCTCCAATGAGGAAACATTGGTTGTCCAGCAGTTTGTAAATAAACAAAATGGTCGTGTTTACTTGCCAAAGAGGTCAGACAAAAATGTGCACCTTCCCTTGGCCACCAGAACTCAAGCGCCAGTCATGATGATGGTCGATGGTCGCTCTCCGCTCGTATTAATCAACATAGAATATGTACCAAGTTACTCATACTAAAGCGTTTCTTTTTAATTTAAAATTGTTTGGGGTTTGATCTGAAAGAAACACAAATTCCCATCCGCAAAGTAGGCAAAGAGTTTTCCGTCATTAAACTGTACCTATTCCATTTACACACAAGGGCACAGGTATGCCCTCACCTATAGACATATATATGCTAAAATTTATGAACCCATGTCTTCATTATATAAATACTGCAATTACCTCCCATTTCTTTAGATATTCTTTCCAAAAATACCGGCAGTTGCTCTAAGATAACCTGAATTGGCAGATTGTTTGAAACAAAACAAGAACAAACAATTGAGTTAAAAGAAAATAATCACATATAAATACATATGCGAATCTGTTCCACTTATACCTTATCGGGTTCGGTTTCAATTGACCATGCAGAAATACTATAAAATGATTTCAAGTCGAAGCAATCAATAGGTATGTTGTATTCACCCTTATTACGGTTGGCGTTGTCGTAGGCGTTCAAGTGTCGTAGACGTAGTCGTAGGCGTTGTCGTAACTAGAAATTTTTGGTATTATGTACAATTTTCGACTACGTATTTTTTGTAATAGATATGAAAAAGCAGGGTGCTCTGGAATAATACACATTTTTTGAATTTACGAGCTACCCGGTCAAAAGAAATAAAAGCGTCAGTTGAAATGGTTGAAGTAAAACGATTATTTGTTTAATTAAATATTGAAATATGTTAAGTTCTGGCAATTTTTTAACTGAGGATGAAGATGAGTATATTCAAAATGATTTAAAATTGAGGCGAAAAATAATGCGGGTTTGCTTACAGAGGGAAGCGTACAGACATCCTGGATGACCACACCCTGCTTCTGTTGCGTATTTCGGTGTAGTCTGTTTACCCTTGGAAAAGTCAGTGTGCAGGGATTGTAATTTTCTTTGTCTTCACTAATTTCAAACCCTCCAAACAGTTCCTCTTCAGTCTCCAGATCACCAGGACGCTGTTGAATTCCAATTGTTTTTTTTCCTGCATTTACAATTGTCTCTAATTGTAACAATCGTGATGCTGCTTCCCCCGTGTCGCTTAAAATGAACTGCTTGAAGGGGCTTCATCTGTAGCACGACATTCTACCTTGGTATGAACTAACTTTTTCCTCAATTTGAATTTGTAGTCGGTCCAGACTTTTATCCAGTCCTCGACTGTTCGAACCGGCGGTCCTAGGATATTGAGTTTTGCACCATTCTTCTTTGATGTTAATTTTTTTCAAGCCATTGCTGTAACCTCTAGAAAAATTTCGATTAACTGGCAAGATCTGGATCATTTCGTCAAATTGTTTCTTTGTTCTGACTATAAATATAGAAAAAGATGTACATACAAATATTTTTGTAATGTTGATACATACTTCTTCTTAAAATCCATTTTGTATATTACTTATTCTTTTGTAATGTCAATATGGATAAACTTTTGTGTGGTGTCGGCAACAAAATCTCTAACGACTATTTTTGCAGTGTTTGTCGAATAAGAACGCGTCTTGTGGTACGAAAATTGTAACAGAATTTCATACAGAGTTGTAATTTCTCGCATACGACACACATAATACCAATTAGTCGTTACGACGCATCAACTTGCAATTTTCGGTACGACTACGCCAGCCGTAATAAGGGTGATTAATATACAATTAAAATAATATAAATGATAATTTAAATAATATTACTGACATTTTGGGGGCACAATAAAGCCATACTTTCTCGTAACACGTTAACTTTTCAGTACCAATAATCTTTAAATAATTTCTTTATATTTGATCATCAGCACCTTTCGAGAAAACAACAAAACGAGCATATTTTAAATCTGAAATTAAAGTGTAACATATTATATATTAATTATTATATGAACATTTATTTTTGTTAGCTTGCCCATCTATCAACAATTGCCCTAAAAAAATTGTGAAAACTTCTACCGTTTAATCAACATTTTTGTCGCATGCGATTTTTTCTTTTGAAACAAGTTTTGAATATTGCGTCGCACATGTGTTGGAATGATTCATAGCTTGCTAGGTGAATCACACAAGCTTTTATACAAAAGCTTTTTTGATTTTGTAAAAGATGCAATGAAATATTCATTGAATATTTATCGCAGTTGTATTTTTAACATATATGATGTGTCGCGCGTACTACGCCACACAAGAGTGGTGAAAACTTTTTAAAATTTACTTAGGTCATCAACAAAGAATGTTGGAATCTCGAATGTTGGAATCTCGACCCATTAATCTGTTACAAAAACTAATTGAGCATTTTTGAAATGAATATAAAAAAGTATTTAACCACGTTATTTATCATTAATTTATATGTTCAGCCCGCCTATCCTGAATAAAATATCGGAACTTGAATTTTCCTAGATACGAATTATTTTCGATACACGAACAGCCCTTCTGTACTTAAATCGTGTACACAATTCATTCGTACTTTTCTTCTCGCAACTAGCCTACTTTCTATTTAAAATAAAAAAAAAATCCATTCTTCAAATGTTTTATTTTTTGTTCAATCGAATGTATTTTATTGAATGTTTTGTTGTTCTTGTTTAAATATACTTTTTGTTACGGTTTTTTACAACTTTTAGCCTTTTACTTCTTGTCTGGTATAGGTAGTGTTGTTGTATCAACTGATGATGTGTCGGTTGTGTGTTCTTTCATATTTGTCTATCAATTATTATTCATCAATGTAGTAAAATATATAAATGAGGATCGCCCCGTGAAGTTAAAAAATAAACTTAAAAGAAATTCGCAGTTTGAATGTAGATATGGTAAAGAGAAGTGGGGGGTAGGTTTTGGCAGGGGACATCATATAACTTAAAGTATACATTTACGCATAAAATTATAGTACATTTCGTTTGTGATCATGGAATTGTAAATTCAACCAGTATACTACATACCCCATTTATTTCACCACCTGAAGAAAGAAATGCTTAGCAAAATATCTCCAAGTGGTGGAATAATGGTGCGACCATTGTGCCATGGGAAAAATGAATATCTTTCTTCTTTGTATGGTATGACGCAAAAGAATTGTGGTATTATACACAAATCGACGATGGTATGAATTTTTGTGGTGGCTACATGACCAGTCAAAAACAAAAATTAAACAATGGATACATTTATTCTATCCCTTCAAGTGTTTTTGTTGCTGTGAATGTTTGTTGTTTTTTGTGATCTGGATCTCTAAAAAAAAAAAATAATTCAATACAAGACTTGGTACAAATGTATTTAAAATTTTGTTTTATATTTTTTGTTTTAAATGTCTATAAAAATCATTTTGAAATGTCTTGAAATTGTTTTGTTGTTGTATTTTACGAGGGGGTGGTCAAATTCACCACATCATACAATTGTTTGTTGTTGTTGAATGGTTGGTGTTTTTTTGCTTTTCTTCTTTTGTTTTGTAGGTAGTTTACAGAGGTTTTCATCTTTCCGTTTGTGATTTTTTTCTCGTTTTTGTAGGATTTGTTTTCTTAAGTTTTCATTTTTTTAATGTTAATGTAAGTAAATTATTAGAATTAGTTTTGTGTGTTATTTTTAATATATATTATATATAGTAGAGGGTAGGTTGTTGTGTGTTTTGATGGAGATTAATTAAGCCGCTACTTCTGAAGCCTCCGCACCATTTTGGACTTCTTCTTTTGAAGTTTCTTCCAACTTGGCCTTCTTTTCGGGTGTCACTTCAGCAGCTTCGTCTGTTTTGGCTTCACCCTCGGTGACTTTCCTTTTGACAGCTTCAGCAGGAGCAGAGTCTACAACAAAAATTAAAATAGAAAATATTGTTAAAAATATTTGACTTGTTTTTTTTTCGGAGTTAGTTTATTTACCTGTAGAATCGCCATTGGCAGTTTCTTCTACACCATTTTCTTCAGCAGCTGGCGCTGATTCTTCAGTAGCGGCAGCGGGAGTTTTTTCGGCTTCAGCGGCAGCAGCACCGTCAGTTTCTGTGGCAGCAGCTTCACTATCACCATTTTCCTTTGCCTTTTCGCTGCTTTCGGCGGCAGCGGCTTCACCATTTTCAGTGGTGGTTGCTTCTTCACCCTCTTTTTTGTCGGTGGCAGCAGCTTCTTTTTTGTCGGCAGCATCTGTTTTGTCAGCAGCAACTTCCTTTTCTGCTACATCCTTTTTGCCAGCATCAACTTCCTCTACTACCTTCTCGACAACGGGGGTTTCGCTGCAAAATTTAGTAAAAAAAATGTGATTTTTATTAGCGCTCAACAAATCAATTAAAAATGCTTAAACAAGTCACCTTATCTAAATACTAATTAAACATTAAAAATTTATTATTTTTTGTAGATCACTTGTGATTGATGAAAACTGTGACTCACACACACCAAAATTTTTCGAACCACAGGGAACCAGTTGTCGTAAAGTTAAATTGGTTTATTCACAAAATTACTTATTGAATTTGAAACACTTTTGCCGAAAAAAAACCAAATTGTGCATGCACGTCAACAATATTATAAAAAACTGATCTTTCTTTGTACACTGGACCTCTCCGAGTGATTAATTAGGTGAGGAATCAGAATAATTGTATTGACATAGGCCCCCCTTTCATAAATCAATCACTGATTGATTCTGTATGGAAGCATGTACGTTTTTACTGCGCAATACTACATAGCTCATAATTCGGACTCGCATAAATGGTTATGACATGGGGAAAATGTTACTCATATTACAGGATTTTTACAATGACCAAAAAAATGTATTATTCTGCTAAATATAATCAAGATGTCTTTTCGCGCTTGCCGTCTTTTAACCGTCTCTGACATTTGATTTTCACAACTTATCGAAACTCGATTACTAACACCAAGGAAAATATCGACATTACCTGCCATGCTGTCAATGTAATCTTCCATTACATTACCTTCTGCCTATAGACCTCTCCAGAGTAAAAACTTTCTCTCGTCTCTATACAATAACCAGAGATACCTTATTTAACTCTCATAATAATTAATGTTTTTAGTTCAAGTACTTACAACAACGACACAAAGATAAAGAGAAGCCGGCATATAATGTTGTTTTTGCCCTAAGGTCACGCACCTAAACATGAGGAAATTGTGTTAACCACAGAGAAGATATGTGTGTTCCTCATTTACCATGGAATTACACATCACGGCCACTGACAAACAGCAACACCACCACTAAAAATAGACACACACTCAACACATCTGCCGCTCTAAAAATTTTGTATTTTACGACTTTTTATTCCTGACAGCTTTTGTTATTTTTTTGCCATTGTATTGTTTAACGTCTCTTTTTCTCTCTTTGCCTCCCCCCTAAATAAACTAATCATCCATCAACACATTTTCTTCCAGTTGCTTCTCTCACCACACATTATATTATGCCGCCTGCCTTTTGTTACTGCAGAAACATGTGTATTTCTGTTGAACAACGACACAACAAAGAAGAATGAAAAACACGATAAAGAAGCCAAAGAACAAGACAAATGCCAAATGAGCAAAACACACATTGCGAAAATTATAGAGGAAGCGTACAGGGGGAGATAAGCAAGCAAACACACCAAAAGCATTGTTGTTGATGATGGTGTTTGTTCTTCTTCGACCACTCTGCTTCTCTCAACAACACTCCATTTTCTCTTCTTCTTCCTCTTCTTGCTATTCTATCAACAACAGCAGCAAACAAGGTGAGATGTATGAGGGGAACCAACAACAATCGTGTCATGGCTTTGGTGTTGGCAAAAAAGAGATGCAAATATGCACACAAAGGTTTTTGCGCGCCTTTTGCATTCCTGCTTTGAAAGTAGCAAGAAAAAAGAAGACGGAGAGAAGCAAATTGGGTAAATATAAGCCCCTCTCAACAGAAATACATAAAAATGTTAACACACGATGGAAAAAATAACGGACATTTGAGGAACGCTTTACTTGATACCGGCAGAGAAACGAAACACCGACAAAATTATAGAGCAGCTTATACTAACTGCCAAAATGAAAAATGGTGTGCTTTGCAAGTTGAACTAGAAAAAGCCGACGAACCTCATACTTTATGCGTACCTCAATTATGTACCGAAAACCTTCGTTTTGAAAGATGATCGTGGTGATAACACGAATAGACAAGACAAAAAATATGACAAATAATAGATACAAAAAAGAACTCAAATAATGTGCTAATAAAACAAGACCTAAGCACTCCAACAACAAATTAATATAGAGCGACGACATTTTTTGAAGGTAGAAACACCATCGAAAACGTGTTTCAAAGCTTTGGGAAACAAAGACGCAAAAAAGAAAAAGTGGGAAGAAAACAAGAAATGGCATCACCAACAAAATAAATTAAAATTCCCTCAAAAATTTACATATGCCCCCTCTTACATTTTACGCGACCCCTAAAAAAAAAAGAGGGAAATTATTTTGCAAGAAAAATGTAAATCGTTCGTAATGAGAACAGAAATCAAATCAATTAGCGTTTAGCCAGCCTGTTTTTTTGTGTGCATCTAGATTTACATATAGACACACTCAAATGGGGGGAAAAACAAAATAAAATATGCAATTAGATTGAATTTATTGGAAAATTTGGCAATGAATCACAGCAAAAGGTAGTGAAAAAATAAATGAAACGAAAATTACAAAGACAACACGCAAACAATTCGTCTAGAGAAACGAGACCTACATGATACACAATTCAATCAATTTCAAATACTGTTTTCCTATAAACATTTTTCTTCTTTAACCGGCATAGAAAAGCCGGAAGACAAGCGAGTAAATTATGCTCAAACAACATAAAATGTCTATACACATTGTTACTCTTTTCTGAGGCATGAATATATATGGTTGTTGGTTGGTTGGTTAACTTGACTTGATGCTACCAAAGCGTATACCCTACACACCGCGCCAAAACCTACCAACCTCATCTTCTTTATCACCCTGAGCCAAACTCACTTCACAAACCACGATGTATACCAGTTGGTTGGTCTGTCTGTCTGTCGGTCGGTCTCCTTACAATCCCAGCGTACATACTTTTTCCCATTATACAAACAACAACCGACGCTGCTCTGAACGGTGGTGGTGGTGGTGATGATGATGATGGCGGCGGCAATGGCTACGCCGGCAGCAGTAACAAATGCGAACACACATACACAAACACCGCAAAAATAACGAAGCTTGGCGTCTTTTTTAATTTCGAAGAAATATTTTATAACGCAAGTGTTTTCAAATGCCGCTTCATTTTAACGTCACATTGTTGTTGTTGTACATAAATAAAATCACCAACAACACGAAGGCAAAAAGGTAGACTGAAACAACTATAGCCGCTACGAGACATGAAAACTTTGGTGCCGGGCTAAGCACACACAAGAGGAAATAAGACAGCAACTTTAACCACTAAGCAAGGGACGCCGTGCATTTTTTTTTCGCAAATGCCGCTGTTTTGTGATACAGACAAAATTTCAAAATGAAAATTTTTCCTTCAGACCGACCGAACACATTTTCTAAACTTTTCTCGAGTATTTTCAACAATTTTTGTTAAATACATTTTCCAAAATGCAAAACTTTGACAATTTTTTACTTTTTCTCTGCTGAATTTGGCAAAATTTCATTTCATACTCACTTCTTTTCTACAGCAACATCAGCCATTTTGTTGGAAGTTTGGGGTTTTATTTAAAAACTGGTTTAAAAAACTTTTAAAATTGCTTGGTTTTTAAGAAATTTGTATTTTATTAATAAATAAAACACAAATCTAGTCACTTATATAGAAAAAAACTTTAGCACAATGTACAGTTAAAAAAAGAGACTTTTATTCAACTTAAACTTTTTCTACTTTTTAACACTGGCCACTGCACACGTCTGCTCTGCTTCGCTGTTAATGAACGTCTGCTCGTTGTGATTTTCTCACACAACTCATGAAGCCAATTTTAAAATGAGGAATTCGCTGATTCCTTCATTTCCCTCTCTTTCTTGTCTTCAATTCGTCCATTTTCTTCTCTTTCTTGACTGATTCTCCATCATTCTCTCTCTTTCTTTGAGGGTTGCCAGGCAATATGTTCGTTGTGTTCGGCAAGTCGTTTTCGTTGAGTTTCGTTCGGTCAATGGCAACGTCTGCAATGGCAATACGTTTTCACATTTACTTCCCCTATCGCTGTACTCTTCCCACCAACTCAGTTGCTTTTGGCTTACCTTTTCTGCTCATTATTCAGGTAGATAAATACTTAAGTTGTAACGTATTGTCGTATTGTATTAGATGCGAAATAATTACGTGAAATGACTAAATTTTACAATGAGATACAACAAATGACACATTTATTTCTGTAGGCATGTACATACATATTCACATGTTCTATACACATAACCTCTAAAGGCCAGGGAATACCTACCTATAGGTGTATTGTTTTAAATTGAATTTGCATGAATCAACGCAACTGAATCGCTAGAATTTTGCCATAAAAAATGTAAAACACACTAGAGGATATACATAACAATGTTTATGTCATTTTATAGTAATTCAATTTATATTTTAAGCTTGCATATTTTACTTGATAGTAAAAATAGAGCGATGACATTTTACTTTTGTCTGTCGTATCTTAAAGCACGTTTACATTTTACCAGATTTAAGTGGAAAGCTTTAGTTTAAATAATTTGATTGTTTATAGTGCATTTATATTGTTAAAGATTAAACCGCTTACCTATAGTTTTTTTGTCCTAATATTAACACTGGTGTACATACATGGCGCCCACTATTATTTTATGTGATATTTACATTAGAGCAAATTTAATCTGCTGTTCTTACAACATAATTTAAACTTTATGCCATGTTTATGTTAGAGCTTTTTGTAGGGTTAACATACTTTAAGAGGATTTATTTGAAGTATAAGTAATGGATATGACAATTTAAATCCAGTTGGCTAACCCCTTTGTTATGTAAACGTACAGTTAAACTTTCTACCAGACGATTAATTTTTTTTTGACCCTTCATTGTCAAATGTATATTTTGTAGTTCTTCCTTAAGTATGGGCGTGCGGCTGATAAGAAATTTAAATTTATTTTTGAACTAATATTTCTTAATTTTTACGCCTTTTTGAGGATATTAGTGGGTGAGCAAAATATTGGTTTGATAAGTCGGGTAAAACTTAATTATAGAATGGTTGAATTTGGGTTTGCTTAGGACAAGTATGAAGACAATATCACGCCTTGTAGCGGGTATTGTGAAGATTTTTTCAACATTTTTGTAAAATCTGTCACTCGTCGTACGAAAATAATATTAGATTTTATTTAAAAAATGACAAGGACGAGTTCGTCAGAAAAGGGTTGCCATATTAAATTTAGCAAATGAGTTTTCTTTTATTGTTTTGCCATGCGTTCTATTATTATGTTATCTATGTTTTAAGCTTTCATATTCTACTAACTAGTTATAAGCGAAAGGTGGCATTAATTTACAATTGCTCGTGTGTACCGAAGTTAAACTTAGATAATCGTAATGTTTACAAAGCGTTTACATTATTTAAGATAAACTACTGAAAACGTCATTATGTTACATTTTATGGAGATTTAAATGTCATATAATGTATACGGCGGGGTGACATGAAAAAAATGCAACCAACTTCAGAGTGTTGTCATTTCTAAGCCACTCCGACAGCTGTTAAAATTATCCCAGTGACAGCTCATTGTATTGTTTACAAGCCTACAAAAGCATTTTGGTGAGAATTTTCCAGAAAAAAAATTATTCGTGATGGAATTCAAGCGTGATAGTGCGATTTGGCTCGAAAACCACATGTGGCTATTGTTAGAGCACTCCAGCATTTAAATGTGAATAAATCTTTTGTGTCTCGTACCGTCGCTCGTTACCGTGATATTGGTAGCGCAGTCCGACGTCAAGGAAGTGGACGGAAGAAAACAACAACATCAGCAGAAATCGTTCGAAAAGTAAAGAAGCGACTTGATCGAAACCCAAAGAGGTCAGCTGAAAAAGTGTAGCTTCGGTTGGCCACCAGAATTCAAGCGCCGGCCATGGATGCTGTATTAAAGGCTTGGGCACGCAAACTTTCTGGCGGCAGACCTTGGAATGGTTACAAAATGAGGTTCCTCCCTTAATTTCCGGCGCACAATGGCCGCCAAAATCTCCGGATACCAATCCGATGGATTTTTGTGTCTGGACTATTTTGGAAAGTAAGGTTGGCCCTAAAAAATACCAAAGTGTCGATCACCTCAAGCAAGCGCTACCCCAGAACTACATTCGGGCAGCGTGTGACGCTTTCATTCCGCGTTTGAAGGCCATAATTCGTGCCAAAGGTGATCAATTCGAACAAATCTAAACTTATTCTAAAATTTGATGTTATTTCCGACATTTTTTGTTTTCATTCAAAAAAATTAAAAAATAAAATTAAAAATTATGGCGTTTGACTTTGTTGCATTTTTTTATCTCACCCTATATACCCTATATTTTCAGTTGATCGACGTTGTAATTCCAGAGGAGAAACATAGTTCAAGTTTGAACATATTCGTGCAATAGTTTAAATATTTTCCATACAAACAAATATAGGTATCTCACACAAAAGGAAGCAATGTTTATTTATTTTTTTGTTTGAGTCAGCATTTAAACTTTTTTTCTGAAATTAAGTCCTATTTTATAAAAAAATAAATAAATATGTAAGTATGTAGGTAGACTTTCTCTCCTACTGCATAGTTCTCTTTGACGCCTCTCGATAAAAAAGAAAACATTACTTCCTGCCTAGAGAGGCGAGGAAGTGAATCCTCAAATGTAATTAATCAGCTGTCATGTTTGCGATTTGGCTACGCATTCGTTGGTGGTTATATTTGTTCAAATGTGCATTTGCCTGATGCATGTATGTGTGTGTGTGAGAGTTTAATTGTGTGCCTGTGCTCCTCTGAAATGGGATGAAGATTTACAAAGGGATAGCAGCTGTTCTTTTCCGGCGATGGTGGTGGTGGTGGTGTATTTGTAAAGAGAGGCATTTTTATTGTACCTCTTAAAGTACAGTAACCGAAATGATCAGGGAGAAAAATACATACACATATATTACATACCTATTAAACAAAAGTATTTACACATTTTCTAAGTAAACAGCTGTAAAAAGGATTTGTGTCGCAAGCTGCAAAACGAAACCATTCTTCAATATCCTACCTGTTTTGTTGATAAACGATGTGCCTATATTTCTGCTTTCGCATTTATTTGAGTGTGTGGGTGAGAGATTGATGTTCCCGCCAACATTGGCTTCCTTTGGGGATTCGCAATTCCTTGAAATGACAATGATGTGACAGTTATGCATTTCTGTCAGCCTTCTCTGTTTTGACACATGTCATACACTTGTATGGCAAAGCTCTCTATTTCTCATGGGCCAGTCGAAAGCTTTAGCTATTCCGAATGTCCCACAAAGCTTTTTGTGTCACACTATTTTTGATGTAAGGACCGCAGGACATTCAGTCTTCTACGAGAAATAGCTTAGAAAACTATTGCGAAAAATAAATGACGGAAAATTAATACGGACAACGAAGACAAAATGAGAGAAGGGAAAGAAAAAACCTATAAAATACAATGAATTCACGGTTGCAACAAAAAAAGAAAAGAAACATACTAACACAGTGTAAATTAATAAATAACAAAGCGTTTTTAAATCCTAAACAAAAATGTCAACATCCAAATGCCTTTGAAGAAAAAAAATGTACACAGAAATGAATACAGAAGCAAGTGAATGATTGAAAAAAGCAATAACATAACATTACAAAAATAGTCCTTTCATTTTTTGCCATATACAAATGTGTATAATTCATATAGTATTCATAAATGTTTGGGTGATGAAGTAAAAAAAAAAGATATATTTGGAAACAAGTGTATCTTCTTGCTTTCCTAAGCGTTAAAAAGAAAAGTGCGATTAAATAGAAATCAAGTGTTTTCCAAAGGAAATCTCGACTATGCTAATCCTGTTTGTGCGTGTATCTCTATTTTGGCTATGATAATGATGCAGATGAGATATAGTGAAAAAGAAAACAACGATTTTTGAAGCTTCCAAAGTGTATAAATGTTTTGGTAGTTTAAAGTCCTTGCGGACATATTACCTATATTAATACATTACGGACTTAATATATTAAAACATTAGGGAATTCGAAAATTACTTCATTTAGCTGTCATCCATCCCTCCAGCAAATAGTAGCTTCAGTTTGGGATGTGTATATGCATTCAGCGACACCAACGAATTTTTACGACAGAACAATTGTAAAACTCCTTCTGTGTCAGAGATGGGAAGTTGTTAACACTAATGTTTTTATTATCTATGATATCAAGTCTCCAATAAAATGTACTTAGTAAATTCTTTTAGAGAATAACAAATATATAAGTAATCAGGTAGTATTATGCGATTCAGGGTGCATACAATTCAAACCCGCGAAAGATTAGCACAGAATAGATGTGTTTTTTTATTTTCCTCCCTTGACTAGCCATTGACTGAAAGGAATGTTGAAATTCATTGAATTTTTAATTTATTATAAAAGAAAAATTTCATGATAACATTTCATGATACCTTAAAAGGAGGTGTAATTATAAAATTATAACTGAAAATAAAAAAGTACGTTTCTTTACCTATAATTTATTTCTTTATTTTTCCTATTCTTTAACAATGTTCAATTGCCTTTCCTCATAAAATGTAGGCAGTGTAAACAAGTAAAAAGCTGTAAATTCTGCCGGGCCGAACATTGAATGCCCCCCACCATTTGGAACAAATTTGGCAATTTTCTGAAAAAAAAAATAAAATCCGTTAAAAAGTCTGTTAATATACCGCGTTTATACGACGACGCGAACCTGCATGGGTAACTTTTGTCATAAGCCATTACAAAATTCAAATGCGAAACTTGAAAAAACTTTCTGAAATCATCAAAATACCGAATATAGGGGGCCAATACCATTATATGGGGACTATACCAAAACTTGGACCTACACAGACAATTTTCTGTCATAGGCTGTAGTATCCATTACGAACTTCAAATACCAAATTTCAAACAATTCCGATGAAAAATATCGCTAAAATCATCAAAATATCGAATATCGGGAGAGACCATCATATGGGGGCTATACCAAAACGTGGACCTGCACTGACAATTTTCTGTCGTGGGCTTTAGTATCCACTACGAACTTCAAATACCAAATTTGAAACAATTCCGGTGAAAAATATCGCTAAAATCATCAAAATCCGAATATCGGGAGTACCGTTATATGGGTGCTAGACCAAAACCTGGAATGGCACAGATAATTTTCTGTCATAGGATGTAGTACCCATTACGAACTTCAAATACCAAATTTGAAACAATTCCACTGAATAATGTCGCTTAAATCACCAAAATACTGAAAATATGGGGGCATTACGAAGACGTGGACTTGCACAGATAATTTTTTGTCTTAGGCTGTAATATCCATTAGGAACTTCAAATACAAAATTTGAAACAATTCCGGTGAATAATGTCGTTACAATCATCAAAATACCGAATATTGGGAGGTACTATTATGTGGGGACTATACCAAAACGTGGACCTACATGGCCCATTTTTAATACCAAAAGTTCTACATAATATACATTTGTGTAAAATTTTATCAACCTACTTCATTTCGTTCGGAAGCTAGAGTGATTTCCACAGTCGGACGGACTAAATCGATATGGAATTTTATGCTGATCCAGAATATATGGGCTCTAAAATGTATGTTTTGAGGTGTTACAAACGGAATGACAAACTTAATATATTCTCCATACTATGGTGTAGGGTATAACAATTGTTAGGTTTTACATGCTCTTCTTAAAAGTTGTTCAAAAAAACTTCAGAATCGGCGATTTTAGAAAAAAAAGGTTGATAATAGGTGTGTACGATATACTTTCCCAATAACATACCCAGCAATTTGTAACGAGAATATTTTCTCTCTTGCAAAAAGTTATCGAATGCTTTACACTTTTTAGCTGTTAAAAAAAAACGAATATAAACTCGAAATTTTCGTACTGAAAAACTGTTACTTAACCGGAAAAATGCTTATCATCTATAAAATATGAAATTGTTGCCTAAAATATTTAAAAAGTTTCACATCACAGCAAGATGTCAATCAGCTTCTGATACTGAGTTTGCAAAGTCAACTGTCAAAATTGCTCGTTTGCTTGGTTATCGAACAATATACATTGTTTTAATATTGTTTGTGTTATATATTACTGAAATAATTTTAAGATTCCATTAATAAATATTATACTTTTTCGTTATTTGGAGCAAAAAATCGAAATTTCATAAATTTACATTTTCCCAATTACACTGATAAGTAACTCCCATCTCTGAAATACAACAAACACTCTTCCAAATTTAAGAGTACACGCATTTTTAATAATGTATTGGGTGGATTAGGCAAATGAAAACCATATTGCCAATTAATTGATTTAAATGTATTGCTAAGTGGTATGATTTTGAGTGGGGGCGGGGATAATAAACAAAAGCTTTGGCTACAATATTTTAAATATTTTTGGACATGGTTTAGTTACTTTTTTTTTGTTGCTACCATTAACTAATAAGAATGTGTGTATATATGTATGTATTATGTTATCTTGTCATTTAAAATTGAATGGTCCTTGGGAAACATTAAATATGCTTTCCTTTTTTTTTGACAGACTCAAGCAAATGCTTTGCCGTATTTGTTTAGCCGATGTAAAGTTAATCTCAGTGGCATTATGACACTCAATGTGAGAATGTATTTTTGGAGAGGATAAAAACATGACAACACGAGAGTGGGAATTTTGCAAGAGAGCCAAAAAGCTTTCCTCATTTTCTCTCTCTCTCTCGCAAAGGGACATCAATAAACATGTGGAAAAAGCGCGGTTCATTTTTTTTGTTTACATTTGCTGTTAGTTAGTCCTTTAACGGTCATTAGAAGCCAAAAACAGATGTTAGAAGTAATTCATATTTATGTAGGCACATGTGTGTAATAATTCAATTTTCTTTCCATAAATCCAACAGCAATAAACCACAATAAAAACAACAACAACAGCAACAGCAACAAAGAGAACAATGCCCTAGATCGTAAAGATAAGGTTGTGAACTAAATGTAAAAGTCTCTTCTCCTTAAAAAGTAAAAAACAAAGCCCCAAAACTATAAAACTCGCAAATTAAATAAAAACACTCAAACCAAAGAAAAACGGAAATACTCGCAAATTGTTTTTCGTCGTTGTTGCTGTTTTGCGGTCGCCATGACGGAAACCAAACAACAGAATTGCAACATTATTGAAAATGGCCATTCCATTACATCGATTGAAAAGAACCGCAAGGACGAGAATGAGTCCTCGGAAGGACCCACCGTAACCCTACCGAATTCGGTTTTAAATAAATTATTTACAACATTTTATGTCAATCAAAGGCGCGAAGCTTTAAAATGGTTCCTTTCAGCATATCTATGCTTTAGTGTTTATACTATTGGTATACCGGCTGATCAAATTATACAGAATAGAGGTAAGTTGCTGGCTGATGGCGATAAGGAGTGTTTATGGTCTTGGGAAGGTTTAACTATTGTATATAACAAATTTCTAAAATTATTATTTTTACAGCTTGCTATATTATCCTGGATGTTATAGCAATATGTAGCTGGCTGACAATGTTCGTGGCCAGCCGTTATGAGAGGGCCAAATCGAAAAAGCCTCTGCATATTGCCCTGCTAATAGACAGTGCACCCATCATAGTGTTTATATGCTTTGTAATACATTTCATTATCTATTGTGTTAATCAGCAAAAGACCATATCGCCCAGGTTTGGAAAAACAAATGCTCAAATATAAAATATTACTATAATCCGTTCTCTTTGTATTTCCCAGGGAATTATTGGGCTGGTCAATATTATTTAATTTTTTGGTTCCAGTTAGCATACCGGTAGTTCCTTATATGGGATGTTGTATGTGTTTTATAACATTTTTTGGTTACTATATTGTAATCTATTTGACATCACGCGATGATCCCATGTTCAATGAAATGGTACGAACCTAACCTCAAAAAAGCACATGTGGCCCAAATTGAAAATTGTGTTTTCTTTTTCTTTCCTTCTTTTGTTTTTTTTTTTTTTTGACCCAAAGTTAATGGCGAATATGGTTTTAGTATCGTCAGCTTTAATAATAGGTTTAATCTACTATGACATGAATGCTGCAAAGCAAAAGCGCGCCTTTTTGGAGGCCAAAAAGAGTCTAGAAGTCAAAATGATCATCGAAGAAGAATCTGCCGAACAGGAGCGTCTGCTGTTGTCAGTGCTGCCAAAGCATGTAGCTGAGAAAATGCGTCAAGATTTGGGTTCGACCAGTTCGGAACCATTTAAGAAAATCTATATGAGTCGTCATGAGAATGTGAGGTTAGTTTGTAGAGGAATTTTTTGGTTTATGTTCGAAGTGGTCACAATGGGTTGTGTTAATTGACATCCATGGTCGTGTTTTCAATTAACTTTTTTCAATATTTTTACAGACCTCTAATATGTACGTTGTAAAAATTGGATTCTATTGAACAAAAAACAACAAAAAGTGTTTTTTCTTTATAAAAGAAGTATTAAAATAGTTTTTCCCTTATCGGCAAAACACAATTTTTTATTAGTCCTCTGTCCTAATAAAAAATGTTTAATGCTTAGGGATTTAAAGAACATTTTCTTGTAATGGAACCTATTTAATGAGCTCTTCCCTTGAAACTATTTGAGGATTTCTTCTCTTCTAATTGTATAAGTTCATTGAGAGATCATCACGAACATGGAGAATGTCTTCCATTTATTAGAAGACAACTAAAGTATATAATCTGTGGAATATCTTCCACTCAAAGAAGTCCATCGAAAGGCCATTATATGAAAGAAAATTATTGGCAAAGTATTTTAATCAGAGATCCGATTTGCTCATTTTCACTCGGGAGCGAAACTTGCTCTCGAGCAGGATTGCTCAAAGGGTGGAAGTTTTGTACGGTGTCTTCTCTTCACTCTTTTGTTTTGCGTGGGAGCACTTCTGAGTCACTACTGTTTTAAAAATTAGAGTGGGAGCAGAATCATTCAAAATAGATCAAGAGTTTGCTCTAAGAGAGAAAATGAGTAGATTTGGTTGTGTGCGCGTGTGTGCAACAGCAAACCGGTTTTGATGTTGCTGTGAACTTTATAGGTAGCAAGGCAGGGGGATCAGGTTGATCGTGTACAAAATCAAAGAAAAAAATAGAAAAAATAGAAGAATGTATTGCGATGCTTGTGCTTGATTTGATTGGTTTTGTTATATTTGCAAAATATAAACACACATACAAACACAACTCTTTACTCGACAAGAGTAGATCTGCTCGATTTTGAACAAATTTTGCTCCCAGGGATACTACATGACAGAAAATTATCTGTCTACGTATTGGTATAGCTCCCATATTTTGGTATAGCTCCCCATATTCGGTATTTTGATTTTAGCTACATTATTCACCGTTTTTTTTTTAGTTTCGCAATGTGACAGGTCCACGTCGTCGTATATACCCTAATATTACGGTTACATTCGGTATTTTTAAGATTTCCACAGAATTTTTAACGTTTTTTTTTTTTGAAAATTGCCAACTTCGTTTCAAATGCTGAAAGGATATTTAAAGTTTGGTCCGGCCTCTCTATCTATAGACGGCTTTGTAACTTGGAGAAACCTATAGAAATCTGTATATATTGGACCCCTATAAGGTCTTATGTATACACGATCTTTGAACCACTGTGACCACTTCGTTGTCTCTTTCAATTATCACCATTTCAATTATCACCTAACCTCAAATTGTTCTTTTTTTCCCCTCTTGCTAATAAAACTAGTATCCTCTATGCTGACATAGTTGGCTTCACTGCCATATCGTCGACATACAGCGCCCAGGATTTGGTAAAGATGTTAAACGAACTGTTCGCTCGTTTTGATCGATTGGCCGAGGTAAATTGTTCCTGCCCATATTGTTTTTGCTTTGTTGGTTTAATTTAGTTATTGTTGTTTTGTTTTTGTTGTTGTTGCTGCCTTTTCTTGTTAATAAAAAAGTGGTATTTTTGTTTGAATTTTATAGCCTTGATAGCTATTACATTGCCCCGTTTAATCCTTTTCGTATTTTTTTGTTTCGTCCCCTTTTCTGTTGTTGTTTTTATTCTTGGTTTGGCTGTTGGCTTGTTGATGGAATTTTTTATTTGATACGAATTTGATTGGTTTACTTTAATTTTGATTTGATTAACCTTTACGAAACATTATACCGTTTAATTTGTTATGTACATATAGAAAAGAACAAAGCTATATATAATACATATGTAAATACAGGGTGTAGCAAAAGTTTGTCAATCTACATAAAAAATTAGTTTTTGTTTGATAAAGAAGACAAGTTTATGATTTGTTCTTAAACAAAAGAAATTACCAAGTAATAATAAATATTTCCATGAGAAAAAGACTATTTAAGCACAAAGTTTTTCACATAGGTTGATGTCCTTGTATTATGGTACCAAAGCATTTGACATGTCATGGTCAAAATATATATTCATCGATCCATTGCATACATTTTATTCAGTTAATTCCGACATGATAAATTACATGAAATGCAGAGCTGGGAACATTTATTTGAAAAGACTTTATCTTCTTTATTCAAAAAAGGTAAAGTACAAAGATAGGGCAAGGCAGAGTTAAAATATGGCAACTCTGTGAAAATATATCTCAAAATATGACAACCCTTTGAAAATATATCTGTTGTTATAATATCATATGGCCTTAGCGGTTCAAATCAGTTAACATTGGTATAGATATAGATAATAGAATTTTGAAATCACAATTTTGTTTTTTTCAAACTTTTTTTTTGTGAATCGTTTCTGCAATTGTGGTTTTTATATTAGCCATTTGCTCAATATGCATTTTGTTCAGTCTTTACCATTTTAAGTCTTTGTTTATTCCATCATAGCACCAACCTAATATCGGAATTTTGAGGGGTGTGAGATGTCGTGTATGATTTATTTAAAACGGGTAAATTTTCAAATATTTTCATTCCCTAATGGTGGAGAGCATGGTTTATTCAAGGTAACCTCATTTCTAATACGGGGTGAGATGAAAAAACAGCAACCAACTTCAGACTGCTGTCATTTCTAAGCCACTCATCCGACAGCTGTTAAAATTATTCCAGTGACAGCTCATTATATTGTTTACAAGCGTACGAAAGCATTTTGGTGAGAATTTTTCAGAAAAAAAGTTATTCGTGATAGATTTCCAGCGTGATAGTGTGATTTCTTTATATTTGGCTGAAAAACCACAAATGGCTATCGTTAGAGCACTCCAGCATTTAAATATGAATAAATCTTTGGTGCCTCGTTCCATCGCTTGTTATCGTGATACTGGTAGCGTAGCCCGACGTCAAGGAAGTGGACGGAAGAAAACAGCAACATCAGCAGAAATGGTTCGAAAAGTAAAGAAGAGACTTGATCGAAACCCGCGTCGCAGTGGCCTCGTGAGCTGAACATATCGCAATATTCCATTCGGCAAATATTGCAAAATGAGCTCGGGGTAAAGCCATTGAAATTCTAAAAAGTGCAAGAACTTACACCGCAACAGAAAGAAAAAAGACTCAAAAAGCTAAAGAACTGCTTCGCTTGGCCGAAAGTGGTGAACTGTCGAAATTGGTTTTCTCCGATGAGAAAACATTCGTTGTCCAGCAGTTTGTAAACAAACAAAATGATCGTGTTTACTTGCCAAAGAGGTCAGCTGAAAATTTGCACCTTCGGTTGATCACCACCGGCCATGGTGATGGTGTGGACCGCCATAACAGCCGATAGTCGCTCTCCGCTCGTGTTAATCGACCGAGGCATCAGAATAAATGCCGAATATTATCGCGAAAATATTCTGGAGGCTGTATTAAAGCCTGTATTTGGCCGCACACTTTGGACATTCCAACAGGACTCAGCACACTCCACCCAAGAATGGTTACAAAATGAGGTTCCTCGCTTCATTTCCATCGCACATTGGCCACCAAAATCTCCGGATATCAATCCGTTGGACTATAGGGTCTGGAGTATTTTGAAAAGCAAGGTTGGCACTAAAAAATACCAAAGTGTCGATCACCTCAAGCAAGCGCTTTGCCGGGAATGGGCCAAAATACCGCAGAGCAACATTCGGGCAGCGTGTGACGTTTTCATTGGCTGTTTGAAGGCCATAATTCATGCAAAAGGTGAACAATTCGAACAAATCTAAACTGTTTCTAAAATTTGATGCTATTTCCGACATTATTTTGCTTTCATTCAATAAAATTAAAAAAAAAAAATGTAAAAAGTATGGCGTTTGACTTTGTTGCAGTTTTTTTATCTCATCCTGTAATGATATCCAGCTCTGCATTTTTCTGTAGTTTCCCCATATCTACCTTGGGTGGAGAACATAAAATATTTGATTTTTAAAGTTTTACAACAATCTGAATAAAATATAAATTATATTCTTCCATAGCTTTTCCTTTTCGTTGTGGTGTCCATCACCGAAGGTTGCAAAAAACCAGCCATAAATTTTAAATATACTCTCGTAGTCACATATACTCATACATACATTTCCTGTGGTGACATACCTTAATTTGCCATCCTTTGTTTGGCGGAGCTTTTTTTTGCATGTATTTATGTTCTTTTCTCTCTTTTTTTGTGGCATTTTATTTTCCTTCGTCGTCCATTCATTTCGCTATTTATAATAAATGAACGATAAACGACGACACAGAGTCGATAATTAAACTACACCGTTTAAAAATCAGTTAGTTAACACTTTTGCCTTTACCATTGCTTTTTTCTTCTTCTTCTTCGCTTTCTTTTTCATTACTCCTGACATTCATTGACGCTGCTTACAATGTTTATGCTAACGGTTTCCGTTTCCGTTGTGGCTGGATGGCTGTGTTGTCCTGTTGACCGTTTTCATCGATGTCGCCCGATGTCTTCGTCATTGCGGCTGTTGCTGTTTTTGTTTTTGCCGTACAGAAATACCAACAACTACGTATAAAAATTCTGGGTGACTGTTACTATTGCATTAGCGGAGCCCCAGACGAACGACCGGATCATGCTGTCCTCTGTGTGCACATGGGTTTGTCGATGGTTAAGGCAATCAAGTAAGTTCGTGTAGATGTGTATGTGTTTATGTATTGGAGTATACGTTAGGAGTGTCCTTATTTCGGATTTTTTATGAACTGTTTCTGGGGAAACACAGAAGACCTTAAAGTGTTTTACAAGGGTCTTCCAATGGGGTTTCTATTCAAAGAAGACCATTAAAATGTATTTTATATATGTGAAGGTGAGAATACATATAACGATTTTTATACCCTCAGCCACATGGCTAAATCGAAATAATACGGCCAAATCGAAATAACAGTTTTAGAAACTAGGTCTCTTTGGAACAAATCTGTTTCAGGACATTTGGAGTAGATCAAGCGATGTTCCTCCGTCCGTCCGTCTGGTTGGTGCGGACGATAACTCTCGATGGGAGTATCCGAATTGATCCACAATCTTAAATCTTAATATTATTATCAAACTTAGATCGTGTTCGGAGATGGGCAATATCGGCCCACTCCTTCTGGTACCTCCACCACAAAATATCAGCATTTACAAAGAAAATAATTTACTGCACAGAAAGAGAAAGGATAATCCGATTTTGCTCCAATTTTGCAAAACCTAATACTTCCATCAGTGATAGGTCAGGTGCGAAAATTAACAATATCGGTCCACTCCATCCAGTACATCCCCCACAAAGGGTCAAAATTTTGAATAATTATAACTCTTATAAAATATGTTGTAAGTGTCCGATTATCTTCAAATGTCACACATCCATATATTTTTATTAACCCAAGGTCTGGTGTGAGGATGGGATATATCGGTCTACTCCTTCTGGTACCTCCCCCACAAAGGGTCAACATTCTGAATATTCATGAAGCTCATAAAACACGAAATTAACATCTGATTCCATTCAGGCTTGGCACATCTCAATATTTCCATCAACACAAGATCTCTTATAAAGATGGTAGTGATCGGACCATTCCTTCTGATACCTCCCCCACAAAGCGTCGAAGTTTTAAATAACAAGAACGATCATAAAATCCAAATAAGCATCCGGTCCTCTTCAAATTACATACATCACAATATTTTTACTAATCCAATGTCTGGTGTGACAATGGAAAATATCGATCTACTCCTTGTGGTACCTCCCCCACAAGGGGTCAACATTTTGAATAACCATGAAGCTCATAAAACGCGAAATTAACATCCTATTCCATTCGGACTTGGTGCATCTCAATATTCCACCAACACAAGACCTGTTATAAAGATGGGTTCAAGATTTTTATGCCCTCCACAATAGTATGGAGGGCATATTAAGTTTGTCATTCCGTTTGTAACACCTCGAAATATACATTTTAGCATAAAATTCTATGTCGATTTAGCGGTGTCCGCCTGTGGAAATTACTCTAGCTTCCAAACGAAATTAAGTAGGTTGATAAAATTCTACTCAAATGTATATTACGTTTGCAGGCTCCCCATATAATGGTATCTCCCTTTTTTTCCGGTGTTGTGGTGATTTAAGCGACATTATTCACCGGAAATGCTTCAAATTTTGTATTTGAAGTTCGTAAGGGGTCCTACAGCCTATGTCAGAAAATTGTCTGTGCATGTCCACGTCTTCGTATAGCCCCCACATAACGGTACCTCCCGATATTCGGTATTTTGATGAATTTAGCGACATTATTTACCAGAATTATTTTAATTTTGGTATTTGAAGTAAATAATGTATACTTTAGCCTATGCCTAAAAATTTTGCATAGAAGTCCTCGTCTTCGTATAGCCCCCATATAACGGTATCTCCCGATATTCGGTATTTTCAAGATTTTAGCGACATTATTTACCGGAATTATTTCAAATTTCCTATATGAAGTTCGTAATAGGTACTACAGCCTATGACAAAAATTTATGTTTGCAGGTCCACGTCTTTGTATATCCCCCATACAACGGTACCTCCCGATATTCGGTATTTTGATGATTTTAGCGACATTGTTCGCCGGAATAGTTTCAAATTTGGTATTTGAAGTTCGCAATGGGTACTACAGCCTATGGCCCCCATATAATGGTAACTCCCTATATTCCGTATTTTGATGATTTTAGCGACATTATTCACCGATTTTTTTCAAGTTTCGCATTTGTATATTGCAGTGGCTTTCGGTATTTTTAAGATTTTAACAGAATTTTTAAAGGATTTTATTTTCACGAAAATTGCCAAATTCGTTCCAAATGGTGGAGGGTATTCAAAGTTCGACCCGGCCAAACTTACAGCTTTTTTATTTGTTTATTTATTATTATTTTTTTGTTTTTTCAAACGAAATAAGGACACCCTATTACATTTATATCGAACCCGTACAAATGATAATGCTAATGATGATGACGATAATTGTATAATGACCGTGATGGGGGTCTGAGCTGACTGGTGCTTTGCTTGTCCATTTATTTGACCCTGTGTCATTTTTCTGACAAGCAGACACAGACAAGTGAAAGCATCAACAACGAATACCACCTACTCACTCCCTCCCGCCACCATCATCGTCATCACCATCGCCATCATTATTGTTACATCCTTGTTCTTTCATAGAAAACATTGATTTCTGTCTCTAATACTGTCTGTCTGTTTTGTTCTGTTCGCTTCTATTCTCATACTCTTTGTTCTACTGGCGTCCTGTCGTATGGTTGTATCCGGTGTGTGTGTGTCGGTGTTTGGCCATGCTTCTGAATAGGTATGTGCAACAAAAGACCAATTCACCTGTTGATATGAGAGTTGGAATACATACGGGTGCTGTCTTGGCCGGTATATTGGGGCAACGACAATGGCAATTTGATGTCTATTCAAAGGATGTTGAGCTGGCTAATAAAATGGAATCAAGCGGAAAGGCTGGGTATGTCAAGAAATTAGAAGACCATTAGGAATCATAATGGAAAAAAAAATAAAAAACTTTAAAGAGAATGGGACGGAGAGAAAATCTGTCACTGGTTAAACTTAAATGTTGTTGTTGTTATATTTCAACAGACGTGTCCACATTTCCGACAAAACGTTGGCATATTTGAATGGTGAATTCGAAGTTGAGCCCGCATATGGAGAGAAACGAGAAGAAGCCCTACGTATTGCTGGGCTGAAAACCTATTTCATAGTCAAAGTACTGAAACCCGTAAGTGTGAAGTAAACCCTACCACGCCCCAGGCATAAAATGTAGTAACTCTGGCATTTAGATGACAATAACAACAACACACTAGACAAGGCAACTTGATTTCCTTGTTGTAATTGAAAAAGTGACTTGTCATGCTGCCATTGATTTTATGCCTGATTTTCCTAGTGATGCCGTTTTATTCATTATTTAACCCCTTCTTCTTTTTTTTAGTTCGCATCACCCAGCGCCAAGAAAATCAACGAAACCCAAACGAATGCTGGCAACAACGATAATGATGATACCCTAGATGAAGAGCTTCTCGCCACGGACAAGAACACAGATGATACAGCCAAAGAAATTGACGAAACGGAAGTATCCGACAAGGCAGCCCTGTTTAAGGAACAGCTCCACAATGTCTTGAGAGATCGCGATTACTATGCGTAAGTGGATGTGAATGCAGTAGCATACGACATCTTTCATTCGAATTCGAATTTATATACATTTTAGACACCTGGATCAGGATACCGATTTTCTATTGAAATTCAAAGCGAAAGAATCCGAAGAGGATTATGCCTCGTATAGGGAACCGTATTCATCATTACCTCTGATTGCCGCATTGATAGTACAAAGTGTTGATATATTTTATTCATTTTTAATATTGCCCAGGTAAGTAATGGGGTTTGAGGAGGGGAATATAGCTTCTAGGGATCCTGGGGCCCGCTTTTTGTATTTTACTATGGAAAAATATTTCACTTCACAGATTTTATAAAGAAAGTAGGTGTGTCTTCTGATTACCCTAACATTTATGACAATTCTTGCAAACTGTTTCTTGAAGTCGTCTGTTCTGGAAAAAGAGAGCGATTCGAGATAAAAATTTTAACAGTTCTTTTACTGAAAAGTTACAAATTATTTTATCACTGGCAACTCATCTTTTTCTCCTTCCGGTGATTTATATTTGGACAAGCAATTTTAAAACATCTTAATTTGGGATATTGCAAGCCTAATTTTTAATTTATGTGGACCAGAGGGCTGCAATGAGTATGATTGAGTAGGCTTGATCACACACAGTGGAAATACAATCAAACTCAATCAGTCGGTCAGATGCAACATGTTCATTCGAGTTACTCAAGCCAAACGAAAAACTTGTGATCAAACATGTATTGATCGAAGTTTTGTGATCGCAATCAAACAGCTCACATGAGTTATTTGTTTACGAACTTGTGTTGAATTGTTCATAACGGGTCGATCATCTATGAGGAGTCTTGTCGGTTTGATTCATCCCAGTTAAGTGAGTGACTTGATTTGATTAAAACACAAATGTTCGAAACTGAGCGAAATCATGATTGTAATTTTACAAAGGATTTCATAACTAAAAGCTGTCCCCATAAAAAATTGGTGCAATTTATATTTAATAAACAGACAATGTTTTCATTTTATTTGGGTTTTTGGTATGTTAGACTTCAGTGACTTATTTGAAAAAAAAAATAATAAATTGTTTAATAGAGAAACACATCAGTGGTATTTAGAAAACTAAAAATGTTTAAATATTTTTTTTATTTTACAATATTGGTCAAGATTTTTCACAAACTTCGACCTTTTCGTTTACCTACACCTGTGTAGTTTCTACTTGCAACAATTTCGGTCGCACTATCACAATATTCTTCCATTTCAAATATCAAAAAAAGTCAAAATAAACTGTCCCAACTTGATTAAATGGTTGAATAAACAATGACGCTGAGCGAACTCGATTCAAAGAAGACAGTCACGGTTGTGATTGCTCATTTACATTCATGTGTTCGATCAACTCATGCTGCTGAACACATCAAACCGTCTCGAACGCTCATGTTTGATTGTGAGTGAAGTGATTCAAACTGAGCGTTCGATTCGATCAGAAGCGAAAACGGTCATTTCATTCAGATCAAACTAAACGACTGCATCAACAAAAATCATGTAAGAAACCGAGTATGCTTGAATTTTTGCATACTCGTTGCAGCCCTCTGATGTGGACACCGTTTCTTCATTGTTTCGTTTTGACAAATCAGCTGATTGACTGTTTACTTTCACCTGTTCACTTTTAAGAGTTTCTTTGCAAAAGAGAATAAAACTACCATACTCTCTTAGATAGAAGCTGCTAGAAAATTCCCGCAGCAAAAGTAACCAGACAGACATAATATTTATACCCTACATCACAAGGTGGTCAGGGTATTATGTCTTTGTGCATTTGTTTGTAGCAGGCAAAAGGAAACGGGATGGACCCATAGTTCCTTTTGATGGTCTGCATAGAATAATTTGTCCATGTAATTTGTAAACAAAGTACAGGTGGCATTTATTGCCCGATCTAGATTAAATTTTGCACAAATAATTAGTTTGAATCAAGGACAAACCCTATTGAAATTGGAAATAATCGGTCAAAATTTAGATATGGCTCCCATAAATATCTTCGTCCTATTTGTGCACTAAACGTTTAATATTAGCTCAAATAGGATGGAATTTTATAATATACGACCATATTAAGCCTGGAAGTAAGTATGCCAAATTTGATCGAAATCGGTTCAGATATAGCTATAGGTCCCATATATATTGTTCATCCGAATTGATATTTTTGACCTCCGCAGTCGTAATATGTATTCTGTAACAACCATATTTGGGGAAATATAGCACAGAAATACCTTTGCAAATTTTCTGGAGATCGGTTCCGATTCGGATATAACGCCCATATATATTCCGATTTGCCTTTTATTGTGCACCAAATGTGTAATATTTGCTCAAATGGGATGGAATTTGACACTTACGAACAAATTGAGCCTAGAAACAAATATGTCAAAATTGGTAAAAATCGGTTCAGATATAGCTATAGCTCCCATATATGTATATTGTTCGATTTGTTATATTTTTAATAAAGTCCCCGTCCGACCTTCAGACTCTCTTTTCTGGTTTTCTTTTCAATTTTGGTCATAGAACAAGAATTCAGCACCCGGAACTTTGTTGCGGCCCTATACCTACCTACCTATACCTCTACCTATAAAACAAGTATTTTATTTGTTCTCTTTTAACCGATATTTTTCTTTACAGATCCCCCCTACACTTTGTGAATATAGCGGCGCCCTTGATACCAATTTTTATGCTAGTTTTCATTAGTGTGGCCGAAAGTTTTCCCGGTCATTTGCCCGATTTCTTTGTCAGCATTAGCAAACGTTACAATGACTTCACATTGGTGCGTGAATTGACAGCTGTCATAATAGTTTTGACACTAGGACTTAGTAATATTATAGATGAGGTATGTATAGCTGACTTCTTTTTTTAAGTATTTCTTAAGGAAATCTCAATTTCGTTTTAGTACTTCTTTGTGGCCTATATTAAATCGGAGCATATTGTCACCGAAAGTGTATTTAACAAAACGCAAAGTGAAGAAGATTTCTTGGTCGCAGAACCGATGATTGATGCAACACCGGAGCCACTGGACAACATCATGTATCCATCGTATTTGAGCAATTTTAGTGTACTCATACTTATAGCCACCACTGTAATAGCTCAACTGACACATTATGTTAAAATTATATTGTTAATATTAATAACAGGTAATTTTTAATTGGTTTTGATATATTTTGGAATATTATCTCCCATCAAGTTTAATTCGGAATCAAAAAAAAAAAAAATGTCCATCTACAAAAAAAAATTAAGAAGAATGGGTCTGGAAGATGTTTGTCTCATTTTTTAGACTAAAACAGTTTTTAAATCACCACCGCAATCTCAAGAGCTATTATTAAGCTTCTCCACAACTTTGTATATATTATATACAAGGATTCTAAGATTTATTTAATTTACAGGTCTCCACTGGTATTTCAATATATACGTGCTCAACGATTTATACTCCCTAGAAGATGATTTGGCCTATAATCCGTAAGGTTTTTTGTTTTGAAATATTACTCAATTTATTAACTGTACCCATTTGTAAACCTCTCTTTTTAACAGAATAGTACCAACTTGTCATGTGATGTCAGTATCTCTGGTCCTAATAACCGTTTCACTGGGCTTTTGGGCAAGACATGTATGTTATCGCTTAATTTATTGGAAGATTTGTTTAAATATATTTCCTTCCAGATGGATCGTGAAGATCGTGTCATATTCAAATGGAAACTTTTGGTTTCCGAACAAAAAGAGAGGGCCGATGATATGCGTCGTCGTAATGAAGCTTTGGTCTACAACGTACTGCCGGTCCATGTGGCTGAGCATTTTATGAAGAACACCAAACGGTCTCATGATGATTTGTACTCCCAGAGTTATTCGGAGGTGGGAGTACTTTTTGCCAGTATGCCAAATTTCTCGGGTAAGTGGAAAACTAAACTTGAAAATGTCCATACCTCCAAACATTTAAACTGCAACGTTGTGGGAGATACATATTTTATTGATCTCTGAAATCTCTGACAACCTTACTTATGTTCCAGATTTCTATTCCGAAGAGACAGTCAACAATCAAGGCCTAGAATGTTTGCGATTCCTCAACGAAGTAATATCCGATTTCGATGCGGTGAGTTTTGGAGCAACTGCAAAGTCCTTTCAAAATCTTAAAATTTAAAAAAATTAAATTTTTCCCATAGCTCTTAGAACTTCCCCAATTCCAAGATATAATAAAAATAAAAACCATAGGCTCTACATATATGGCAGCCAGTGGCATCAATTTAAATCGTGATATTAAACCCGGCGATCCGATAACGAAACGATGGGCCCATTTGGATCTTTTGGTGGAATTCGCCTTGGAACTGAAGAAGACGCTGCAAGATATCAATGAACAATCGTTTAATCATTTCGTTCTAAAGATGGGTGTTAATCATGGCCCGATAACGGCGGGAGTTATTGGGGCCCGCAAGCCGCACTACGATATCTGGGGAAATACCGTGAATGTCGCCTCACGTATGGAGAGTACGGGAAAAGCTGGGGCTATTCAGGTAAGTTTAGGTTGGTGTTTGGATTTTGAGGTGATATAAGAGTTGTTGTTTGTATATTTCTAAAGGTGACTGAAGAGACTTGCAATATTTTGCAAGAATTCGGTTATTCATTCCTTCAGCGTGGTCTGGTTACGGTTAAGGGCAAAGGCGAGCTAATGACATATTATTTAAGAGTAAGTATGGTTTGGCGTTACATGATATTTTGATTTATAACCCAAAAGTAAGGTCAGGTCGGGATAAAATCATACAGTCTAAGGAGGAAATGAAACTGCAATGTCAGAAATTCATGCAGATAATTTCTGCTTCAGCATATTACCAACAATAAACCGCCAAATTACGATTTTACTTTTCCTGTTGGTACTATCTTAGAGAAAGGTAGTTATGGTTCTTTTAAAGTTGAGAATTTTTGGCTAAAAATCTGATCTGCCTGCTAGCATGTGTGCAATTTCTTCATTCACAATTCGTTCAGAAACCCACAGGACAGCAGCAAACGGAAATACAATATTGGTTTGGAGTTTAATCCGATTCGAATAAAATTCTTTATTTATTTAGAAAATCTCCATTAGACCTCCTTTGCACAGGAGTTCTTCTAGTTTTTTTATTAAAAGCCACATTTCATAGATGAAATTAACAATTTTTAAAAATATATTTTAATTTTTTATTATATTTTTACTTTCAGGGTAAGTTCAAAAACAGGTAAAATCTTCTAATTTATAAACTAACTAATTTCAAACATCCTACAGATGACATGCCCAAACAAACAGTTGCAAATGTAAGTAGTATTAATGAAGCCACAGCGGAAACGGAAATTCACTTGAAAATGGAATCAGAAACTGATGGTGGGGGTGACATAAAAACGCCACTACTACAATTGTCTTCAGAAAATAAATGTCCATCAATGAAAGATATTAGTCCAGCCAAAGCCTGTGGCAATGGCGAAATGTCCACAGAGGAAGATGCTTTGATAAATAACACAGAAAATTTGTAAAGAAAGAACATATTGAAACAAAACAAAAAAGAAAAGAAGACACCACAAAAATTACACCAATTGAAAAAAAAAAACACACACAACGGCTGACTTTGAAAGCCAGTTAACATTCCAATTTACTAGTTATATATAAACGAGTGCATACAGAAATATATACATAGCATATATTCAAGTAAATAAATAACAGTAGTTAGTAGGCAAATCAAGTCTTATCCTGTTCCTATCCCACTTTCCACCATCTCCGAACACAACCAAACAGTATTGTCTAATGATTTTTGTATACAAAAAAAGTTGTAGTCAAAACAAAAAGAAAATTTAAATAATTTTAATGTGATTCTATTGATTATCCCCTAAATGTATTATTTGTTTTTATATATGGTAGTAAATAGTTATTTTAATTTTTTTATCTATTGTTATTTAGTTATAAATTTTAAAGAAAACTCAACACTGCTTAGTTTTCAAGCAAAAACCAAAACCAAAAGAGAAATCACTTGTTGTTTGACAAAAGGAAACCACGCAAAAACAAAAATACACTATTAACTAAGTACCTAAACTAAACAATATATTTTATTTTAAACGAACCAGAAGAAGAGAAAACAAAAACAAAATACAACTCAAAAACTTTTGTGAATATTCATGAAAATGTTTAAATCGTAAGAAGAAAAAAATGAAAAAAAAATCAGCAATCATTGCAAATAATAAACGTCCCCCAATCCAAATGCAAAAACAAAATCACAAAAATCAAAAACAACAACAACACTAAACCCACCTAATATCTCCAATCGTATGTAGAAAAAAGAAAAGAAAACACAGCGAATATATATCAGAAGAAGCAACAAAAAAAATTGCAGCTGTCAAACAAATATACTATTCTTTGTTTGGAAGAGAAGATTGCAATATCAACAGTACACTAAAATGAGAGACATACAATGAGGGAAACAATCCTTCTCTTTTCTCTCTTATTTTGGAGGGAATTCAAATGAAAAGAAACTACGTAGGAGTTTGCAATTTTTATTACTTTATATATGGAACCAGAAATGGAAAATTGAAACTTCCAGGACTTGGTAACAAGAAAATAAATTCACATACAAACAAACTTGTAGAAAAAGCAGCATTCCTAATAAGACCTGGGTTCTAACAATATATTATTAACTGTAAAAAATGAACCAAGAAAGATGAATATCCCACTTTGCTACTTTGTTTTCCAAAAAAATATTGGTTTGAAATTTCCAAAGTAAAAATGTTTTGATATTTTTTGAACCATACAGGGGGAGATAAAAAAACTGCAACAAAGTCAAACGTCATAATTTTCACATTTTTTTTTTCAAATGTTATTGAATGAAAGCAAAAAATGTTGGAAATAGCATCAAATTTTGGAATAAGTTTTGATTTTTTTGAATTGGTCATCTTTGGCACGAATTATGGCCTTAAAACGGCCAATTAAACCGTCATATGCTGCCCGAACGTTGCTCTGTGGTATTTTGACCCATTCCCGGCGAAGCGCTTGCTTGAGGTGATCGAAACTTTGGTATTTTTTAGTGCCAACCTTGCTTTCCAAAATACTCCAAACACAATAGTCCAACGGATTGGTATCCGGAGATTTTGGTGGCCATGGAAATGAAGCGAGAAACCTCATTTTGTAACCATTTTTGGGTGGTTCGTGTTGAGTGCGATAGTACTGAGTCCTGTTGAAAAGTCCAAGGTTTGCGGGTCTGCATGCCCAAGGCTTTGATACACCCTCCAGAATATTTTCGCGATAATATTTGGCATTTATTCTGATGCCACGGTCGATTAATACGAGCGGAGAGCGACCATCGACTGTTATGGTGGCCCACACCATCCACATCACCATGGCCGGTGTTTGAGTTCTGATGGCCAACCAAAGGTGCATATTTTCAGCTGACCTCTTTGGCAAGTAAACACGATCATTTTGTTTGGTTACAAACTGCTGGACAACGAATTTTTTCTCATCGGAGAAAACCACATTCGACAGTTCACCACTTTCGGCCAAACGAAGCAATTCTTTAGATCTTTTGAGTTGCTTTTGTACGCTTGTAAACAATATAATAAGCTGTCACTGGAATAATTTTAACAGCTGTCGGACAGTGGCTTAGAAATGAAAGCAGTCTGAAGTTGGTTGCAGGTCTTTCATCTCACCCTGTATGGCAGAATAATATATTTGCATGACAGTTGCCTAAACCTAAAATATCTTTACATGTAACAATACCACATAGAACATTACAACATTATGCTACAAGCTATAATTGTGAAGGGAAAAAACAAGTTGAAATAAAATTATAACGAATTCTATAGAAATTAAGAACTAACAAAAGTTACTTTCTCAACGAATATTGAAGCAAAAACAAAAAAAAAGGGAATTAATTGGTGATTATAGAACACAAGTATCAGAATTATTATTTTCTTTTTCAAAATTCAAAATAAACACAGATGAAAAGATAATAAGAAAACGAATGAGCTGCTATACGCAAGACAATCATAATTTTATTTATTTTTTGTAGTTTTCTTTCAAATCGGACATCATCATTCAGTTTCAGCTTGATTCTTAACTGATATCTTTTTTTTTTATTTTTGATTTGTGATTACTTTATATTCCAACTCGAATGAGTTTATTACAGATCTGTGGACCCAATTTATCCTATTTTTCTTTCAAATCACATGAATTCAATTCCCAGCCTAATCAATATTCAGTAGCGGCTCATATTGGAACCAGTTTAAGTCAATACAAATTGTTCTTACTTCATTTTAAACTCTCCGAGTGGGAAAGATTAATAAATATATGATATTTTTATGTTATAAATAATAACAAAAAAAAGAATACAACAACACACAAACAAATATTCTTAATATTTGTGTAATTTCTTTGTGATCTCGTATATGTCTGTTTTTTGATCTCTTGGTAATAAGTTTTTGTACAAATTATTAAATATATTTATAAAAAACCAAATTAAGTAACAAAATCATCTAAATGTGTATGTGTGTTTTAAAAGATTAGCAACAAATATACTTATAGAGAAATTTTACTATAACATAACAACAAACAAATTCGACAACAAATAAAATAAACATAAAAACATTATTGGGAATGTATTATTAGTTCTATTCTAAATTATAAATATGGTAAAATATAGTTTTAAATCGTAGGTCGTACATACAAACAAAAATCTATGTAAAAGTGAAAAATTCAGTAGATTATACATTCTTACATTAAACATACATGCATAAATACTTAACATACATACGCATATATAGAGAAAATATTTAGTGAAAAATGGAAAAGAAAATAAAAACAAATATATTTACGCATCAAATTTATGAAGTTGTTTAATTTGTTTTCCAGTTACACACGTCTGTACATTTCGTCGATCGAAAATATATTTAGTGGGATAACAACAAAGCACAATTCACTTTTTATTTATGTTTTTAATTCCAAAAAAGCCAGCCAAAATGTGAATACGGGCCACCAAAACACCCAAGTCATGAAAAAACTGGTAACAGAAACATAAACAAAGATGTAGAACAATCGGTCTGTCTGGTTATACAAAAAATGCAATATTTGTTGTTGTTGTTAGCATAAAAACAAAAGAGAACGATTCGAGAGAGTAAAACAAATTTTTGAGAAACAAATTTCTTCTTTTACACACTTAAGCTGTCTGCTTGTAGTTTTTTGTTTTTTATTTTCCTTATAAAATATTTTATCAGAAAGTACATATTCTTTGTTGAGACTTCTTCTTCTTCTTATAACGAGTGTTATGTACAGTAAAATGATAGCATGTCAAATTGAAACTGTTATTGCCTTGCTCTAATGTGAAAAAATGTAATGTATACAGAGAGTATAAATGAGAAAACAAGGCTTGCTCAGGCCTTTATGGCAGTACTGATCTGTCTGCTCTTAATAAATGACTTATAAAAAAGAACTTGTGAGTTGTACTTATGATAGGACAAAAGAGTAATCTCATTTTGCTATTAGATCATAAATGGTCCATAACATAAAAAAATGATATGGTAATATTAAAACCATATGTCATTTTTAATAGTGTTTTAGGGCGGAAAAATGTATTATAAGTTATGTATATGAACTTTATGTTTTTTTTTTTTTGATAAAATCGGCTAAACATCTACAACAGTGCCAACTATGTTGAACAGTAGAATAATAGTTGTGTTCCAGTACTTTTTTAGTAGTAAAACTAGCAGAAGAGAGAACAGTTCGAAATGTTATTCTCATTTAGGTTTGCTCAAAAAATAAGGGAACGGAAAATTAGCAGAAATGCGATAAAATGTCAAAATTCAAAATTCCAAAAGTAAACAGCCTAAATCGGACTGGTGAAACCTTACTGAAAAGAGCGCCAACATTTAAAAAATGAGTATTGAAGACGATAAGTTAAAATTAATAATTTATAATAATAATTAATAATCTGATTCCTCATTCAGCCAGTCCTCTTCACTGCTGGAATCATCCAAAAGTGAATACATCAGTTGCTCCATATTTTCTCTTTTTGTTTTTTGCACGACAAATATTAGTTTTTCCTTTAGTTTTCAAGTTGATCATTTTCTTTATTGAAATGTATCAATACATTTTTCAACCTTGTTAGCCCTGCCAATTAAATGTCAAATTTACTATATGCACATTTCTGCTCGGCCAAATTCATGTAGCTAAAACAAGCAGAAATGTGCACCACTCAGCGCCATTTTTTTCTCGAGAGAGCTGCAAGTTTTGCTAGTTTTTGGAGTACGGGAACGCGTTGTAGCAGAATTAGTGCTAATTAGTACTAATTTGCAGGTTCTGGAACACAACTAATGTTGTCACTATATATGGTCTACTACTAATGCCATCTAGGGTCTCGTAACAGCAATCAAATACCCCATTTTGTTCGCATCGATGGTCTCGTTATAAACTGATTCCAATACATTTGTTCCGGATTGCCAATAATAAATCTTATAAATCCCACAAAAAAAAAACTCCAATGTAAATGTATTATTATATTGTATGTCTTTGCTAATACGGTTCAGAACTAGGATATTGTTGGTACATATTGCTATATTCCGCTTGGTGTCCACTTGTAATCTGCCCTCCCATTACGTTCAACCACTGGAATTCCTTGGCCTTTCATCATTTTCGTACGTTTGTTCTTTTAGTTTCCCTCATTATCTTCACATTCTTCAATGTGCCATCGCTAACAAATTACTTGCCATCACTAACCCCCATTTGCCATCTCTAGTTGGCAATGATTTAGTAAAAAACACAACTAATTTAGATTTTGTTTAGTGCTCTTAAACAATAATATATTTTAAATATTTCATAAAACAACCACTGAAGGTAAAATCAATGTTTAATCTATCGAAATTGTTCGCAATTATGCGGGTATTTGTTTTCTTTCGTGGTGTATTGTTCGTTGTAAATTTGTGTTTTTTTTTGGGGCGATATAGCCTGCTCTAATGTTGCTCCTTAGTGCGTATTGAAATTATTCAATCAATTTAACAAAGAACTCTACGTTTTTTTGGTTTATTTAACAGGGCACAGATAAGCAAAATGTCCTTAAAACCTAAGAAAGTCGATTTCAATGAAATCTGGACGGATTTGAAGAGCACAGCCGAGGCTGTTATCAAATTGGACAAGGTGGAGAGAAACGTTTGGAATACAAGTTTTACGTGAGTATTTTTGTGCCATAGGGAGAAGGAGCAGAGCGGTTTGATTGATTATCAATGAAAGTGTATATTTTTGAGATCAAGTGCAAACCAGTCAGTCATCCTCCTGTAAAATCAAGTGCGGTGGCGACCTTCAAAATAAAACTTTCTCTTTGTAAGACTAAAGAGCAGCGAGAGAGAAATGCAATATAAATTTGTTTTGGAAGACTTCGGCCGCCACAATTTGTACAATTTGTGTGGGCCGTTAATGCCTATATCAAACTGCTTGAGTTTCCTGTTTCTTTTTTAAACAAACTACCCCATTGTGTCTTCTTCTTTATTTCAGAAATGTTTACAATTTGTGTGTTGCCCACCCGGAACCGTTTGCCGATCTCTTGTACGAGGAGACAAAGCAATTTTTGAAAGCTCACGTTGAAAATATGATGGCTACTCGGGTAAATCCACCTGGAGCCGACGCCTCGGGAACTGAACAGCCTGATCTGCTAAAACGTTACTACGATGCATGGTCGGAATACAGTAAAGGCATCAAGCATTTGCATAGTCTATACTCCTATCTTAATCTCCAGCATATCAAGAAACAAAAAACATCGGATGCAGACGTTGTCTATGGCAATCTAACAACAGAGACAATGGAGCAAATGGAAATTGGTGAATTGGGACTGGATATATGGCGCACCAAAATGATTGAACCGCTCAATTATGATTTGGTTAAACACATTTTGGAGGGCATCAAGGCCGATCGCATGGGTAATCCTGGTTTGGATGATGAACGTGTTAAAATCATTAGCGGTGTCATGCACAGTTTTGTTGAGGTACAGACCTACAATAAAATTGGCTCCCTAAAAATCTATCAATGGTTGTTCGAATGTCCTCTACTACTGGCCAGTGGAGAGTTTTATGCCACCGAGGCCACAGCCCTGCTGCAGCGGTGTACAGTCAGTGAATATATAGAGGAAGTTATTAAAATTCTGGATGATGAAAACAAAAGGGCCGAGAAATTATTACACTCAAGGTGCGTACAATTAATTGCGAAATGTTTCATTCATATAAAATAAATGTGTTATCTTTCAGCTCCATACCCAAGCTCATTAAACAGTGTGAAGAGAAATTCATCAACGAACGATTGGACTTTTTGTATTCGGAATGCAAACAAATGGTATCGCAAGAAAACCGCAAAGATCTACGTAATTTGTACATAATTCTCAAGCCCATACCGGATAACTTGAAGACGCGTTTGATACAAACCTTTTTGGATCACATCAAAAATGAAGGTCTCGAAACTATTTCAACCCTCAAAGGCGAAAACATACACATACAATTTGTCGAGGATATGCTTAAGGTTCATCAAAAATATACTCAGCTCATTGATGAAGTGTTCGAAAACGATCCGCTGTTTCTGAGTGCACTTGACAAGGCTTGTGCCAGTGTCATAAATCGTCGCCCCAGCGATAAACAACCCTGCCGCAGTGCCGAATATGTGGCCAAGTACTGTGATACTCTGCTCAAAAAATCTAAAACTTCGGAAGCTGAAATTGATCAAAAACTTACCAACAATATCACCATCTTTAAGTACATTGAAGATAAAGATGTCTACCAGAAATTCTATAGTAGACTGCTGGCGAAACGTTTGATACACGAACAATCCCAAAGCATGGATGCCGAGGAAGCAATGATCAATCGTTTAAAGGTAATTGATCGGTTATTGTTTTTGTGTATTGTGTTAATTTTTGTTGTCTTTTCTATGGGGTTTTAGCAAGCCTGTGGTTACGAATTTACAAATAAACTACATCGCATGTTCACCGACATCTCATTATCCGCGGATTTAAATAATAAATTTAATAATTATTTAAAACAGGAAAATATTGATCTAGGTGGGTAGAGACCTTTTTTCATATACACTTAACATTTGTCATGGTTAGTGATTTTTCGTATTTTTTCTTCTTGTAGGTATAAATTTATCCATAAAAGTCTTGCAGGCAGGAGCATGGCCATTGGGCCCAACACAGGTTGTTATACCATTTGCTGTTCCCCAGGAATTTGAAAAAGCCATACGATCGGTAAATACTAATTGCAAGACATTGTTGGCATTTAATTTACTTCACACATTTGTTTTCCAGTTTGAAAAATTCTATCACACCTCCTTTAGTGGCCGTAAACTTACCTGGTTGCATCATATGTGCCATGGCGAACTGAAGCTCGGCTATTTGAAAAAGACTTACATTGTGACCATGCAAACGTATCAGATGGCAATGTTGCTACTTTTCGAATCTTGTGACTCGATGACCTGCAAAGAAATACAAAACACATTGCAGCTTAATGCCGAAACCTTCCAGAAACATATGCAGTCACTATTGGAATCGAACATTTTAGTGGCCAGCAGTGAAAATCTTGAAGATAATACAAAAATCGAATTGAATCTAGATTATACAAATAAACGTACCAAATTTAAAATCACATCGGCGTTGCAAAAGGAAACACCACAGGAGGTAAGTGGGAAACGAAACAGGGACGACAAATGACTTTGTTTTATATGAATTTTTTTGTCTGGTTCGAAATAGGTTGAGCATACAATCAATGCTGTGGATGAAGATCGTAAACTATATCTTCAAGCTGCCATAGTACGCATTATGAAATCTCGCAAGGTACTCAAGCACAATGCCTTGATACAAGAGGTTCGTATGAAATCTTTCGCATTCCAATGGGCTACATCAAATTGATTTTTGTTTCTCTTTGCAGATCTTATCTCAGTCTATTGTTAGTTTTACACCCAGCATCACGATTATTAAGAAATGTATTGAATCATTGATTGATAAACAGTATATTGAGCGTACACCCAATTCAGGCGATGAATATAGCTATGTGGCCTAATTGTTGTTGCCAGCAATAATATGAAATAGAAAATAACACAATGAACCAACAATACCATTCATTCTCCCCTACTAAGAATGCTGAGATGCTGTATAAAAAAAAAACGAAATGGAACACCAAATATTTAACACAGAAGAACACATTGGACTGGTCCTCTTTCTCTCTTAAGTTGTGTTTGGTTTTGCAAAACCATCAGGAAAGTTGTTTGTTGTGCTTTAATTTCCTAGGATTTTGTCAACGATCGCCATTGGCAATGCAGAAATATTTACTGTTTTTTTTTTTTCTATTGATTTTACCCTTGTTGTACAATTACTCCCACCCTTTGATATTTTAGATGAGCTTCAAAATTATGGCAGCAAAAAAAAAAAAAAAACCTTTAACTCCTCCCCCCTCCCCCAATTTTTACTTTATATGCTGTTTTTTTTGGGAAATTATTATTTGTAAGTAATAATGATTAATATTATTTTTCTAGATCAAAATCTTAATAAAAAGACAAATTAAAAAAAAAAAGACGAAAAGAAATCTATAGTAATTGCATTTATTTTCATGACTTTTCTGGGAATTATATTTTTTTATATCATACTGTTAATAAGTGTTTATCAATTATGAAATTATCATTATATTGTGTGTGTGTAATTTTTTAATATAAATTGATCTTGAAAAGAGATCAATACAAATTGTTTCTTAAAAAAATCTACAGTTTTTGGTTGCATGATAAGTATTAACATACAAGACTAACAAAACAATTTTCAGATTCGTTAGGTCGCCAAGTGTCTAATAAAACTGTTCGACAAACATAAGTGAAATGACTATCTTTTTTTGCTTAAATTCAAAAGAATGGCCAAATCGTATAGACATTTGGAATAAATTCGTTTGTATTTGTTCGAATAGTTTTAATAGACAACTTTTCAACTCTGGCTTTATTGGAGCTTTCATCTTTGGGGTAAATAATGATTATAATAATTGCATTTTTTATTTTTATTTTTTAAATAGAATGTTACAAATAAATATGTTTTTTTTTCTGTCGTTGCAGTAATAATATTAGAAAGTTAAACTTAACTTTTAATCAATAATGTCATTGTTTTTCTTTTTTTTTTTTTTTTGCTAAGGTGGCACTAGTTATCATCCTCTTCTGTTTAGTTTATTCATACTCTCATAATGTTTTGTTTGTTTAATTAATAGTTGTATGATTTTAATTGTTTTGTGTTTTTATAGACTTACAGGAGAAAAAAAAAACTGAGCATTATTTAAAAATTTCGAAATACTGTCAAGTAATAAATAAATTCCTCAAGTTGTTTTTGTTTGTTTTTTCTTTTTTTTGTTTGGTTTTAATAGTACCTTAATTATAAATTTTCAAGTGAATGGTGTTATTATAATAATATTTTTATGTTTAATTGAGTGTGTGTGTATGTGTGAATTCTACACACAAAAGAGGTGACTTATATAGATTGAGTATGTGTGAGTGTTGTGTTTTACTTTTTTATAAATAGTTGTCCTTCAAAAATGTTTTAATATTTATGTTATATTTGAATTTTTTTTTTGGTTTCAAAAAGTTTCTTTTAGTTGTGGGAAGTAGGTTTTCGACAGTGCAAACTAAATTGGAAACTAAATAGCAAATGTGCACAGTGTCCCAAAATTTACAGGGCGAGATGAAAAAACTGCAACCAACTTCAGACTGCTGTCATTTCTAGGCCCCACTCGTCTGACAGTTGTTAAAATTATACCAGTGACAGCTCATTATATTGTTTACAAGCCTACAAAATCATTTTGGTTAGAATTTTTTGCATTTAAATGTTGAATAAATCTTTTGTGTCTCATGCCATAGCTCGTTACTGTGATACTAGTAGCGAGGCCCGTCGTCAAGCCGCAGACGGTATTTTTGCCCATTCTCGACGGTTTTATTGGCCGTTTGAAGGCCATAATTCGTGCCAATGGCGACGAATTCGAACAAATCTAAACTTATTCTAAAATTTGATGCTTTTCCCTTCATTTTTTGCTTTCATTCAAAAAAATTAAAAAATTTAAAAATTATGGCGTTTGACTTTGCTAAAATTTTCAGATCTTTTTCATTTGGTTTTTTTTTTGTCACTTTTAGGTATTAAAAATCACGAAAAAGGGAAAAAAATTCCAAAAATAATTAATATTTTTTATAGGAATTATTTGGTGAAATATTGCCACAAATATGACTTATGTTAATAAAAAATCTATGTTTTCACATAGTTTTGAAATTTATAACATTGACAGAAATTCTCAACTTTGGTACACTGTACATTTTTGTTTAACATCAGACAAGAGACATTGGCCCATTATGTTGGGGGCATTCTGTTTACATTTGTTGTTTCAATTTTTAAATAAATATGTACGTTACTTATATTTCAACTTCTTTCAATCGTTATCTTTATTTTTGTTTTTATTAATTAATAAATGCATTTTATTTTATTATCATCGTCTCTTACTGAGGTATGCTTCTTTTTAAGATCATTTTTTATTTGGTGAAAAATCTATCTTTTTTTTAGTTATTATTTGTTTCAATAATAATTTTACTTTTTTGGGGTTTCACTAATAAATACAATTTTCTTTTGTAAGTTTATATCAACGACTAGTTTTTGTTACTTTTATTTTTTGTGTTTATCAATTAAAGCAATGAATGTTGGCATTTTTGTTTTTGGTAACACATGGGCTGAAAAGTCCCGGTTATTATACAGATGCATATCAAAACAGCATGTTTTGAATAAAAAAAACCTGTACCCCTGTATTTTATCTGAGACTCCTCAGTTGCATGTGCCGGTATCGGAGTTGATTTTATATTTTTTACATCTAATTATCTTTTCTTTTTGTTTTTTATTGTTAAAGAGGATGTTTCTGAAACAACTGCGTTTAATTACCTGAACTTCATCATATTTCCTATATAAGTATATGTCTGTAAGTATGCATGTAAATACGTATTACGTTGTGAAACAAAATTTAATTTCCAACTCGGTGATCGGAAGAAAGAAAAGAAAGGAAATGAATATGAAAAATATTACTCGGTTATCAATTGAAAAGTTTACTGAAAATAAAAGTGAGTTATTGAGAGAGGGGGCTGAAGAAAATGTTGCATTTATGTTACTCGACTCCCTTGTTAAGGTTCAATTAGACGTGCCATAACCAGGTAAATATTTTTGCAGAAAACTGTTTAGGGTTATCCCAAAGCCCATTGATAACATTTTTATACCCTCCACCATTCATAGTATGGAGAGTATATTAAGTTCGTCATTCCGTTTGTAACTCATCGAAATAATAATTTTAGACCCAACAAAGTATATACATATTCTTGATCAGCATAAAATTCTAAGACGATTTAGCCATTTCCGTCCGTCTGTCCGTCGGTTTTAATCACGCTACAGTCAAAACGAATTTAGATTGGAAGCTAATATTTTGTACAGATCTGTCTTTTGTCTGCAGGCAGGTCAAGTTCGAAAATGGGCTATATCGGTCCACGATGTTGTATAACTCCCATGTAACAGTACCCGCGATTTTCGTTATTTTTCATTATTTTAGCCACATTTTTCAATGGAATTGTCTGAAATTCTACACAAGGAGTTCTTTGTGAGTATTTTACCTCCTGGAAGATAATTATGTATATATAGGTTCACTATATCGTATAGCCCCCCTATATAACGGTATCCCCCGATATTCGGTATTTTGACGATTTTAGACACATTTTGCAATGGAGTTCTCTGAAAATTTACACAAGGAGTTCTTTTTTGTTCTTTACCCCCTAAAATAAAATTGTCTACTTAGGTCCAAAATATCGTATATCCCCCATATAATGGTACTCCCGATATTCGGTATTTTCATGATTTTAACAGAATTTTTAATGGATTTTATTTTTTTTGAAAATTTCGTAATTCGTTCCAAATGGTGGAGGGTATTCAAAGTTCGGCCCGGCCGAACTTGTTTTTTTTACTAGTTTTTATTACGGTTACAGTTATGGTTATGGATACGGCGAAGTTGTATGCCATTTCCAATTGAACCTTTACCCACAAAAAACTTTGACAGTCCAGCAAATTCAAAATCATTTTGTTGCAATTACGACGTATAACAAATAGAACAGATAAGTCAGCAGCCCTGTCATATAAATTGTCTATATTTTATGTGTATGCCTAACCACCTGTATGCACACACCACCATAGATGATGGACAGAGACCATGGTTTCTGAACAAATAAAAATTGCATGGTTTTCTGAGCCGAGTTACAAAGCCTACAAAAATGACAGGTTGTCTTAAATAAAAAAATACACTTTACAATAAAAACTGGAGTTATAGCCCTGCAATTCAATTAATTTGTATAAATCTAAATTCTTAATAAAGCTTAATGGCCAGTTGGAGAATTTGTCTATCAAAAAGTTTACCAAATATTTATATCTATAAAGAGAAAGTCTTTCTGTAATTTAAAATACCATTCCATCGGGCACTGCCATTAATGTAGTTCATGAGGTCAAGCCGACGACCGCCTCTGTATATGGAATGTGTTGTCAATGAAACGGATCTCATACTGCACTGTGTAAATTCTATGCAAATAAGTGTACGTTTGGATATCTCACTGGATTATGAAGATCTCTCCGGTTGTAGCTGCGAAAATGAGGTAAATGTATTTGCTTATGAATGTCAAGGGTCGGTCAGGGGAAACAGCCCTACAAGAAGTTTTCGGAAAAATTGAAAAATGGCTCGTGAGCTGAACATATCGCAATATTCCATTCCGCAAATATTAAAAAACGAGCTCGGCGTAAAGCCATTGAAATTTCAAAAATGCGAGAACTTATACCGCAACTGAAAGAAAATAGGCTCAAAGAGCTAAAAAGTTGCTTCGCTTGGCCGAAAGTGGTGAACTGCAGAATTTGGTTTTCTCCGATGAGAAAACATTCGTTGTCCAGCAGTTTGTAAACAAACAAACAAAATGATCGTGAGGACAGCTGAAAATGTGCACCTTCGGTTGGCCACCAGAACTCAAGCGCCGGCCATGGTGATGGTGTGGCCAGCCGATGGTCGCTCTCCGCTCGTATTAATCAACCGTGGATGGCATCAGAATAAATGCCGAATATTAAACATTTTGGCCGCAGACCTTGGACATTCCAACAGGACTCAGCACCATCGCCCTCAGCACGCGCCACCCAAGAATGGTTACAAAATGAGGTTCCTCGCGCACAATGGCCATCACCGTTGGACTATTGCGTTTGGAGTATTTTGGAAAACATGGTTGGCACTAAAAAATACCAAAGTGTCGACACCTCAAGCAAGGGCTTCGCCGGGAATGGACCAAAATACCGCAGAGCAACATTCGGGCAGCATGTGACGGTTCCATTGGCCGTTTGAAGGCCATAATTCGTGCCAAAGCTGACCAATTCGAACAAATCTAAACTTATCTTAAATTTGATGTTATTTCCGACATTTTTTGCTTTCATTCAATAAATTAAAAAAAAAATGCAAAAGTAATGGCGTTTGACTTTGTTGCAGATTTTTTATCTCACCCTGTATATATGTCGATAGCTTAGCGGCCCGCAAAGCTATCAAATCAAGGGTCATTGAATCGACAGCTCATTAAGCCTTGTTGGGTCTTCAAAACCATATAAGGGAATGATTTTCGTCTTCTCATTTTTATCATCAACAGGTGTTGTTATTCCTCTTGCTGGTAAGCTGCAATGTATCTCCTTATTTTTCTTTGTCAGTCTTTTCGTATTGCCTACCATTTTAATATTTACAACATTAATTATTGCATAGCCAAAATTAAAAATTTCATCATATTTAAAGCAGTCTAAAAACATACTATTGTTGCTTCAGGTGCAGCTGCCGACTGTTAACATGTTATGAGGGTTTCAAAAATTATTGGAATTCTATAATATCTCTTTGAAAATTGATACATATTTAATACACTCTTGGGTGAAAGACAAAATTCCCCCTCCGCTGCCATTAAGTAAAGTAAAAGTCAACGGTTTTCCTTAAGTATTACTATAATTATTACATTACTTTAAAATCTATTTCTTTAAGTATGTAAATCGCCTGTAGAATCTGAACTTGTGTGTTTCCATATACATATGTATATAGACCCCTATTCTTAATACCCTTTCAATTTTCATTACTGCATTTTAAAACTGACATTCATTTCTATACAACTAACAAAACACAATATTCTTGTTAACTGCCATTTTCCTTATGTAAATATTAAATGCGTTCCTTAAAACGCACAAAACTATGTTATGGATAAAGGACTATCTTCTCTTTTTGACCAAATTCTGCATTCATTCATATCTGTCAACGTTAATTTTTTATTTTGTCTGTTCGGTTTGGCGTGAATTTGTAAGAGGAAAATTTTTATGTTTTTTTCTTTAAATTCCTAACGTTGTGTTTGCAAATGTCTTCTTATTCATTGTATACATGTGTTGTGTGTGAAATACTTTTCCAAATAGATAGATATTGAAAATATTAGAGTCATAGATTTAGAACACAATACTCTCTCCGATTAAGATTTATGACATATTATGTACAGTAAAGTCATCAGAAGGTTCTGTATTGAGACGTAATTAATGGTCTCCAAATTATTTCCCATGGGGAAGAAACAAAAAGCAATTTTTGTTTTTGGATTGTCAAGTTATTGTAAAAACGAAAATTGCCAAGTGTTAGCCCCAATCTAACATGTAATAATGGAGATCCATCAATACTATAGCATAGAGAGAGATAGTGGTTCTGTGATAGATGCTGTATACGGTTTTGTGATAGATCTTAAGTAGTTTGTTTTGTTTTTTTTTTTTTTTTTTTTTTTTGCATGCAAATAGATTTTCATTAATTTTTGTGATGTACGTATACACATTTAAATAGATTTGTAAGTCTCGGTAAAAATTGAAACTGTAGTTGTTGGATTCGTAGTAGTAGTTGTTGTTGTAATTAGAAGTGGTAGTTGTATAATTAAATAAATGGTTTTGACAAATTGCAATAATTTCAGTCTTTTTGAGATTCCCGCCTTTGTGCATTTAGATAATATTGAATTTTCTCTTGTGTTTTTCTTTTTTGTTAAATAATTTTTAAGATTTTTTTTATCAAAAATTACCTTTTCTTTCTAGTTATATATGTATTGTGGTTTTTGTATGTGTAAGAATTGGTGAGGACAACAGGGATATTACTCAGGTGCTTTGCTAGTAACTAGCCTAGTGGAGGAGCAACTGGATGGTGAAAGAGGGAATTTATGTTTTGCTTATTTTCCATAATTAATTTTGCAATAATTTCAGTTGTTGTTTTCTTTTCTGGAGGGCATTTGGAAACGAAATACAAAAAATAATTTATTGTTCTGTGTGTATTTGTTTCTTATACTATCCGACTTGTACAGAGACCAATGACAACGCTGGTCACTAGTTGAAATCTCTTCTTGTTGCTAATTTTGGTCAAAGAATATGGAGCGTATTGAATTTTCAATAAAATAGAGAAGTGTTGTCATTCAACACAATGCCCTGGAACTAGATATATACTTTTTGCCAGCCCAAAAGGAACCCATATGAATGTGAACCCCTGGAATATTCCCTGGTTTCTTGTACAAGCGGGAAATCACAGCAACAACTATCGCCTTATTGATCCAATGAAAAATGTTTCGTTCGTTTCCAAAGTGTTTTGAAAATACCCTTCTTTTTTGGTTTCTCAGTTGTATTGCTTTGACCCCGTTGCTTCAGTTCCTTTGGATTAGGAATGGTGGAGCATGCGTCTGAAAAGAAAATTAAACAAGGAAGTTAGGTTCACGGTAATCGCATTCAAATCTTAATCATGTTCCATAACAACATGTCAGCATTGAAACTTACTTCGGTCAATGTCATGATAATAACTGGCCTCCAAACATTGGTCAGCAGTATAAGCCGATCTATTTTTCTTATCCTTGGGATTTTCTGTAAAAGTAAGGAACGCATATAGTATTCTTTTCTAGCAAAATATCTTGAATCGCCAATACTTACTCTTTTTAGTTATTAGTAAACTGGTTACACGACGTAAAGCTTCGCGTGGGGATTTATTCAAAAATGATGGTGTTAAATTTGGTGGCAACGTGAGAGGTTTTCTTGCAGGTCCCGTACCCGACATAGCCGGCGTACCATCCCATATTCGCATTGTTGAAATGCGATCTATATTCTCTGTTGAAGCTGGTCGCATTGATCTTTGTTTGGGATACCATCCACGTTGTGGTGCACCCGCCAGCCGTAACATTTCGTTGGAAGCTAAAGCATGATTTATGGAGCGCTGGCGACACATGGCTCCCCCAAAGGTATTGCCACCGGACATACCGCCAATAGAGCTGCCTAAATTAATGTTGTTTGAAGTACTGGACCTGGGAGCTGTTCTAGACCCGCTGGGTGTATTTTCAGTTTGACGACGATAGGGGGTTCTTGGTATATCGCAGCTACAAGTAAAAAACATATTATTTACGACGATTGAATAGATTTATTTTAATACTTACCCCCGGGCAAAGATTGGTGTTTCCGGAAGACTACAGGATGTCTGCAGACGATGTTCCTCTCTGGGTGATTGCTTAGAACTACGTTTGGTGCCATACGAAACATAACGTCTTGTACCATAGCCGCTACCACTGCTGCCATCGTACGAAGGACCATGTGAACTGGTGGGTGTGGTAACACCGCTTCCATAACCACCCATCACCCTTGGAGATTTCCGTTTATAATTCGAATCTATAGACCAAGATTTCATGGTATTTATAGAATGGCCGGCTCGATGTGGTGGAACCACAGGTGCAATACTCTCAAATGCTGACGGAGGTGGCGGTGGTAATGGCAACTCATCCGACATGTGACGATGTACCGGTCGTCCAAGAGGTTTTTCACGCTCTTTGGTACGCGGATGACGTTTCTCTTCACGTGTCACGGAATGGGTGTGTATTTCAGCAGACGTTTGGACATAAGATTTGACAGGTGGTTTTATATCATCTTCACCCACAGACGTGTCATCCGACGGAGAAGGCGGTAAAGGCAAGTCGTTGTAATCCTGAAAAGAATTTGGGGTAAACTATATGTTTTATTAGTACAACTGGGAAACTTACAAACGTATCGGGATTAGATGACGGAGGAGATGGAGGCAAGGGACCAAAGGTATTTTGTGAAAGTAGCATTTCTTTCGCACTCTCAGATTTATGTACTCCAGGACGAAACTCCAGGGGACGTTTATGTAAGGGTTGTTCAGTCATTTTACTCACAGCCATGTCATTACGCAAATGAACTGCTCCTCCTCTATTGGATTCAAGCTGTTTCAATGGTACACAGCCAAAACTCATATCGCTCAATTGTTCTTCATCCTCCTCCAGGGTTGGGGCGAGATCAGTGTGCGGTGTAGTCGATGTTGAGCGTATTTCTAAAGCACATAGCACATTTGTAATAAACACAAAACCCCAATGCAATTTCGACTTTGATTCTTACCATTGAACTCCGAGCTCTTAATAGGACCATTGTTGGCTTGTTTGTATGCAAATAGACCTGGTGATTCCAAACCTTTCACGTCATAAGCAGAAGTTGTCTCTTCGTGGCAAGGAGTTCGAGCTGTATTTATTGATTCCTGACTGCAACGGGCCTCCAGGGAAATCAAACTCCCCTTTTTGGATGCTAAGGAAAGTTGGGGGAAAATTGAATTAACACTAATATATGTAAATGCCCAGGTGTAGCCTCTTGAACTCTACCTTCAAAGCTAGATGTCTTATTCAATAGTTGAATGGGTGACAAATCTTTTCTTATCGAACTAATGGCTGGCCTGATCGGTTCCAAATTCAAGGATAACCGATCTCTGGGCGAAGTAATGGGTTTTCCTATATCAAAGCTATGTCGAGTATTGGCATCTTTGGTATCACATGTTTTATATTCGGCATCTCTGGCATCTTGTGGTTTATAATGTGGCGTGCGTTCGGATTCTGAGTCCATGTCAGGTTCACTTTCGCTCAGACCATGCTTAACAGATTCATCATAGTTGGAGAATATGTCCATGGCACGAGGTGGTTTTTTAATTGAACCACGGCGTATGATGAATGTGCCCTTGCCCAGCATGCTGTTCGAATGACGATAGACGCAGGAGTTTTGGATTTCTGGACTCTCTTCGAAGCTGCGAAATTCCTCTTCTTGGATGTGTAAGTGATTTTGAGGGGTTGTTGGGGAATGGAGAACAGGTGGATGGTTATAGGTACTCCGGGAATTTCCCGATTTCGACTGAAAATTAAAAAAAAAATTATATGGTCAAAGGAGGTTATATAAAAAAGTCCGTTTCTTTCGTACCTTTAACCCCTGATTTTGTTTGCTTTTCTTTTTGAAATCTTTAAAATGTATCTCCCATGCAATACCCCGTGGTGTAAGTAATGTTGATTCCGACGAGACTGTTATACCCGAAGGATCTTCTAAAGAATCTTCAGAGATATCGTCATCCTCATCGGTATTATTTTTATTGGAATACTTATCCAATGTATTGTTGGAGGACGAGGAATTCGTTTTGGCATTTTCCGATGTTGTGCCAGTGCCCGTACTGGCTGGGGATGAGGACGAAGAAGAACAGGAAATCGATGTAGAACCTGGGTTAAGTATGTGGCAGACCTCCTTATGTTTTTCCACCGATGCCTGTAGTCGTTTTGGACGATTGCTACGACCGCTGGCGGGGCCATCTTTTGGACCGGGATATATGGTGACGGGATGTTCATTCAACATTGGTTCTAAGACGAAAATTAATGGTTTGTGTTTCAGATGTTTATTAAATTGTTTTAGATGTCATACCTTGTAGCTTGGCCACGCTGCCCCTCAAAACCGCTTTGTGAACGGCACTGATATCAATGCCCAAAGCATTCCGTTCACCATTGCAGCTGCCCACACGAACCTTGCTGTCATTTAAACTGCTACCAGTACGTTGGCCACAACATGGAAGACTCGAGTAATTCGAATTGTTGGATGCGGCTGATGTTGTGGTACGGGCTTTGGGCTTAGTGTGAGAGATGAGATTAATAAGTCGTGGGTTTAAGAAACTATGCAATTGCTTGCTTACCAAGGTAGTTTGTTCCAAATTATTGGGATCTGTACTATTGGCATTTGTCGAGGACGATGTTGTCGTTGTGGTCGAATTAGTTTTCGATTCCAATGGGTTGCTGTGGCAATTGCCATTGCTCTCAAATCGAACCAAATCAACGGCATCAAAACTTTCATTGGGTGTTACGACGGGTGCACAGCTAGAGCTGGTTTGGGACATTTCTTCAGAATCACGCTTTTCCTTCATGCTTTTTGGAGAGAGTGAAAGGAAAATGGGTATGGAATCAAAATTACTATTGAAAATGTTTCATTTATTACTTTTTGCGACTGAGACTCATATAACCATCATCCTCGGATTGATTTTCACCACTATTTTGCAATTGTGGCCTCAATGAAATATTGTCTTCAAATTCAGAAATAATATCATCCAATACTTTGATGGGTTCGGGTATTTCGTCTAAAGGAAATGTAACGGCATCTAACATTTCCTCCTCTTCGATTTCCCTGCAAGGATATAAAGCAATGTACAACCACAAAATTGAAGAGTAAAGCGAATACGTTTATTAGAGATGTCAATGGGAGTATCCACAAATATAAGATTTTATTGAAATCTCCTGCTTCAGAGATTTGGTAGCGGCGATTCATTTGCTATTGATTGTTAGTTTGTATTATATATATATAATGAGGCATACGGGGTATAATGTAAGCTTGAAAAATGTGATTTCCCCCAATAATTGGGGGGAAACGTAATATGATGCACCATTCCTGAGCTCGAATATATGTTTTTTTTAGAAAATTATGATTAAATTTGTAAATTTAATTCTTTTGAAGAACTTATAAGCCGTACGACCCTGGGGATATATGTCCACACTTTCATTGATCCCAAAGCACATATAATAGTTAGTTGAAAATACGAATTACGATTATTGATTACTAGCAAATAATAAACGACTCTAAGATTGAGGATTCTGCTGCGAATATCCAGACATTAAGAAGTCGTACAGCCTTAGCAATAAGAGCTGCGAATTTCAGGCAGAAATTCTTGCTATTAAGAAAACAGCTGAGGTTGTTAAGGACTTGAATATCAGCCTCTGACTATTTTTTTTTTCGATAGTCCTCTGACTATTTTTGTCGATAGTAAAACAGAGTAACGTCTTCAGCTTTTATACTCAAAATTCTACAGATATCCGCTATTGATTAAACTATGCTATTTACCGGGGCACAGCAACCTAATGAAGAATAAAATCAACCTATCTGCGGATTAACCTAAATATTAATGCAACCTACATGTAAGTCATTCAGGATAATTTGGAAGTACAACTAATTGTCTACTCTTCCTAAATAAGTTAGAGATAAAATATGTAGTGGATATGGTCCTAAGGCAGTATATGGTCAAATCTCTTACTACCGTAGACTATGTGGAAGAGGATTTAATGACGATATACAATTTGCTTGTCAATTGTACTGTGTTCTATAGGATGAGACATCTCAGGTTGGGCAAATTATGAGATGGATATATATTTACCGGTATTGTGTTTGAAGACTTTCCATTTTTATAACCTCCAGCATAGTATGGAGGGTATATAAGGTTTATCATTCCGTTTGTAACACCTCGAAAAATACATTTTAGACCCCACAAAGTACATATATTCTTGATGTACTTGTGTACGTCCGTCTGTGGAAATCACTCTAACTTCCGAACGAATTGAAGTAGAAGGATCAAATTTTACTCAAATGTATATTATGTCTGCAGGATTTTGGTATTGAAAATGGGCCATGTAGGTCCACGTTTCGGTATAGCCCCCATATAACGGTACCTCCCGATATTCGGGATTGTCTGTGCAGGTCCTCGTCTTCGTATAGCCCCCATTTTACGGTACCTCCCGATATTCGGTATTTTGATGATTTTAGCGACATTATTGACCGGAATTGTTTGAAATTCTGTATTTGAAGTTCGTAATAGATAGTACAGCCGAAGACAGAAAATTGTCTGTGCAGTTCCACGTCTTCGTATAGCCCCCATACAACGGTATCTCCCGATATTCCGTATTTTGATGATTTTAGCGACATTATGGACCGGAATTGTTTGAAATTTGGTATTTGAAGTTCATAATGGATGCTAGAGTCTAAGACAGAAAATTGTCTGTGCAGGTCCACGTCTTCGTATAGCCCCCATATAATGGTACCTCTCTATATTCGGTATTTTGATGATTTTAGCTGAACAATTCACCGATTTTTTGCAGTTTCGCATTTGAATATTGTAATAGTTTATGACAAAAGTCCACGTCGACGTATAGACCCTAATATAACGGCTACATTCTGTATTTTAAAGATTTTAACAGAATTTTTAAAAAATTTAATTTTTTTGAAAATTGCCAAATTCGAACTTGCAGCTTATTTACTCGTTTTACTTTAAATTGTCCACATATTAAAGTTTCCGAATTTTTATCGATATATCATGTAAATGTTGTTTACCACATTTTATATTAGAAAAAAAGTTCCGCAATTATTTAAACAAGTCCCATTCGACACCCCTACTATTATAAGATGTATGTGTTCTATATTAACACACACACACAAACTCACACATGCATACATAAATACACACAAGATAACCATACATACATTTGCGGTTTTTGCTTAGGATTTCCTCCACTAGACAAAGATGTAAGAATTTGACAATGATGATTGTAATTTGGTTGCTCCTGAACGGCTATAACATTCGTTGATGATGACGGCGCCTCCTCCTGGTTGACTGATGTCAATGATGGCGATGATGATAATGATGTTGTCTTAATGTGTTCTCCTCCTTCCAGTGTTATTGTTGTAACGGACAAGGAAATTTTGTTACAAGGTTGCTGATGCTGTATTGCTGTTGATGAGTTATCGGCTTCGTCAATACCGGATACAGTTGCCATTACTGTAACAGGACATGTTTTCAGTTTGGAAGGAAATTGAAGAAAAGGCGACAGAGTTTCCTGTTTTTTATTTGAGTTTTAATTAAATTAAATTTATTTCGGTCGAAGAAGGATTTTCGTTGTTGTATAGTACGTTGGTGGCTGTTTTAATTTTTTTTTTCACTTCCTCTCAAAATAAAAAAAAAAAACTAATCTGGTTAATGTCTGGAAAAGTTCATTCATTCAGTTCATTCATATACACACATCGGCGGTTCACAAAATATAACTTCAATGACTAAGAAAAAGTCCTTTGGATACTACTCTGAAGGAAGTTATACTAAGTTTTGCATCGATTTTCCGTTTCACTTCATTTTCAGCTCTACTACTTGCAAAAGTCCATGCATTTTGAATAATTACAGAATTGCTTAATTTGAATTGTTAATAATTATTTAGCTTGTTGTTGTTTTTATTATTTGATTTATGTACGAAGAAGCTACCAGACATGAAATTGATTTGCCTCAGCTGCTGCTGCTTCTGTTTCTGGTAAAATATTGAAAATTTTTCACTTTGCCACCTTCGTCACTCTATACTCCTTGACGTCGTCGTTGTCGTGTTGTTATACATTGCTGTTACTCTGCTTTTTTGTTTTTGGTAGGTATTTCTGTGTATGTTTTTTTTTTTTGTTTTTGCGTTGCGTTTTCTTCTTGTCTAGAAGTTATGAGCAGCTTTCATTTTCAATTTACGTTCACACCAAACTGTATGAATTGAATTTGGTTGGAGTTGCTCGCTCCGTTGCCGTTGTCGTCGTCGGTCGGTTGGTCGGCCGTCGTATTCGCCTCTCAGTGTTGCAGACTTTGAAAAGTTTGTGACTCCTCCGTGCTATAGTTTAAAGGTTGTACAATGGTGCATTTCCACATAATGGCAGTTTTAGTAGCTGTTCGGTATTAAATAATGAAATCGAACGAGTTAGCATCAAGCAGCGACTGCGGCCTCATATGTGGTGCGAGAGTTGGAGGCTGAAATACGAGTTTACCTTTTGTGTGAGATATTCGCTGTGTGGGCAGCAGTGGAGGCAGAATTCCCATTTTCAAATCATGCAATTCTCATAAAAAATGGCAATTTAATTTCCATTTTCATTGGATTTTGGCTTGACTTTTTTTTGCCATCTAATTTGAGTTGATTTCACGCACAAGCATCCGGAATCAGCACCCGGGCCTCAGCCAAAAAAAAAAAAATAGATAGACAAACGACATACAAACAGACAGTCAGACGAACACTATCTTTATCTTGTATACAACATCATTGGAGAAGAGTATGTATCACTGTGGCGGTGGACGACGTTTTTTATTATCGCGTTCCCGTCGCCGACGTTGTTGTTCTTTGCCGTTTCGAAGGTAATGTCATATTCCGTTTAATATTTCATCCGGCAATCTTTTCTTAGACGATGATATTATTAGACTGCTGGAGTGTGTCTCGAAGATGTGTCAGCAGAATGCATGCAAAAAACACAGACACATTTGGCTGACAAATGGAGAGACGAGGCCAGAGAGTTGAGCGAACCCAGACGAAAGACCGAACATTTGAACAGCCAACGAATGGCAATCAATAGAAACATTAGCTTTATCCGCACAAATTAAGCATGGCAAACAAACAGTAACAAACAACACGCTTTACACTTGAGACTGATTTTACACTCGTAAATATCAAATGCTTTGCACATTTGTGAGACTAAAGCAAGAACTCACCAACATTCAGTCCTGGGTGTAGGAAACCCGAAAAGAGTGAGAATAACATTTGTTGTGCAGTTCTCTACTTTTTGAAATGGAGCAGAGAGCAGAAAGAGAGAGAAGGCTTCCTTAACATTTTAAATGCTCCCTTTGGCCAAATGTATATTTAAGTTGAGCATAGGCCAACCATGAATTTACCTTACGCCACATACTGTCCACACGTTTGTTTTATTACACCATAACAACAACAAAGACCGAAATTCAAGTCAACCACCCACCCCTCTCCCAAGACTAACTTTTTTCCCATAGCATTGATGCCATAATTCCACCCCATTTTTTTTTGCCCATTGATTGATTGTTTATTTGATTTCCCTGTAGGGAGTTCTAATAGTCGTTTATTAGTAGCGCAAAAATAAATCTGCTTCCTTATGTGGGATCTGCAAACCCCTCTGTCTCAGTCTGTCCATGCGCCTGTTGTATTTACATCACTCCCAGATACATTTATGAATGTGTGTGCAGATAAATCCAATGTTTTGAGTTATTTCTGTTTTTACTTGCCGGGAGGAATAATGTCGGCCGTATCTCACAATGTTTGCTTTGTTGTTGGTGCAGTCTTCTTTTTATACGCCTGCGCATTAATTAGCTCTGTTTACCAAACAGACCCATTGCGGAATATAAAAATGATGAAGAGGAAAACATTGAATAAATGGCTAAATACAACAGCAGACACAGCAAAAGACAACTTCCCAAAGGCATTTTTGTTACGGGGGCATAACAAAAGTTTTAATCCGCTGGCAGAGTCTAAAAAGGGGGTTCTTTTCTACAGAAAAAATGTTGTGAAACACCTCTTTTTTCTACAGAAAAAATGTTGTAAAACACCTCTTTTTTTCCTATGAAAAAAATGTTTTGAAACACCTCTTTTCTTCTATAGAAAAAATGTTTTGAAACACCTCTTTTCTTCTAGAGAAAAACTTTTGTGAAACTCCTCTTTTCTTCTGTAGAAAAAATGTTGTGAAACACCTCTTTTTTTCTATAGAAAAAATGTTGTGAAATACCTCTTTTTATCTGTAGAAAAAATGTTTTGAAACACCTCTTTTTTCTATAGAATGCTGTGAAATAAAAAATGTTAAGAAACACCTCTCTTCTTCTATAGAATAAAGTTTTTTGAAACACCTCTTTTCTCTTATAGAAGAAATGTTGAGAAACACCTCTTTTCTTCTCTAGAAAAAATGTTGTGAAACACCTCTTTTTTTCTATAGAAAAAATGTTTTGAAACACCTCTTTTTATCTGTAGAAAAAATGTTGTGAAACACCTCTTTTTATCTGTAGAAAAAATGTTTTGAAACACCTCTCTTCTTCTATAGAGTAAAGTTTTTTGAAACACCTCTTTTCTCCTATAGAAGAAATGTTGTGAAACACCAATGCTGTGAAATAACTGTTTTATTCCTTAAAAATAGTTTTTAAACATCTCTTTTCTTCTTTTCGGTTATAAAAATTGGAAGCATTTAAAAAGGGGGTTGTTAATGGGGTGCAGAAGAGAATATATCCAGACAGAAGCCAAGGGAGTAATGAAGATTGGTAGATTTCTCTGAAGACATGGTTTCTCTGGACATGGTTCCGTACCGTTTGTTTAATTTTTTTGATAAAAACAAGTTAAAAAAAAGTTCGGCTCAAAAAATAAAATCCGTTAAAAATTATGTTAAAATCTTAAAAATACCGAATATTGTCGTTATTCGACGTCTATACGACGTCGAGCTGCATAGGCATTGTTTGTCATAATCCATTGCCATATTCTAATTCGAAACTTGAAATAAACGGTGAATAATGTAGCTAAATGGTCAAAATGCCGTATATAGAGAGATATCGTTATAGCCATACAAAGACCTGGACCTGCATAGACAAATTTATGTCACAGACTGCAGTTCCCATTACGAACATCAAATACCAAATTTGAAACAATTCCGGTGAATAATGTCCCTAAAATAATCAAAATACAGAATATCTAGAAGTACTGTTATATGAGGGCTATACAAAGATGTGGACCTGCACAGACAATTTTCTGTCGTAGGCTGTAGTATCCCTTACGAACTTCAAAAACCAATTTAAAAATTGCAAAATACCGAAAATATGGAGGTACCATTATATGGGAGCTGTACCAAAATGTGGACCTACATGACCCATTTTCAATACCAAAAGTCCTGCAGACATAATATACATTTGAGTAAAATTCTATCAATCTACTTCATTTCGTTTGGAAGATAGAGTGATTTCCATAGACAGACAGATGGACGGATATCGCTAAATAGAATTTTATGCTGATCAAGAATATATATACTTTGTGGGATCTAAAATGTATATTTCGATGTGTTACAAGCGGAATGACAAACTTAATATACACTCCGTACTATAGTGGAGGGTATAAAAAGCAGTGAATCACCGTCATGATCTTGCAACACAGAAATTACACATTTTCCGTTCATTCAAACACATGTAGATGGTATTTTCTCATTTGCGTTTCATTTATTTTTTCACATTTGTTTTATGTACGTACGTACGTACATTCATCTGCAGCCTCTCTTTACTACATATATATATATACATTCAGCATGTGCCAAAAACAGTTGTATTCTTTTGTTTGCCCACACCAAAAGTATTGGAATGGGGGAGGGAAAAAATACAACGTCTGCCAGCCAGTCAGCTTGGAAGCGAGCCCCTAAATGGATGTCTGTACTGCCTAATTGTTCTTAGAGCAAATCACACAACAAACATTGTCTATAAGTTATGAGGAGTAGGAGAACAATATAAAAAAATCTCCCTCTTCTTACAACAATTACTCTTTGGAATGTAGAGATGGAACAGTGGAGACTTTGATGAGTAAATTTACGAAATGGATATAGAATTGCAACAATGTAATGGAGAATCTAAAATAATAAATTTATTTTGTTTGGAGGCATTTATAAAAATCTCCTCAATTTACAGTAACCGATTTATACATACGTATGTGCATAAATATGGAATCCAAATTTAAATCTTAGTTCTTTCCCCACACCCCAACGTATTTATGACTGAAAATGATATGATACATCCATCGCATGCATGACTGTCTATGTTCGTTTGTATCTGTGCGCGTATTCAAGTTTTATTGAATGAAAAGCATTAAACATGAATGCAAACTTTTGTAGGATAGGTTCGAATGTTGTCTGACTATTTGTCTGGCAAACGGTGTTACATTCTGATTTGTTTGTTTGTACCGCTCATCACGTATCGTTTGTAACACAAAAACAATACGTTAACATACTGACTAATATTTATGAATGATTAACAATGTTTACTTCGTATGGTTGGTCACGCAATATCCGATGATGTTGATTGTTTTTTTTTTTTGTCATTTGCCATCAATATTGTATGTAGGTATATGGGGAGATAATTGCCCATTGGATAGGACCGAATACATATTTTTCAAAAAAATATACAGGGTGAGATGAAAAGACTGCAACCAACTTCAGACTCCTGTCATTTCTAAGCCACTCGTCCGACAGCTGTTAAAATTATCCTAGTGATAGCTCATTATATTGTTTACAAGCGTACAAAAGCATTGTGGTGAAATTTTTCCAGAAAAAAAGTTATTCGTGATGGAATTCAAGCGTGACATTGTGATTTCTTTATATTTGGCTGGAAAACCACAAGTGGCTATCGTTAGAGCACTCCAGCATTTAAATGTGAATAAATCTTTTGCGACTGGTACCATCGCTCGTTACCGTGATACTGGTACCGTAGCCCGATGTCAAGGAAGTGGACGGAAGAAAACAGCAACATCAGCTGAAATGGTTCGAAAATTAAAGAAGCGACTTGATCGAAACCCGCGTCGCAGTGGCTCGTGAGCTAAACATATCACAATATTCCATTCGGCAAATATTGAAAAATGAGCTCGGGGTAAAGCCAAAAAGTTCAACAACTTACACAGCAACAGAAAGAAAATAGACTCAAAAGAGCTAAAGAGTTGCTTCGGCCGAAAGTGGTGAACTGCTGAATTTGGTTTTCTCCGATGGGAAAACATTCGTAGTCCAGCAGTTTGCAAACAAACAAAATGATCGTGTTTACTTGTCAAAGAGGTCAGCTGAAAATGTGCACCTTCAGTTGGCCACCAGAACTCAAGCGCTGGCCATGGTGATGGTGTGGGACGCCATAACAGCCGATAGTCGCTCTCCGCTCGTATCAGAATAAATACCGAATATTATCGCGGAAATATTTTGGAGGGTTCCGGAGGGCCTTGGGGACGCAGACCTTGAACATTCCCACTTAAACCCAGCACCATCGCACTCAGCACACGCCACCCAAGAATAGTTACAAAATGAGGTTCCTCGCATCATTTCCAGCGCCCAATTGTCACCAAAATCTCCGGATACCAATCCGTTGGACAATTGAGTCTGAAGTATTTTGAAAAGCAAGGTTGACACTAAAAAATACCAAAGTGTCGATCATCTCAAGCAAGCGCTTCGCCGGGAATGGACCAAAATGACGCAGAGTATCATTGGGACAGCGAGTGACGATTTAATTGGCCGTTTGAAGGCCATAATTCGTGCCAAAAGTGACCAATTCGAACAAATCTAAACTTATTCTAAAATTTGATGCTATTTCCGCCATTTTTTGCTTTCATAAACTTAAAAAAATGTAAAAATTTTGGCGTTTGACTTCATTGCAGTTTTTTATCTCACCCTGTATATGCTTTCATTTTAATTAGTTCGTTTCTTTTCTTGTTGTGCAACATTGATTCCAGGAACTGAAGCTCCAGATACAATTTTATGACTTTTCAGTTGACGGATCTTGATTTGAGTTGTTATAACTTTTACTGCATTTGAGGAGATCATCAAATTGCCAAGTTTCAGGACGCCTTGATATTTTAAATTCGTTAAATGGCGCTGTGAAGAAATCACCTTCCAATCATAACGTAGTCAATTTTCAAGCCATGCCCAATCCAATAGGAGGTTCTTTGATCCTGTTTACAAAAAATGTTTTATTTGAATGTTACCTTTGACCTGAAAGTTAAAGTAATAATTAAAAGGGTTTTTTGTTTGTATTAATATTCATATATTTGTTCATCTTGTTGTCGTATTAAATGTTTTTTTTAGAGCGGCTATTACCAACTTAAGAAAAAATCCAAACATTTCTTAAGTACACCGGGATTGTTTGGGTTATTTTTATTATTTGTTTAACTCAGTTTTAACCGAATTTTATTGAGTTTTTTTTATTTTTTATGTATATTTTTTGCTTTGTTTTTTTTTTACATAAATAAACCTAAAAAGGTTTGTTTCTTTTTTTTTTGTTTAATTCACACTATAAGTAATTTATAATGTATGTACATACAAATGTCTTCACTATATATGGTTGTTTGTTTGCTTTTTATGTATATTTATATGTATGTATGTAATAATCATAATAGTTATATAATATAATATGAGTTAATTTTGTTGTTTTTAGTAAGTTTATACTATTTGTTTTGTTGTTGTTTTTTTTTTTATTGGTTATGAAGAATTTAAAGGCTAATCTGGGAGTGCATTGTTTTTTTTTTTTAATTTTTTCTTGGTTTAGTATTAGTTTAGCATTAATAGTAAGTAGGTCTAAGTGGGATTGGGTGGGGTAGGGGATGGGAGTATATAACTACTTATTAAAGGACTTGCTTAGTTCACTTAAAAAAAAAAAAACTTCAACAAAAGAAACTATCAACAAAATTATGCTTACCATAACAATTAGAACTTACATGAGAGGAAGGACAAGAGAGAGAGAGGGAGAGAAATTATATTACAAACAATTGAAACCATAGAACGGGCAAAATAGGCAGGGTCAATAAGACTTGTTTGAAACAAATAAATTAGATTTCTTTGTATTTTTTTTAATGTAAATATTGTTTAATTGTATATAAAAAAAAATTATAACAAAACAATAAAAATAATGGGGATTGGTAGTGGTCACAATGAATACACTTTTCGTTTCGCTTTTCTTTTCACAATTGAAATGTTTCTTTTCGCTTTTTGTATAAATTGAGTTTGTTCATACATTTTAACTAGATTCAAATGAAAATATAATGACAATTTTCTTTTTTGCATCACTCAATTAAACTATAAACAAATGTATAAAAATCGACGATTTCATTCAACACAAAATCAAAGAGATAGAGAGAAGGAGTAGTCATGCAAAATTTAATTGTTTGTCCAAAGTTTAGCTTAATATTTCAAATTTAACTTAAGCATAATGAATTTTGTGTTAGTTTAATATGTATAATTTTAATATATGAAACTACAAGTATTATACGTTAGTGGATTTTTTTTTTGTTTCTTTTGCTTTACGAATTCCGATTTTTTTGTTAATTCTTTATAAATTCAAGGTAGTTTTTCGTAATTATTGTTTTCTGTTTTTGTAGTGACAGATGTTGGCCCTAAAGCTGTTAATTAGTTTTTTTTGTTTTTAGTTAAGAGTTATTTGTTGTGATTAATACTTGTTGTTTCTTTAACATCAGCTAAGTCTCCTTACCGGGAGATGTAGGGTATTTTTAGATTTTAGCTATAAGTTTTGTATGTGTTATGTATAACTGTTAATGGTTTTGCATTGGTTTCATTTTCCTATATATGTATGTATTCAAGAGTCAAAAAAGATAAATATCTAACGTTTTTCTGAAAAATAAAATATGAATTTGAAAACAATCATTACCCGGAAAATGTTCATCGTACTCAAAAATTGAAGAGGGCTAGAGCATGGCAGCAGATATGGAAAAGTTTAATGGGAATATGTATTGTAGTATTCAAAAGCTATTATACGTTTGTTTTTGTTTTTTTCTTTTTTTAAATAAAAACGATTTTAAGGAGTATAGGAAAATACTGACTTTGTTAGACTAAATCTGCATTGTATACACAATGTTTGTTTACTTGCTTAGGTGAGTGGTTGTATGTATATGTGTTTACAGGCATGGGGGGAGTGTTTGGATTATTGTATTTATATATGTATTTAGCATTTCGAGTATGATTTTCATGTTTGTTGTTTGTTATTGGGTTTCTTAGGTATATTGTATAAATTGTTACTGGGTTATTATCCGCTTAACGTCATACTTAAAATAATTAAGTATGTTCTTTTTGTATAACAACTTGTTTTGTTTGTTTGTTCCGTAGTAGTATCGTAATAATTTTCACGTTATTAGTTTGTTTGTTTTGTTTGTTTTTTATATTATAAATTTGGTTTAAACATGAACACGTTGACAATGGCCACACTTCTTCCTTAACTGTTGCTCGTTTGTTTTTTTTTTTTCATTGCTTCAAGGCCTTAAGGTTTCATCACAGGCTATTACACTGTGCAAAAAGTGTTTCATCTCAACCACAACCACTCTTTTGTATTCGCCCATCACCCATCTGCCACAGGCATTCGGTGATGGCTAATGATGTTGTTGACTGTTGATGATAATGATATTGCCGTAAAAAACCTAAGACTCGCTAGAATTAAATAGCTGCACATGTGTTGTTGCTGTATTAATATTATTTGTAGGAGAGCAAGATCAGGACTTGTTGAGATGTTCATTTTCTGGTCGGCGATCGGTAGCAATTTGCAATAGGTTATTAAATTCTGTATCTAAACTTTGGCGAGCCTGAAAGTGAAGAGGAATTTCAATTAGTTATTAAGAAAACAAATTCACTAAATTCTGATCATACCTGAGCATTTTGTGTAGGTATTTGTAAGGCCAAAGCCATTGCGTTTGCATCAAAGCTTTCATCCAAAGCAATTAAAGCCCCATGGACTCCAGATTCCAACAGATTATTGGCATATTCCTTAAAGAGAATTTCATTAAATTATTACTTGTCACAAGCCAACACAATCTCTTATTGTATGGTTACCTTCAAACCAATACTGGAAACCCAACGTATTACACGTTCATTACTCCACACTATAACATCACATAGACCATTTTCACACATTTTTCTCCGATGTTCCAGCTCATTGCGATCGTAATTCAAACGTTTCAGACATGAAATGCCATATTGTAGACTTGTACGATGAAAGCTATCAACCATTTTTAACTGTCCTCTTAGGTCTTTTTTCGTTAAATGGTCCAGCATGCGAGCATCCACTAGACATTCCATAAATGTTGTGCGATATTGTGGCAAACCAAGGCCGGGTAGCCAATAATTGCCAATCCATTCGTGATTCATATCACCTGAAATTGGAAACGACCGAACATGAGTGCAATGAAATTAATATAATTTCTGAATTAGACACTTACCAAATGCCAATGTTGTTCGTGATGTCTGTGGCGCAGAGGGTGAAGTTAGTGAAACCATTTCTTGTATTGCAAGACGTAATTTAAGCCTGTGTAAAGGATTGCTAATACCTATTTAAATACAAAATAATAATATTATTATTGACTTTCACATATGTTTCAATGAAATCAATTCTAATTACCAATTTCCCTTTGGATTTCAGTGTCACTAAGAGCACTCATAATGGCTCCACTTTTGACATTAGCTCTACATGCGGCCACATACCAGGCGGGCATACCCACCCACAATTCTAACCAAGCAACTATAGTGGGCCCATTCCAAAGAGCAAACGGTGTGCCCGCCTTCATAGCCTCGCCCAGTAAATCGTTACGATAATCATGTTCCCTGCAAATACAAATGAATCCATTAACCATTGTTGCAGTTTGGCAGTTTGGAAACGTCCATACTTCTTTTGTCTTCCATAATCCACGGAGGATATCTTCGATCCCGGTACACTGGCTATACGAGGCATCATGCCACCTGTCATGCTCATGGCATCATAATTGGATTCCGTTTCACTTAGGCCCATTGATAAATTTCCAATGGACATCATGCTAGGCGAGCCATCGGGAAGAGTATCTTTAACTCCCTTGACTTTTTCCTTTTTACTAAAGAACCGGCCCAAACTTGATTTAATGCCTTTTTTCTTTTGCACCGACGATGAGCCATCCACTCGTACTCCAGACGCTGCAGGTGGAAGCATAGACATTGAACCCATTGTATTGAAATGTCGGCTCAATGATTCCTGACTGCCGTAACGCGAACTTAACGGCGAAAGACCGTAGCCCGAATGGGGTATGGTCATGTGTCCTGAGTTATTTGCCATTTGTTGGTTAGGTGACAGACCCATAGAGCGTCTTCGCAGCTCCTCTTGACTGTGAGCCAATGCTTGAGCAACGCGTTCTAAGCGCATTGAACGGGCTGTTAGCGGAGAAGCGGCTCCGCCAGAACTAGAATCACCAGTGGTGGTTGTCATGCCATGAATATCGTCTCGTGATACATCACTGGATAAGACGGGTAGGTTAAGCTGAAAGGAAAGAAATCCCAATAATTTAAGCCCAAAATCGTTCCATTAAAAGAACCAGTTGTGCTTACTGTATGGTATTTCTGCATAAAATCTCTATTGGGACTATTTGGAGTGCTGCGACCACTCATTGGTGGGCTTCGATCCATAGATCGACCACGGGCCAATAGATTCACATGTTCTAAGCTGCCCACACGCGATTCGAGTTCTTCAGCTCTGGCTTCAGTTGATTGTTTTTCTTCTTGTATTAATCTGAAAAAAATCGGGATTAGTATTCAACAATTCTTAAACTTTTCAATTTCAATTCCCACCTTATTTCATTATTTATGGCATCTAGTTGCTCCTGAAGCATCATTGCCAACGTTTGCGCATCCGTATGTCCAGTGGGCGACATTATATCTGCATCACCAAACAGCACCTGAGCCTCTTCGCACTCTGCAGCTGCTACTGCAGCTGATATTTCGTAGGCTGCCTGCTGGGCATGGGCCTGTTGTATGCTCTCCCATTCCTGCTCGGCCATGGAACGTGCAAAATTCTCACTCTCCTCCTGTAGCCTTGATTTGTTACGCCTCAGTGAATGTGTATCAAAACTAGCATGGGAAGCACTACGTGAAAATGCTTGACCTCCGTCCACCACGCTACTAGGTGAAAGACTACGTGTTAATGCCTCTGTCTGCTGAATATTGTATGCAATTTCCTGTTGCAACAACTGCCGCTTGAAGTTTTCAATTTCCAAACGTGTTTTTGATAATTCCTTCATTATGTCGCTCTTTTCATGATGCAATTCCTCGGCTACCTTTCGCGCCTTCTCCAGTTCTTGGGTCAAGGCATTCTTCTCATCCAGGGAATGCATACGCTCCTTGAGATGAACCTGTAAGCGCTCATTGGACTCCGACAACAGTTTGTCCACAGTTGAAGACAAACGTAGATTATGCTCTTCGTTCATTTTAAGTCTTTGGTTTAGTCTCACAACTTCGGCATTCTTCTCCTCCAAGTTGGCCTCCAAACGCTGTATACGATCTTCGGCAGAACCATGTCTCTCTTGGGCCTATTTTTTGTATGAAAAACAATGAAAATGAAAAGAAAAACAAGGATCAAAATACGGTTCGGCCAGCATCAACAAATAATCATTGTCAAAATTAAATGAAATATGTTAGCGAAATGAATTTTTGATGGTTGTGCATGGTGGTCGATTGTTTGTTTCTTGTTTGGTGCAATAATGTTATACTTGTTGGTTTTTATGGTTGAGAGTATTACTGAGGGTTTGTGCGTTCAGAGGAAGAAATAAATTTAAATTGGAAAACAAACTATGTTGTATACAGAGGACTGAATTCAATTTTCGCAACCAAGAAGTTTCGGGTTTGAATTGTTTTTTGGTTTTGTTTTTTGCTTAAGTTCTATTTTGTAAAGGAAATTAAGACAATTAAGAAATTGTTAAGAATATTACTCATTTTTTAATTCCTCTTTGACGCATGTGAGATCGTATTCATACCTTGTTTCCTACCTTTGTTAAAGCTTCCATACGTGCTTTAAGCTGTTCCTCCATGTCTGGCTGCAGTTTGGCTTGTTGGGCCAACTTTTGTTCAGCCAGTTCCAACTTCTCTTCGATGGCACTAATTTTTTCCTCGTGTAACTGTGTTTTTTAGTGGGATTGTAGGGAAGGGATAACATTAATAGGAATTTGCGGTGGCTGAAGCAACTTGATGCAAATAAATACCTTCAATTGGGCCTCTTTGTGCCGCAATTCTTGTTCCAACTTTTCGTTCAAATCATGCAATGATGTTGATTCACGTTGTGCATTTAGATACCTCTTCTCTAAGGTAGCTATGCGTTCCTCCTATATTTTTGGTTTTGGGGCGGGATTAAGCAAATGTGTGAGTGATAAGTGAGGTATTTTATACTTCCTGATTAAGTACCTGATCTTCCTTTTGTGCTACGTTTTCTCTTAAATCTCTTTGCAATTTCGAACATTGTTCTTGTGATTTCATGTAATCCTTTTGAACCTTTGCCAGACTGTCGTCAAGTTCGTCGCATTTGTTCTTTAGAGCGGATACACGGCGCTGCCATTCAGACAATTCAGAGGTCTTATGCGTAGGGAGAATAAAAGGAAAATAAGAATGATGTGGACGTTAGCGATTTAGAGGACTCACCTGTTTTTCAATGATTTGTTGCAATTCATGCGTTTTGGCAGCATACTCATTGGCAGCGGCGATGGCAGATTCGTTGCTTTCACCATTGACCGCAGTGGAATTCTATAAATATGTTTATAAAATATTAAAGAAGTTCCAAATTGATGAGAATAACATGAATAAATAATTATTATTGGAAAAATTCTAATTGATAGAAAACTGCCAAAACCCTTCTATACCAGATATACCAAAGGTATACAAAGCTAATACCAGATATACAAAGCTAATGATTTTGAACCAAATTTGTATTGCAAAACCATAAAGAATATATTTTTGTAATTCCCCTAATATTGGCTTCTTATACCTTTTCTCCATTCACCCCATTCTCGTTATTGGCTTGTATTGCTCCAGATTTATACTGTTGAAGCTAAAAGAATGAGAAACAAATTTAATTAGGTATGTATAAAATATTTACAATGCCAATAACTTACCTCTTCTTTGATGGTGTTTAGCTCGGTTTCCAAAGCATTGTTACGCTCCAACGACACACGTAGACGTTCACGCACTTTCTCGTCAAGAGCTTTATGATGTTCAAAAAGACTTTTAAGGGCCTTGAGAACTTCTACTTCACTTGAGACTCCACTTTGAGCAGCAGCTTGACGTTTTACAACAGTCATACGCAAAGAACGTTCATGACGTGAAACCAAACACTCCAAATGTTCCAGCAAAAGCTAGAAATATTCAAATGTATTCAAAGGGATCCACAAGAATTGGAAATAAGTAATAATACCCTTGTATTATTGCGTTCTGCCTTAAGTTCGCCAATTTCTTCATCGCGTTCCAGCAGAGTTTCACGGGCCTGTGTAAGTTCTTTGGTCAGTGTGGCAAACTCCTGCAAAAAAAAGAATATTAAAAAATAAATTCCAATTCTGGATGCACGTTTTACCTGTGGCAAATTTGCATTTATTTGGCGTTGAAGACTGTCCCTCTCCTTTTCGGTGTCATGCAACTTCTGTTCAGTTTCACTCAAACGTTCTTGAGCCTCCCTCAAACTATCCATTAACTTGTCCCGCTCATCCAACATGGACACCATCAACTGCTCAAAGTTGGCATCTTCGCCGCTAAACTGTGAGGATCGCTGGGAGATGCTATCCTCCGATATAGTTGGCATCACGTCACACATCATATTCCACATTTTATGTATACCGCATTCAAATAGAAATCTTTAACCAGGAGAAGAATCAATCAACATATTTCCGTTATAAAACAATTCATCATTTGTTTTGAGAAGCAAAAAAACATATTTGTGCGTTAGTTAGTTTTCACACATGGGCGTAGTTATAGAAAGGAATTTTTTGTTTAACGCCAACGCCAACCTACATTTACATGTCTCGGGTAAGAGAACCACCACCTTTTTTTTGTATGGCAAGCAGAACTTCCCATACAACACAAACTTCTCCAACACTCATAAAAAACTATTAGCACAATTCGAAGGAAATAAGCATATTTCATTGGAGCATGCATCCGCTATTTGTTGTTCCATTTCTGTTGATATTTCGGGTTTTCAATCCATCATTTCTATTGGATTTTAGATTTAGTGTAGTCGGTTCAGTTAATCATTCAGCCAAATAGCCAAAAATCGTCTATCGCAAATTTGACATATGCACTCATTCGTTTTTTTCGCTCTTCACATACATTCGTCGTCTCAAATGTCTCTACACTACAACCAAATCCAATATCCAATTTACTTTTGGCACACTTACTTAGCTTCTGTCTTCTGGGCGAATCATTCACATTTGTATGATGCGTTTGCGAAACTATTATTAATATTTTATAATTTTATTTGAAGAAACATTGTAAAAACGAATATTTTCCGGTTATTTCATCAAAACTCTCTTTTTGTGTGGATTATTATTAGATAGTGATGGGAAAATACAGACTATTTGATTACTTGTATTCGGTATGGTATATAAAAGTCAGAGAGCAACAAAATAGAGAATTCAGTTCAGACAGAGAAATTGGTCTAGAAATTATCTGTGTTATATTTATATGAAATACCATGGTATATTAATAAGTATTGGTAGAGCCAGCTGATTACAAGTTTTTTATGAGTGAACCCGAAATCTTTGTATGTAACTACAAAGAAACAACTTTCAAAGCCAATGGTGGGTCACAATAGGAATTATAACCTGTAGAAACTTATCCTTTTCTCCTAAGGGCTCTATCAGACGATACGTTTTTTACATACGTAGTGTAAAATTTTCCATATTTAGAAGTTGTACCCATCGTGTGAGACATGGACGACATTTCTATTGTAAAATACATGAGTATAGTTTATATGTACATTTCCGATCACAACGAGCCCTATTTTCATCGGAAAGATATAATTTAATCAAAAGTGTTGTATGTTTGTTGTGTGAAAATGTTTAAAATTAAATTTGAGGTAAAAAGTTATCCATACATATTTTTTTTTGTTGGAATATAAAATATAATCCCAATATAACCAAAGTAAATACAAAAACATATGTAAGTGTGTGATTGCAAGAATTATAAGTCATATGTATAATGACAATTTTGACATACATGCGGAAATGCACATGGATAATAAAAGTGACAACATAAAAAGCACTTATTGTCTGATAACAGAATAAAACATATACATATTTGACAGTTTCATCCTGAACCAGACTATTTAAACTAACGTTCGAATCGGGATTATAGACATTTAAGGTGTGGGTACATAACCAACTTTAAACCTTTGCATAAAATGATGGGATTAAATTTCTCTCTTTAGACCAGGCCTCTGTAACATATTGGCTTTACGGGAGTAAACATCGTTTACTTAAAGGCTTTAAAATCGGATTATAAAACTACCTGTAAAGGGCTATTAACTCACCTCGCTTGCCATCCTGTTATGAGAAAATAAGAAGAAAGAGATATCAAATCACTTTGCCTGCCATGAACTGTACAGGCATAAGAAGAAGAAGCTATCACTTTACTTGCACACTCAACTCGATATACCTCAGTAAGAAGAAGAGAAATACCAAGCAGAGCAGTGGCAGAGTAGCATTCGTCGACAGCGAAAAATCGAATTGGGTAGAATTTATTCTTGCAAAACTTCAGAACCACAGAACCACCACTTTTGAGACAGAAAAATTGCTTAAAATTTGTACAATTGAATTGTCGAAAATGGGGTAAGTAAATTATTTTTGCAACCATTCACTTTTGGCCGATTTAAAAATAAAGTGTAAACACAAGAACCTTTAAAAGAAAAAATTTCTCATGTCGGGGCAGGGGAGTGTTTGATGTCAAGAAATTAAAAAAATAAGAGAAACAACGCCAACAAAAATAGCAGCAGTTCATCCTCAAATTAAGACATGAACGTACACAATCTGAATTGCCACTGTCAAAGTGTCGTCCTCCTTGTAGGGGCAATGTTCTTTTTTGTTGTTGTTGCTGCTGCAAGTTGTAATTACATTTTTACAACGACGAAAGCCTATTCATGTTGGCAACGATTTTTACGTGTCCCCCGGGTAAGGTGAATATGTAAATAACACTACAATTTTAATGAGTTTCATGGATTGTAGGGAAGTGTCTGCATGTGTGTGGCAAATCAAGAGTTTTATTACAATGTGTAAATTTTTAAAAATAATGCCTATTTTTAATTAGATTTGTGTTATATTTCTGTTGTACATTTTCAGTGAACAGCCGATATTTACATGTCAAGCGCATGTCTTCCATATTGATCCGAAGACCAAGCGTACCTGGATAACGGCCAGCATGAAAGCGGTAAACGTAAGTTTCTTTTATGATTCTTCACGCAATCTTTACCGCATTATAAGCGTTGAGGGCACAAAGGCGGTTATTAACTCAACCATAACACCCAACATGACATTTACACAAACATCACAGAAATTTGGGCAATGGAGTGATGTAAGAGCCAATACGGTGTATGGCTTGGGATTTGCTTCCGAAGCGGAACTGACAAAGGTACTTCAAGCACCTGTTTTATGTTGTCTATTCTATTTTAAATTAATATTCTTTCCTCGTAGTTTGTGGAAAAATTCCAGGAAGTTAAGGAAGCTACAAAGAATGCCTTAAAGTCGGCTAACGGTGAGTAATAGAAGAGCATCTTAATATAATTATATTTATATTTTATGTATATACAGGATCTACAGCTGTAACCCCGACAACATCGGCAAATACATCGCCCATTAGTTCACGCACTGCAGCAATGCAGCAAAACGACAATGCCGCCATGGTTGATCCTCATTCGGTGGAACCACCAAATATGTCAAACACTAATACTCAAAATGCAAATCCGGACAGTCCATCACACAAACTACTAACGACTGCTGCAGATACCAAACCGGAACATGTGACATCTGCCCCCTCCCCTGCTCCCATGGTGAATGTAAGTGCGGGTGGTGGCGGGGGTGGGGGTAGTGTCGTTGGCATGCATACCGGCGGTGGGGCAGCAACGAGTGAACAACAATTGAAGTATGAAAACGAACGCTTGAAAATGGCTCTGGCCCAAAGGTATGATGATGAAGGCAATATTCTTGTTACAAAAAATGATTAAATGTCTTTGGTTTTCAGTTGTGCTAATGCTAAAAAGTGGGAAATCGAATTGGCCACTTTGAAAAATAATAATCTACGTTTGACCAGCGCGCTTCAGGTTAGCGATTTTGCTCTAAATGGGAACAATTTTATAGACTAATGAATGTTTTTTGTTTGTTTAGGAATCGACTGCCAATGTTGATGAATGGAAACGCCAGTTGCATACCTATAAGGAGGAAAATATACGGCTAAAACGAGAAATTGAATTAATACGTTCTGGTGCACCAGTACCAAATTCGGTTGTGGCTGGAGCTGCCAGCAGTGAATTGGTCGAGGAATTACGACGTGAACTGGCCGTTCTAAAAGCACGGAATGAATCATTACAAAATGAGCTTATGAGTCAAGAGGTGGAACTTAAAACAGCCAATATGAATTTAAGAGAAAAATGCAATGATCAAGCGGTAAGATGAGATATGTTTATTGATTAATGTATTAATTAACATTACATTTTTTTTTTTGCATTTCTTAAGATGACCAAAATGAGTGAACTGAATGTTTTGTTTGCTAAACATCTATCAGAACTTTTTGCGGTGCAAAAAGATATGGAAAATGTTATACATCCTCCAAAAAGTACTTGAGATACAGATTCAATACCAAATTATTATAAAAAGGTAAGCTTTGTTTAGGGGTTTGGGAGTAATTTTGCACATGGGAAAGACTAAGGGAGAAACTATATATTTTGAAGTAAAAATTCCAGTGGGGGAATTTGTGAATTTTTATTTATTTTTTACCCCTCTTGTTGTTCTAATAATACTATTATTTAATTTTTGACTTTAGATTTCTGAAGAAAATGCTGCTTCCATACGTAATTATTTAAAGCCCGCATCTGGTTTAGCGTTGGCAGACTCAGAAAGTACACTATCAAATATCACATCCATACAATCCCAGCTACAGTCATTATATGAGACATGTCATGATGCCATGAAAATCTATCAGAGTCCACAGAACCCTGCAACAGTGGCTGCTGCTGCTGCAACCAGTGATAAAACCTCCAATTTACAAAAAGCTCTAGACAAGCATACACATCTCTTGCAAGATTTGCAACAAAAACCTAATTTAACCAGTAATCCAGCTACATATGTGGTTTCTGGTGGCGCTGGTGGTGCTGCAGGTAAAACTGCAACAATATTGGTTTCAAAATCGAAAACCAAAACTGGTCTACCTTTGCTATTAAAAAATTCCATTAACAATTAGGATAGAGTTTAACCAAATGTAAACAGCAATGTGAAATCTTCTTGATACGGACAAAAACAAAACAAACTAAACTAAAGATCACTGATTTCGATATTTTGCCGCTGCCCAGTTTATCAGACACATTTTCCTTAGAATATCTTTGTGCTATAGTTATATTTACAATATAAACATTGGTATTGTCTAACATCGCAAATGGCGATGTCTAGCTTTTTATGTATACTTTTTATGTCTCTTAGTGTATTTATTGAAAAATATTTTTTGTATTAGAATTTTGTGCAATATGTATTTTTTTATATTGTCTACCAAAAGTATTCGCATATATACTCGAAAATTAATTTTATTTGTATATCATATCTACATAATCATCACATGTTTCTGGGTTCGGTTTTAGAATCTCAAGTGTCCAAAAGAAAGCTGTTGAGTTTCCTGTACTGTGGAAACTAACAGAGGACATTTTTCATTTTAAAACATGTTAAAACAAATTCGAATCCACCCTTAACTGCTTTATTACGAATCTCTAAAAAAATTATATTTTTAAATTATTTCCTTAAAGCAAGAATTTTGCTTGATTTTGTTTATTTTTAATTTAATTTAAAGCAAAATCATGTATGTTATTGTGTATTTCAAAAAATTAATGCTCGATTATAGCATAAATAATTAGCAAATACTAATCAAAACGAAAAAAAGAGAAATTTAACAAAATTGATATTATTATTTATATTTGATTTAGAATTAAAAAAAAAAATGCTGCAACAACAAAAGAAAAAACTTGGTATGTGTTTGTTTGATGGTCCCCCCGAATTAACACAATACCATCGTCAACTATCATAAATATGCATCATTCAAAAGTCATATATTTAAGTGATTTATACGATTAAAAATATAAAACACCCTAATGTAACTTTCAACATCATTGTCATCATCATATTCACAAATGTAAACGAAAAAGGTAAACCTGGACAATAGCCATTCAAGCAGATCAGTGCTGAATGGTGTCCAGGTGGCGTTTAGAAGAAGACAAACTAAATAATATTATTGAGAACATTACGACGAATAAAAAAAGTAATATTAATTTAAATAGAAAATAAAATAAAAAAAAAACAAAATATTTATATAAAATACAACACAAGAAAGGCGTAAGAAAAACTCTCATACACACACAACACACCCATCAAAACAAATCCATAATAACAACAATAACAACCGTCATCAACAATTGTTTGTTTAAAGAAATAACAGAAAAAAATAACACAATGTAGGAACCTTAAACCCAACTACAATATTATAACCCAAACCTAATAATAACAACAATAAAAAAAACCACAACAAATATAATTGCATAAAATATTTATACTTGTAGTAACCTAAACAAAACACAAAAACTGTTAAGTTTTTATTTATACCTAAATAAAAGGCAAACCAGGCACAAGTGAAACGAAAGAAAGAGAGAACAAACATGAAACCCCCCCAAAAAACCGTTTTAAAACCACACAAAATCCCCAAAAAGTTTACGTTTTTCTTTTAAACAAACAAAAAACCAATTCCATACAAAAATGTTTCTTTTTCGAATCTCTTCTGGTAAAAGGGAAATGCAAATCCAATCCTGTTTATTATTTATTAAGAAATAGATTTTATAAAATTATAAATCCAGTTAAAATGATTTTTCATACAAAACAAAAAAAAAAAAAAGAAAATATGAAAAAGGCCGAAATAAAATATTGTGAAACAAAGATTGGAACGATTTATTCATTCATTTGAATGTTGCTTCTCATGAATGAAGAATTTAACTTATTTATTAAATGATTATTATTTGAAATAAAACTGAAAAATAAAAACTAATTATTATTCAATATTAAGTGATTGGTGTTGTTATTGTAGCCCCCTCCCCCCATCCTTTTGTCATCCGCAAATGTGGGTATTATGAATTCTTCCAACTCTGTGTGAAATGGAATTTTTTAATGCCATTGAAAGAGGTTAGCCATATGCAGGCGAGATTCAAAATCGGATTTAGACTTTTTGATGTTTGGTATTAAACGAACAAATTATGCTCTTTCGATTAAATGACTATTCGATGGCAAAACAACATACAGGGTGAGATAAAAAACTGCAACAAAGTCAAACGCCATAATTGTTCCATTTTTTTAATGTAACTGAATGAAAGCAAAAAATGTCGGAAATAGCAAAAAATTTTAGAATAAGTTTAGATTTGTTCAAATTTGGCGCGAATTATGGCCTTCAAACGGTCATAATTCAAACCATAATTCACACGGTGCCCGAATGTTGCTCTGCGGTACTTTGGCCCATTCCCGGCGAAGCGCTTGCTTGAGGTGATCGACACTTTGGTATTTTTGAGTGCCAACCTTGCTTTCCAAAATACTCCAGACACAATAGTCCAAAGAATTGGTATCCGCAGATTTTAGTGGCCATTGTGCGCTGGAAATGAAGAGAACAACCCCATTTTGTAACCATTCTTGAGTGGTGTGTGCTGAGTCCTGTTGGAATGTCCAAGGTCTGCGGCCAAAGGGTTTGCGTGCCCAAGGCTTTAATACACCCTCCAGAATATTTTCGCGATAATATTCGGTAACAATCGGTTGTTATGGCGGCCCACACCATCACCATGGCCTGTGCTTGAGTTCTGGTGGACAACCGAAGGTACACATTTTCAGCTGACCTCTTTGGCAAGTAAACACTATCATTTTGTTTGTTTACAAACTGCCGGACAACGAATGTTTTCTCATCGGAGAAAGCAAAATACGAATAATTTTTTCACAAATAACTTTTTTCTTGAAAATGTTAACAAAAAGGCTTTTGTACCCTTGTAAGCAATAAAATGAGCTGTCACTGAAATTATTTTAACAGCTGTCGGAAGAGTGGCTCAGAAATGGAAGCAGTCTGAAGTTGGTTGTAGTTTTTTTTGGTTCAAATACTCAGGTCGTGCGCAAAATTCGAAAATCTACATTCCGTGGATGCGAAAGAGTTTAAATGAGTTGTAATGCCTTACATTTTTGTTTTCAAACTTATATTTTCCCATGTCTTTACATAAAACAAAATTCACTTATAAACTATCCACAAGTTTCTCGGCGATCATACAAACAACGATTTACACAACTCGTCTTTGGATTCATCATTCCAACTGCAATTATCATGGGGAGCCATAAAATTGATTAGTTTATTGTGGACCACATAACTGAAATAAATACAAAACATCATTTGATTACCATTTCACTCAGTGGTGTCGAATCGAATCTACTACTTACCGTAACTTTCTACCCTTGCTGGCCCTTGTATCGACTTTCTTTTTCATTTTCTGTCGCAATTTCTGCAATTCCAGATATTGTTTGGTCACTTCGCTCATATTACTTGTCGTATTAGCTTTATATTCAATAAGTTCTCTCAGTTGTTGGTGATAGAAATCACTGTCATCGTAGATGTTTGAATTCATTGCCAGATCCCCTTGATTTTCTACATCCTCTGAATTTTGTTTTTGTGCATTATTTTTTACCTGCTGTGATTTTTCTATTAGCAATGACTTATTCATAAGGGCATTGTTAATCTTTTTGATGATATCAAATTCTTCATTCATGGATTTCTTTTTGGCCCCAGCGCCCGGTTGCAAAAGCTTTGTACGATCATCCCATTTTAGGAGAACACTGTTGCGATATGAACTGAAGTTGTCGAAACGTTCTTGCAGATAATTGTTCATTTGCTTCATGGGTGGCTCATCATTTCGACTACTTTTTTGTTTGAATGGCCATGGACGTTTAATGGACGAGGGTTTTACGCTTTTGCTCAGTTCCGAATTCTGTCCATAGAGGGTATCTTGCAAAGTAAGTAAATTTTGCAGCAGATTTTCAGTTTGTCTTGTCACCTCTTGTGTGGTGGATTTGTTTTTATCATCCTTCTCTTCAAGTTCTTTTATTTCTGTTGGTGAGGGCAATTGATTGGTTTTGGCCAGGATTTTTTGGAAGTTGATACGCATCTCTAGAAGACGTTCCCACAGCTTTAATTGATTTTGTACACAAATGCCTTTTTGGATTTCGGCATCGCGGTTCACTTTGCTAATAACTTGGGTTTCTTCATTTTCGTCATCTTCATCTTCCTCCTCCTCATCGTCATTTTCTTCATCGTCTTCCTCCTGTTCTTCTTCTTCAGATTCTTCCTCCTGATCTTCTTGGTCTTCCTCACTATCCTCATAGGCGCCATAACCCTGTTTTAGGGCATCACCAAATTTCTTTAATGCTTCCTCGTCATCATCATCGCTTTCCTCATAGCTTTCGTTTCCATCGCCCTCTTCATCATCACTTTCTTCATATTGTAGCTCTGCGTCATCTTCTTCCTCAAAATCCTTTCTTGATGCAATTTTTCCCTTGTACTTGGCACTTTGCTCCGACAGCAATTTCACGTTGCGTTTCCTAAATTCCGTGGTCCCCACATCGGGCATTTGATACTCATCTTCATCGAAGTCGACCACACGCACCCTTGACAGTGCCTCATTCTCTGATTCACTGTCGCTTTGATTGGGATGGGCAATGATTTCGGCAACCTTTTCTGCCACGGATTTTTGTTTACTTTTCTTTAACATTATTACTCTTTTTTTAATATTTTTGATTAATTAATTTGTATTTAAGTGCAACGTACACACGTGCGAGGTGATGAGAGTAATGAAACCAAAATGAAAAACGTCCCCAACGAAACAAACATAAGGGCAAAAAAGAATACTCGATAAAAAATAAAGGGAAAGCAAAACCCCCTTGATGTTTACGAATAAGGGTAATGCATTATATCGAGAACCACTGTTGTTTACGAATGAGGAATGAGGATAACGTAATCAGCTGGAGGCATTCATTAAATGAGCCGAGAGACTAGCGAATTAAGAGTGAAGTAAAAACAGATGAGTGTGAAGATGACAAACGTGGGGATAGCATTGCCAGATGGTGCAGTTTTTATTGATTTACTCGTGTTTGCAACCGGTACAATCAAGAAAATGTATCTTTTTATACCCTCCACCTGAGCATAGAGGGTATATTAAGTTTGTCATTCCGTTTGTAACACCTCGAAATATACATTATAGACCCCACAAAGTATATATGTATATTCTTGATCAGCATAAAATTTTATATCGATTTAGCGAAGTCCGTTCGTCTGTGGAGATCACTCTAGCTTCCGAACGAAATGAAGTAGATTGATAAAATTTCACTCAAATGTATATTATGTCTGCAGAACTTTTGGTATTGAAAATGGGCCATGAAGGTCCATGTTTTGGTATAGGTCTCATACAATGTTACCTCCAATTTTTCGGTATTTTGGTGATTTAAGCGCCATTATTCACAGGAAATATTTCAAAATTTGTATTTAAAGCACGCAATGGATACTACAACCTAAGACAGAAAATTGTCTGTGCAGGTCCACGTCTTCGTATAGCCCCCATATATCGTCCCCTCCCGATATTTGGTATTTTGATGATTTTAGCAGCCATATAACGGCAAATACCAATATTCGGTATTTTGATGATTTTCACCGATTTTTTTCAAGTATCGCATTTGAATATTGTAATGGCTTATGACAGAAGTTGCCTATGCAGGTCCTCGTCGCCGTATAGAATCTAATATAATGACTACATTCGTTATTTTTAAGATTTTAACAGAATTCTTATAAATAGCTAGTGTGGCAGAAAATTACGCAAGCAAGACTCAGTTTAGATAATAAATGTCCATAAAATTCCGATATGTATTATCTTCACAGCACATCTTGTGTTGCTAGAAATATTGGGATGTGATGGAATTAATCGGATACGTCTTTCGCATTTTATGAGCTTCTCGGTTTGCACCTAGATCTTGTGTTAGTAACAATATTATAATTATATGCTATAATTATTCAAAATGTTAACGCTTTGTGGGGGAAATACTTGCAGCAGGCCCATAATTTCCATTTTCACACCTGACCTAGCATTAATTTAGGATTTGCAAAATGTTTGCACAAACTAAGATGATCCTTTCTTTTTGCGATAAGATAATATTTTTTCGCCTTAGAGTATGCTTTAAATTTCGACAATTCAAAATGACGCTGTTTAATAGAAATGCGCCTTTTCACACAAATGCAAATGTTGACATGTTGTTTTGATTTTCCTCTCATTTGTTGTGATTGTACTCTCATTATTGATTTGTAATTAAACAAACAACTCCTCCAAAAACAAATACACATCCATTGTTCGAGGACAATACATTGTAAAGCAACAATTACGATTTGAGGCCTTCTAGGAGATGCCCTGGCTATTGTCTGGATATTTCATGTGACTACCTCGTTAGGTGATAATGATTTTGAGCCGAAATCATATTTTTTGCCTTGGCAATGACACGGCAGCATTTAATAAATGTTTTGAACGCTCATTAATGTTCAACAAATGTCAATAATTAGAGGACAACAAAAGCTGGCGGAAGGCAGAAAACAACACGCCACTCAGCCATCATCTATCTATCTATCGTTCTATCCATTCATTCAAGCAACAAAGTCAGCGGTAGACAATATAACAATTGTTGATATGATTTGTTGTTGTTGTTGCTCATTTAATTTGAACAAGGGAGGTTGGCATGGGAAATATCAAAGCCAACTGTTTGTGGCAGGCCCCCAGGGCCTAACCTCCTGGTTTTTGCTTCTTCTTATTCTTCACAACACAAAATGAGACTTCTATCTTTATTTGTGACAATTATTATTTTGTTTTTGCGTTGTTGTTGTAGGTGTTGGAAAATTGTAACACCATGCCAACAGGATGGCGGATTTTGATGATTGCAAGTAAATGTGCTTTCATGGTCTACAGCCAATGTGCCTCATAGATTGGAATAATTTTCAAGTTCAGTAGCCAAAGTGTTTTTGCAAAGTAAACATTAATTCTGAAACAACAACTGGGCTGGCCATCGGCGTTAAGTGAGTGAGTGGAGTGCACTTATACCAAGATATTCGGTGAATCAATCAGTGAGACCCTAAGAATCAAAAAGAAAAAAATTGTTTTTAAATATTTTATGTCTGAGTTGACTCCGGTTTTGGCACTTTGGCAGATAAGAAGGAATAGCGTTTTTCAAAAGCAACTTTTAATTCATTGGCTGTTGTTCTAAGAACCAAATAAAAACAGAGACGAGCAGAAGCAAACATAAATATCTAGCCTGTTATGGTTTATTACCTAAGCCATACCATTCCTTTGCCTCCCGAGCTTGCTGTTATGTGTCGAGCGATGAATTATGTCTCTGGCATAACGCTTGGCTTTCCCTGTATTGTAAGATTATTTATAAAAAATCGCAAGAATTGAACTTTGATTTAGTCTGGTTTAGAAATGAAATGCAAAATCAAAAAAAAAAAAAAAAAAGCAAAAAATCATCATCGACACAGTGTATAACAATAATTTGAAAAAAAAAAAAATGAAAAATCATCGCAACTGAATAACAAAATTTTCCAAGAACTAAGGCTGCTATTATCGCGCATTTTAAATATTTTTTTATGTTTGCAAAATATTTGGATTTTTTTAAAATTAAATTTTTTTAAGGATGTTTTCAAGGGCTATGAGGAAGGCATTCCAAATGTTTCAAAATACTGAAATTTAATTGGAGCTCATGACTGTGAAAATAGAAAATTCGGCCAATCCGAACTTTGAATACCCCCATTTGTGACGATTTTGGCAATTTTCAAAAAAAAAAAAAAAAAATAAAATATACCACCGTGGACTGCATAGGCAACTCTTATCATAGGCCATTACAATATTCAAATGCGAAACATGAAAAAATTTGGTGAATAATGTACCTAAAATCATCAAAATATCGAATATCGGGAGGTAACGTTATATGGTGGCTATACGAAGACGTGGACCTGCACAGACAATTTTCTGTCAAAGGCTGTAGTATTCATTACGAACTTGAAATACCAAATTTGAAACAATTCCGGTGAATAATGTCGCTAAAATCATCAAAATACCGAATATCCGGAGGTACCGTTATATGGGGGCTATACGGAGACGTGAACCTGCACAGACAATTTCCTGTCAGAGGATGTAGAATCGATTACGAACTTCAAATGCCAAATTTGAAACAATTCCGGTGAATAATATCGCTTAAATCATTAAAATACCGGATATGGGGAGGTAACGTTATATGGGGGCTTTAAAAATACGTGAACTTGCACAGACAATTTTCTGCTAAAGGCTGTAGTATCCATTACGAACTTCAAATACAAAATTTGAAACAATTCCGATGAATAATGTCGCTCAAATCATCAAAATACCGAATATCGGGAGGTACCGTTATATGGGGGCTATACGGAGACGTGAACCTGCACACTCAATTTTCTGTCAAAGGCTGTAGTATTCATTACGAACTTAAAATACCAAATTTGAAACAATTCCGGTCAATAATGTTGCTGAAATCATCAAAATACCAAATATCGGGAGGTAATGTTATATGGGGGCTATACGGAGACGTGAACCTGCACAGACAATTTTCTCTCAGAGGCTGTAGTGTCGATTACGAACTTCAAATACCAAATTTGAAACATCTCCGGTCTATATCTAAAACCATTAAAATACCAAATATCGGGAGGTAACGTTATATGGGGGCTATACGAAGGCGAGGACCTGCACGGACAATTTTCTGTTTTAGGCAATTACGAACTTTTAATAATGTTGCTAAAATCATCAAAATACCGAATATTGGGAGGTGCCGTTATATGGGGTTATACGAAGGCGTGGATTTGCTCAGACAATTCTCTGTCAGAGGCCTTTTGTGGGTGAAATGCAAGAAGGGTTTCGATTTTTTTTAATGGCGAGATTTGAAGAGCGTTGCATAATGGTTTGGTTCACTTTGAGCTTTTAGTTTCTTAAAATCTTGAACCCTATGGTGGGAGGTACCAGAGGAAATGGTCCGATCTCTACCATCTTTATAGCAGATCTTGTGTTGATTGAAATATTGAGATGTGCCAAGTCTGAATGGAATCGGATGTTAATTTCGCGTTTTATGAGCTCTTTGGATATTCAAAATGTTGCCCCTTTGTGAGGAGGTACCAGAAGGAGAGGATCGATATATCCCATCTTCACAACAGATCTTGTGTCAGTAGAAATAATGGATTGTGTGAAATATAAAGAGAACCTGATACTTATTTAGGATTTTAAAAACTTTTTTGGTTATTCAAAACATTGAACCTTTGTGCGGGAGGTACCAGAAGGAATGCTCCGATCTCTACTGCCTTTATAACAGATCCTGTGTTGATAGAAATATTCAGATAAGCCAAGTCTAAATGGAATCCGACGTTTATTTTACGTTTTATGAGCTTCATGGATATTCAAAATTTTGACCTTTTCTGGGGGAGGCACAAAAAGGAGTGGACCGATACATTCCATCTTAACACCAGACCTTGGGTTAATAAAATTATTGGGATGTGTAAAATTTGAAGACAATCGGACTCATATATCACATTTTAGAAGAGTTGTAATTATTCAAAATGCTGACCCTTTTGTGGGGGAGGTCCTTGATAGACTGGACTGATATTGTCCATTTTCGTACCTGACTTAGCACTGACGCAAATATTAGGATTTGCTAAGTTGGAGCAAAATCGGATTATTCTTTCTCTTTCTGTGCAAAAAATATATTTTTGGAAAATTTCGACTTTTTGTGGGGGAGGTACCAGAACGAGTGAACCAATATTGCCCATCTCCGAACTCAATCTAAGTTTGACAAAAATATTATGATGTACCAAGTTTGGACCAAATCGGATACTTCCTTCGAGAGTTATCGTGCGCACCAGCAAGACAGACACACGGACGCTAGATCGACTCGAAATGCCCTGAAACGGATTTGCTCCAAAGAAACCAAGGGTTTAAAACCGTTATTTCGACTTGGCACATTTTGACTGTATGTTTATTTCTGATAAATTTATCATCTTTTTCCAATTTGCTGCAAGTTTTCTTATAATTCCACAGCATAATAGCCAGTGTCGGGTGTGGAAAATGCCAAGTGGTATTGAAAATACTCGTATTTAGATCAAAACGGCAAATTAGTTTTGAATTCATAGGCCAAATGCTGTTAAATCATATACATATAGGTATGACCACATACAAAGGGACCCCTATAGTTTTTGATGAATTTCGCAATATTTAGGATAGAGCCTTGAAATTTTATGGAGATCTTTGGATCACATCCAGAATAAATGGTAGGTTTTTTTTGGCACCTGACTTTCTTTTAAAATTTTTATAAGGATTCTAGTTGTGTTTTTTTTTAATTTGCAAGGATAAAGTATAAATGTGGTTTTAAGGACTTTTTTAAGAATTATCCTTCGGCTACGAAAACTTTGAATGAGCACTTTTTAACAATATAGCCATAAAAGCCAATATTTTATAGATTTTTTTTTTCAAGGATTGTCAGAGGAAAAAAAATGGGGAGAAGTTTGAATTTTCCAATCTGAGGCAATTGAGTTTTTTTCTCTAGTTCAGCTCAGCCATAATTAGACCTTCGAAAAACTCGGTTTAGCAAACCAAAATTTAAAAAATTTTACGATGTCGCTCGAATATGAGAGAGCCTATGTTCCACGTTTTTAGGTGGGAGTAAAATTCGTTCAAAATCAAAACCTTTTTGTTACTACGCACACAAATCAGAAATCAAAATATTTTTTTTCCACACATTTACACTTTGCTCTATTTTGAGCGATTCTGCTCCCACTCTAATTTTTTGAAAAAGGAGTGTCTCGGGTCTCCTACACAAGATAAATGAGTGAAGAGTAGACTTCTTAAGAAATGCCGCTCTTCCAAAAAACCTGCTCGCGAGCAAATTTTGCTCCCAAGTGAAAATGAGCAAATCTGTGCTCTGGCCATAATAAGTGACTTTCAAGGATGTGTGTTTTCATGGAGCTATATGACATGTGCGTCATAGGTTGCGTATGATTAATTGATGTTCCGTATGGAGCGTATACTCATTGTACACCAATTATACAACAGCTTTCGCAGAAGATAATTATAGTTTTCTCAAATAATTTAAGTTTTATAGGTTATTATTTTATTATCTTAGCTACTAGTCCTTTCACATTCGCATTGGACTTTTTCATACATTTTGTGTTTTTTTTTTAAACAAATTTCCATTCGACTTGAACTCACAGTGCTTGATCTCAATATGCGGGCGAAATCTTATCTTTTAAAACCCGGCGCAAAAAATTCAGATTGAAAACACCAACACACATGCCCACTCACACATTGGGTGTTCATCCTCCTTCCCAGCCAATGGTGGAGGTGGTCGAATAAAGTAGCAACAACAACTACAACAATACATATAATAACAGCCTAGGCTTATCAGTAACATTTTGAACAAATTCGCCCCATAAAATCATTATCAATATCATTATTCTACAAATGCACAGACAGACAGACCCACTGACAGACAGACGGAGATGCGGCTACTGTATAACATGAAATGAAATAAAATTAAGGTTCCTAGATGGAATATTCAAAATTATCTCCTTAGTCTAGAGAATACGCTGAAAACTAAAAGACGTGGAATTTCCATTACGAAGTGTAGTAGACAACAATTGAATCCTCCCGATTCTGAAAAAATAGAACAAACAAAAAAATGAAACGCCAATTATCTAAAAAGAAAGTGATTAAATTATAATGTCGGCGGTGATTACGGTGTGCGAATTCAATGAAATACATGAATTGAAATTATGGCGTTGAAAAGAAGAAAAAGCGCCAGCGTGAATCTAATCGAAAGGAAATAAAATTATAAACTAATAACAACCGGATCCTAAATGCCACAAGAATTTGAAAAATTTGTGGCGCACGAAAAAAGCAAGAATTTGCAAATTTGCGATTAAACGAAAAATAGTGCAGAACAAATAATGTGTATGTGTACATTAAGGTGTGATGAAATTGAAAATATCAAAGAATAGCCAAACATAAAAAAACACAATTTTGTAAAATTTGGAGAAAGGAAAAATCGTATAAAATATACAAGGTGGGGCAAAAGTAGTCCTCCCATCAGAAAATGCTATACATTTTACAATTGGCCCCTAATTTCATAATTACATCCAAAAAACAAAAAAAAAAAAAAACATCGGAATGTCTGTCAAGTACATACAAGGCGGCGCAAAAGTAAACTTTCGATGTTTTTTGCCTGTAATTAAGACATTAGGAACCAATCGTAAAATGTATAGCATTTCTTGATGGGTGGCTTACTTTTGCGCCACCTTGTATATACAGGTTTGCTCTGTTCCAGAACTGCCAGAATGTAAACGTTTTTATGACAATAACAGATTTTTCCTTTATGATGTCGAAAAAATTGCAAAACTAGTAGCTTATTTCAGATTCTGAACCAGAGCAATTATAAAATTAACGAACCGATATTTTATAAAAAAATCGTGTGTAATTACTGACATTACTGATACTATACCCAGTAATTATTTAAAAACAATCATACGCCAGCTAGTAATTTAAATCAAACCGAATTTTTAAACCCTCAGCCGTATGGTATGATTTGGTTGGAGGGTGTGTAGATACAATTAAAATTTCGAATATCTCATTCGTGAAAAAGGGAAGAAGGAATTAATAAGTAAAAAAGCAGCTAAGTTCGGCCGGGCCGAACTATTATTACCCCCTATCATTTGGACAGAACTTGAAAATTTTCAAAAACAAAAACCTAAAACTACAACTCAAATGAAAACCGTTATACGAAGATGTGGACCTGCATACGAATTTTTTTTGTCATAGACTGTAGTACCCATTTCGAACTTCAAATATGAAATTTAAAACAATTCCGATAAATAATGTCGCTAAGATCATGAAAATACCGAATATCGGGAGGTACAGTAAATGGAGGCAATACGAAAAAGTGGACCGACATGACCCATTTACAAGCTTAACCTGCCTACTGGAAAAATATGCATGTATGCATGTAATTTTAGCCTTCCATCTCAATTCGTTCGAAAGATAGCGTGATTACAACAGACAGACGGACATCGCAAAATCGTTTTATAATTTTACGCTGATCCAGAATATACAGGGTGAGATGTAAAACTGCAAACAACTTAAGACTGGTTTCATTTCTAAGCCACTCGTCCGGCAACTGTTAAAATTATTCCAGTGACTGCTCATTATATTGTTTACAAGCCTACAAAAGAATTTTGATGGGAATTTTCCAGAAAAAAAGTTATTTGTGATGGAATTCAAGCGTGATTATGTGATTTCTTTATATTTCGCTAGAAAACCACAAGTGGCTATCGTTAGAGAACTGCAACATTTAAATGTGAATACATCTTTTGTGTCTCGTACCATAGCTCGTTACCGTGATACTGGTAGCGCAGCCCGACGTCAAGGAAGTGGACGGAAGAAAACAGCAACATCAGCAGAAATGGTTCGAAAAGTAAAGAAGCGACTTGCTCGAAACCCTCATCGCAGTGGCCGAAAAATGGCTCGTGAGCTAAACATATCGCAATATTCCATTCGGCAAATATTGAAAAATGAGCTGAAGATAAAGCCATTGAAATTCCAAAAAGTGCAAGAACTTACAACGCAACTGAAAGAAAATAGACTAAAAAGAGCTAAAGAGTTGCTTCGCTTGGCCGAAAGTGGTGAAATGCCGAATTAGGTTTTCTCTCTCTCCGGTGAGAAAATATTCGTTGTCCAGCAGTTTGTTAACAAACAAAATGAGCGTGTTTACTTGCCAAAGAGGTCAGATGAAAATGTGCAACTTCGGTTGGCCACCAGAACTCAAGCGCCGGACATGGTGATGGGGTGGGCCGCCATAACAGCCGATGGTCGCTCTTCGCTCGTATTAATCGACTGTGGCCTCAGAATAAATGCCGAATACTATCGAGAAAATATTTTGGAGGGATCAAGAGGGCCTTGGGCACAGAAACATTTTGGCCGCTGACATTGGACATTCTAACTGGACTCAGCACCATCGCACTCAGCACTCGCCATTCAAGAATGGTTACAAAATGAAGTTCCTCGCTTCATTTCCAGCGCACAATGGTCAACAAAATCTCCGGATACCAATCCGTTGGACTATTGTGTCTGGAGTATTTTAAAAAGCAAGGTTGGCACTAAAAAATACCAAAGTGTTGATCACCTCGCTTCGCCGGGAATGGGCCAAAATACCGCAGAGCAACATTCGGGCAGCGTGTGACGGTTTCATTGGCCAATTCGAACAAATCTAAACTTATTCTAAAATTTGATGCTATTTCCGACAGTTTTTGCTTTCATTCAATAAAATTAAAAAAAAAATAAATTCAAAAATTATGAGTTTGAATTTGTTGCGGTTTTTTTATCTCACCCTGTATATCTCAGCGAACCTGCTGCCTTCAACGTTAATTCGCTGAAAATAAATTCTTTTGAATTGAAACACCGATGTTCAACATCATCATTCCATAATCTTGCTTTTCATGCTTAAAAGTTTGCTTTCACTTGTGGCAGTAGATCAATAGTTACTTCGAGGGAGCCTTCAGCCACGAAAATGTTGTGGATAATATTTTTTTTTGCTGTTCTAATATCGGGTTGTAAACTAAAGATCTCATTCTTCAAAATCGGAGTTTTTTTTCAAAAACGTTTAGTTATGACGTTTGCGGATAATTGCGGATATTTTTATACATTCTTTCAAAGTGTCATGGATTTTTAAGATTTTTTCGATGACTTCGTTCTTGAAAATCGGGGTTTTAGTATTTATTATCAAGACATACATCTGCAAATATTCACGTCCAAAAAATGTAAATAAGGTTTTTTCAAGGACTTCATTTCTGGAAGTTGTAAGAGATTTTCTTTAGGAACTTCTTGTTCCAAAAATTTTATCTTTAAGATTTTTTTTTTAAGAATTTCATGCCGGAAATAGTGTTTTTTATGAATAATTTTTTTTAGGAAACCGTGTATTTTTTAAGGAAATCGTGGAGGACATTTCAAGATCTTCAGCCTAAATATTTCAGGTACAGTGCCTTATTACGATTTTAGGCTTTTGTTTTTGTCTCAACGACTATTTTTTATTCTGCACATATATTGCTAAAACATTCTCCTCATCTAAAATTGAAAGCAAATATTATTCCCCACCTCTCTAACGCTCATACTCACATCTAAAAAAGAACCAAACCAACCAAATAATAGTCACAAGCAACAACTTTTTGTTTATTTATAAATTTCGTTATTACGTGCAAGACAAACCAATTTTAAAACAAATATTATTATTTATTGGCCATATTTGCAAAAAAACACACACACACGCGCGCACACATGATATCAAAATATTTATTTTTATGTTTCCTTAAAAATAAATTCCAGTATTTTTATTTACATTTTTCCCCAAAAAAGATTTTCCAAAACACCAACAACAAGTTTAAAACTTAAAAGGGAAGTGAAACCCACACACACACACAAGCGTACATATCCAGAATAATTAATAAGACCACATGATATTTGTTGAACCATTCCGAGTGGCAGCCGATCGAAAGAAGTGCCTTCTGGTGGCGGCCTACACCCTCCGCACTCACAACACAACACATTCCTCCAAGTGAAAACATTCCAAAGAAAAATATTGAATTTAAATAAACTAAAAACTTGTGGAAATTTAAATTGTCTACTTTGCAAAAACCCCGCAAACTGAGAAAAACTAGCCGAAACGAAACAAAACATAAATTCCGAAACAAATCAGTAAACAAAATTGCAAATTTATTTTCAATAAAAGATCATTGCGCGTAAATATTAGCTAATAAATGGTTAGCGGGCCGCCTCAACTACTATCAATTAACTCAGGAAAAACAAATAACAGACAGAGCAGTTCATAACAGCAGCAACAACAATAACAACAGCTACAACAACGTAACAATTAAAGAAAATTAAAGAGTGTCGATTTTTATGAAATGCCATTCGTCGGCCTGTGTGTGTGTGGTCGTGTACTTTGAGCTTTCTCTGACAAATATGTAAACGATTCTCTCCGAAAAAAACATCTCCAACATGTCTGTGTACCTGTGTGAGTGAGTAATTCCTTTTTCTTCTTATTTTCTAACAGTAATCAGTCAATTGTCTGTCTGATTTGAAACAAAACAAAAAAAAAACAATTGGTTTTTGTTCCCGGGTTTTTTTATTTCAAACAATACCAACTCAAAACATCAATCATCAACAACAATAACAAAAAACAACAACACCACCGTCTTCATACTATCGCTTAAATCTAAATAATCACAACAACGCCAACAACATTGTCTTATCAAAACAAATAAACAATTGTGGATTTATTTGACAAAACGCCACGATGTCAGAACAAGAGGTAAATGAGAAAATCTACGACCATCGTGTCCTCACCGACTGGTCGAATGTCAACAACAACACCAACGGCACCATGCACTACTCGAAGGATATGATTTTCAACGATGGCCATCGTTTGTCGATAACAGTCTACAGGTATGTACAGTGGTGGGTAAAGATATTTAATTGGAGGTGAGAGTATAACTAAAAGAGTCGTGTCAAAAGTAAAGAAAATGTAATCGTGTTTGTGTGCTCAATTGAAGGAATTAAATACATAATTTTTAGAAATAAATCGACAGGACTATGGGTTCTGTAGGAACGAGAAAAATGAATGGGGAGCTTACTAAAACGGGAAAATTTATTGAAAATGGTCGAAAGCCGAAAAATCAAGGCATCTGGGGGTGAGTTTGTTTGAGGGTTCAATATTATATTATTTATTGCCATTAATTTATATCAATGTGTCAGGGTATTTATTACATTATATTTATACTTAATGGCCATAGAATAAAAAACATGTAAAAAAGCTCTAAGTTCGGTCGGGACGAATTTTGAATACCCTCCACAATTGGGAACGAATTTGGCAATTTTCAAAAAAAAAAAAAAAAAACAAATAATAATAATAAATAAAATAAATAAATAAAAAAAACTTTGAAAATTCTGTTATACGGGGGCTATTCGAAGACGTGGGCCTGCACAGACAATTTTCTCTCTTAGGCTGTAGTATCCATTACGAACTTCAAATACCAAATTTGAAACAATTCCGGTGAATAATGTCGCTAAAATCATCAAAATACCGAATTTCGAGAGGTATCGTTATATGAGGGCTATACGAAGACCTGGACCTGCACAGACAATTTTCTGTCTTAGGCTGTATTATCCATTTTGAAATTCAAATACCAAATTTGAAACATTTCCGGTGAATAATGTCCCTAAATTCGTCAAAATATCGAATATCGGGGGGAACTTTTGTATGTGGGCTATACGATATTGTGGACCTATATAGATATTTCTCTTCCAGGATGTAAAGTGCTTAGAAAGAACTTCTAGTGTGGATTTTTAGATAATTCCATTAAAAAATGTAGCTAAAATCATCAAAATACCGTATATCGGTAGGTATCCTTACATGGTAGATATACGATATCGTAGACCTATATAGACAATACTCTTCCAGGGTGTAAAGTACTCAGGAGGAACTCCTTTTTCAGATTTTTAGACAATTTCATTCAAAAATAATAATACAATAATCAAAATACCGAATATCTGGGAGTATCGTTGCATGGGGGCTATACGATATCGTGGATCTATATAAACAATTCCCTTCCAGGGGGTAGAATAGTCACGAAGAACTCCTCACGTAGGATTTCGATGAGTTACAAATGGAATGATGAACTTAATATACTCTCCTTACTATGTATGGTGGAGGGTATAACATGTACTAAGAATTGAATATTTGACAAACGGACTGTACTAGAAAACTGAAATTTGGATTAAGGGTCACAGATGGAGTGCAGAATAGATGTATTAAAGGGTTTTTGGAAATCCGAACTTAAAGGTTACGAAAAGTTTTAAAATGGTACCGGACTTCTAAAAATGTGTCATTTGAACGGATAGAGCTAGAAACTTGAAATTTGTTATGAATATCAAGGTTGGGAAGTAAGTTTGATATATGAAGGTGCTTTTTCAAATGTGTACTAAGTGTGTGAACTGTACTAAATTTTTTACAGTTTGGTTTAGGTTGAACGTAGGAAGTTGAAACTTTGCAATTTTGTATTGGAGTCCTTGTTGGTGGTAGGTTTGCGATAAAGTGGTGATTTTGACACATTTACTAGCTCAGGAAAAGTACAAAATACTACTGTATTTGGTACAATTTGGTACTGAATGAACAGTTAGTGCTAGAAACTTGAAATTTTTTATTGGGGTAGATGTCTCTTGTGTAGCCTTGTAAATCTGTACTATAATTGTATGAAAAGTACCAAATGGTACTATATTTTCCATTGGGTGAAGGGATAGAGATAAAATTCTGAAATTTGATATTTAGATTACTAAGGGCAATCTGTTGAGATTTCAAGGTGGTTTCTAGATGCATCCCAAATTTGAACATAAAAGAACTAAATGGTGCTAAATTTGGTATTGAGTGAAGGAATAGGACAGAAATCCGTAAATTTGAAATTGAGATCTCTGTTGGTATCTGGAATTGAAGTGTGGAGGTGGCGTAAGAAATATATACTATAATTGTACGTTAGTACTAGATTTAGTATTGGGTGAAGGAATAGAGCTGAAATCCTGAAATTTGATATAGATGTCGCTGTGGCTAAGATATAGAGGTGGTGCTGGAAATGTGTACTTTAATTGTTCCAAAAGTACTGAGTGGTACTAAGTTGGGTATTGGGTAAAGGGATGGAGCTGGAACCCCAAAATTTGATATTAAGTTGGTATCTGGGACTGAGATATCGTTGTGGTTTTCCAAATGCGTACTATAATTGTTCAAAAACTACTAAATCACACTAATTTTGGATCACTTTTGGTGTCTAGGCTAGAAAGATGATATTGAGGTCACTGTTGGTTTCTAGGATTTACATATGGAGACATTGAATACGTTTTTGGAGCAATTGGATGAGGCTTAATTGTGCAATTTTTTTACGAATAGCCTCCTTGGTAAACTGTAAAATTAAAGATTTTGAAGACTTTTTATACCCTACACGTTTTTGGTTTTGGTATAGCCATCTTCTAGCGGTTTTTTATGATATTCGCTGCTTTTTTTCACGGATTTGTCTAAAAATTAGTATTTGTAAGTCATAAAGGGTTTTAACTCCGGTGGCGAAATATTGTATGTGTAGGTCGACATTGTTGTATAACCACCATATACCTTCCGATATTCGGTATTTTGATAATTTTTGCCACATTTTTCCACGGATTTGTCTAAAAATTTGCGTGGCGGAACACGCTTTGGTATAGCCCCCATATAACGATACCTCCGGAAATTCTGTATTTTGATGATTTTTCCCACATTTTTCCACGGATTTGTCTATAAAGTGGTATTTGTGGTTCATAATGGGTTCTAGCTTCGGTGGCAGAACATTGAGTATTTAGGTCCATATTTTCTTATAGCGCACAATACCCTCTAATATTAGGTATTTGATAATCCTAGTCACATTTACCCATGAAATTGTTTCAAATTTGATATTTAAGAAGATTTGATAGATGACAATCCTTGTAGTATAAAATTGTCTATGTAGGTTCCCGTTTTGGTATAGCCTCCACATAACGGCCTTATTAACTTTTTGGTTTTTTGAAAAGTTCAACAGCAGTATCCAAAGGTCTTACTGGTATTTGTAGGTTAAGGTGAAACATGTTTGAACTCAGTTACTTTTTCATAAATATTTTTTTTTAGCCTATGGTTTTTTTTTTTCTTAATGTTGTTTTACTTGCTAAATTTTCTAATGAAGGTTACATGTAAGCAAGTGTCCTTTCCAGAACTGCAAGAATGTGGAAATTTTCACTAAGATAACCGCTTTTCCCTTTATGATATGCAAAACTCGTGGTTTCTTGCAGGTTGATACTACTTTCTAAATGTCGAAAGGTCATTTATTACTAGTACAAATTATAAATCGTTTGAATTTTAAAAATCCTTAAAACTTCAATACTTTGCGTTGGACGCCATTTCAAGCAGTTTTGGAAAAAAATCGTTGACATAAGAAAAGTTTCTCCTGACCATCGAAGATGTTTGTGAGAATATTAAATTGTTTTTGAAAACATAGCAATTAAATCATGTTGTTGTTGTTGCTATAGAATCAATTTCTATTAATAACAACAAACTGCATGTATTTATTTCATCTCAAAGGAAGGGTTAAATGCATTTGTAATACTATTTTAAAAATAACAAAATTATTATCAACTTTCACGGTCTATATAAATGAATAAATAAGTAAACATCAAGCGATTACTTTGTTTACGATTTGACATCTTACTTTGTACTCTCCCTCTCAAACTCACCCGCCACACACAACCCATCCCAAAGTCCGAGGGAAATGAAATTCGATCTCTTACTCTCATTTCTTTCTTTCTTTACCGTTACCGCAGCATTCTTTTTGTTATCTCAACGATTGGCAATTCAACGGTGTTGTATCTGCTGACCAAGCGACGTTTGCGTGGTCCATCGCGTATTGACATCATGCTAATGCATTTGGCAATAGCCGATCTGATGGTGACGTTTCTGCTGATGCCATTGGAGATCGCGTGGGCATACACGGTGCAATGGAAATCGACAGACTTCATGTGTCGCCTCATGAGTTTCTTTCGAGTGTTTGGCCTGTATCTATCTGGTTTCGTTTTGGTATGCATATCAATTGATAGGTAAGTAGTGGTGGGGGAGGGGAGGGCAGGGGAGGTTGGCAAAAGGGAGCAATGGATGGAGGTAACTACTCTTCATCCTTGGGGCGATGTAGAAGCAGATAATGTTGTTGCAAGTCTTTTAAAGAGATTTGTGATGTCGTTTTGTTGTCTTGTTCTGTTAGATATTATGCCATATTGAAGCCTCTGAAGCTATCCACTAATCGTGGCCGGATTATGTTGACCATTGCCTGGTGCAGTTCTGTGGTGTGTAGCCTACCTCAGGTTAGTAACAATTTGCATGTCTTCAAGACGTCCATCTTCATGCTTTGATGTTGCTCTATCTGCGTGTGTGTGTGTTTGTGTTTTTGCAGGCCTATTTCTTCCACTTGGAGGAGCATCCCAAAGTGAGCGGCTACTTCCAGTGTGTGACGTTTCACTCATTTCCCAGCGAATTCCATCACATTATGTACCAAATTGCCACCATGTGTGCCATGTATGCCTGTCCGTTGATCACCTTTATCTATTGCTACGGTTCCATATATTTGGAAATCTATCGCAAGAGCCAGCGCATAGTCAAAGGCATTGGTAAGTATGGGAGGGCAGCATGGGCGTACAACTGCCGCAACGAACAGAATATGCGTGTAAGGTGACAAGTGATTTACGTGAAATTTAGGAACGAACACCAACATTGGCTGCTGTGTTCCGCCAGAAGGCCTTGTGTGTTCGGTGTGTGCGTTTGCTTTTATTTTTCTCTTATCTCTTTTGCAGAACGCTTTCGCCGTTCCAACGATGATGTTTTGAGTCGTGCCAAAAAGCGCACTCTGAAGATGACCATAACCATTGTGATTGTTTTCCTCATCTGCTGGACGCCCTATTACATTATAGCCATGTGGTATTGGTTCGACAAGACATCGGTGGATAAGGTCAGCGCCCTTGTCAGCAAGTCCCTATTTATATTTGCCTGCACGAATTCATGCATGAATCCCATAGTTTATGGAGCATTCAATATACGTGGACGCATTGGAAATAATGCGGTAAGTTATTCGAATTTTCAAAGGGTTAAGGGAAAGTTGGTGGGAATGAAATGTCAGTCAATCATGGAAAATACAGTGAGGGGTAACAAAAAACTAATATTCTTATTTTACCTGATATTAGGGCCTGTTTCTGTCATATCAAAGTGAACGTAAAAGAAACAAGTGAAAAAAACGTGGACCTACATAGGCATTGTTTGTCATAAGTAAATCCCATGTTAAAATTCGAAACTTGAAATAAACGGTGAATAATGTAGCTAAAATCCTCAAAATATCGTATATAGGGAGGTACCGTTATATCGAAGCTGTGCGAAGACCTGGACCAGTACAGACAATTTTCTTTCACAGGCTGTAGCATCCATTACGAACTTCAAATAAGACATCTCAAACAATTTCGGTGTGTATTGTACCTCAACTCGTCAAAATACCAAATATCGGGAGGTACTGGTATATGGGGCCTATACGAAGATCTGGACCTGCATAGACAATTTTCTGTCCCAGACTGTAGTTCCCATTACGAACTCTAAATACGTAATTTGAAACAATTCCGGCGAATAATGTCGCTAAAATCATCAAAATACCGAATATCGGGAGGTGCCTTTATATGGACCTGCGTAGCCAGTTTTCTGTCACGAACTGTAGTTCCCATCACGAACTAACATAACGAAATTTGAAACAATTCCGGTGAAAAATGTCGCAAAAAACATCAAAATACCGAATATCGGGAGGTACCGATATTTAGGGACTATACGAAGACGTGGACCTGCATAGACAATTTTCTGTCCCAGACTGTAGTTCCCATTACGAACTCTAAATACGTAATTTGAAACAATTCCGGCGAATAATGTCGCTAAAATCATCAAAATACCGAATATCGGGAGGTACCGATATTTAGGGACTATACGAAGACATGGACCTGCACAGACAACTTTCTGTCTTAGGCTGTAGTATCCATTACCAACTTCAAACATCAAATTTGAAACAATTCCGGTCCACAATGTCGCTAAAATCATCCGAATACCGAATATCGGGAGGTGCCGTTATATTGAGGCTATACGAAGAGGTGGACCTGCACGAACTTAAATGAACTTCAAATACCAAATTTGTCGCTTATATTACCAAAATAGTCAGGTACCTTTATATGGGAGCTATACCAAAACGTGGACTTACATGGTCCATTTTCAACACCAAGAGTCCTGCAGACATAATATACATTTGAGTAAAATTTTATCAACCTACTTAATCTCGTTCTGAAGCTAGAGTGATTTCCACAGATGGACGGACGGACATCGCTAAATCGACATAGAATTTTGCACTGATCAAGAATATATATACTTTGTGGGGTCTAAAATATATATATCGAGGTATTACAAACGGAATGACAAACTTAATTTATCCTCTATAATATGGTGGAGGGTATAAACATCCATATAATGAGTATTTTTTAAATTAAATAAAAATCAAAATTTAGGAATATGTGTGTTTTTTCCGAATTCACTTTCGACTCGTGATACAAGAACAGGCCATTAATACAATTTTTCAAAAAAATTGGTCGTTTATTTATGCCAATTTGATAACTTAATTTTGTCCCTCACTGTATGTTTACATCTCTCTTTTTCTCTTTGAGCTGTTAAATGAATGTGTTGACAAGTGTGACCATGGCTTAATGAGAAATACGATATATTACCGTTACAAAACACATCTCAGAGAGAAATAGATATCAACTTCCGTATAACAGATCTGCTGAATACTTTGACATATATTCGAAGATTAATTTCTTTACTTTAACAAAACGCAATTCATTTCAGTCAACAATAAGTAATCGCCATACCTCCCTGTACAATCGTGGAGATTCATCGAATCAATTGCCCAAACATTTGCTCAATCTCAGTGAGGGCAGTGCAAAAACGGGCAGTACTCACATCAACCAGACGGACACAACAGATATATCGATCAATCACAAAATCAATGAGACTACAACAACAGCGAACGGTTGTACAGAAATCAGTAATAAAGTCGATGAGGTCTCCGGATCACCAGTTATATGTATAAAGTGAGTATTATTCAACAATTGTTAATGCCGCAACAGGTCATAGAGATCGGAGGTTTATGAAATAATTAAAATGATGAACTATTAATTAATTTATCCAATCGTGCGTCAATACAATTTTAATGAATGGCCGAGGCGGCAGTATTATCACAAATATTTATCAAATTGCATGCCATCCCTCCTTCTTTGTGAAATATTAGTTGAGAGCACAATGTGTTATATTAAAATATTAATTCCGATCCATTTGAGAGAAGAGAAAATGGAACGAATCAACAAACAGTGGTTTGTAGAAGATATGGAAATTTACTACTATACAGGGTGAGATGAAAAAACTGCAACCAACTTCAGACTGCTATCATTTCAAAACCATTCGTCCGACAGCTGTTAAAATTATTTCAGTGACAGCTTATTATATTATTTACAAGCGCAAGCGTGAGAATTTTCCAAAAAAAAAAAAAAAAAAAAATAAATAAATAAAATTATTCGTGATGGAATTTAAACGTGACAGTGTGATTTCTCTATATTTGGCTGGAAAACCACAAGTGGCTATCGTTGGAGCACTCCTTCATTTAAATGTGAATAAATTTTTTGTGTCGCGTACCATCGCTTGTTACCGTGATACTGGTAGTGTAGTCCGTTAAGGAAGTGGACAGAAGAAAACAGCAACATCAGCAGAAATGGTTCGAACAGCGATTTGTAAATTGAAATTCCAAAAATTAAAAGAACTTACACCTCACCTATTGCGGAAAATAGAATCAAAGAGCTAAAGTGTTGCTTCGATGGGCCGAAAGTGGTGAACTGCCGAATTTGGTTTTCTCCGATGAGAAAACATTCGTTGTCCAGCAGTTTGTAAATAAACAAAATGATCGTGTTTACTTGCCAAAGAGGTCAGCTGAAAATGTGCACTTTCCGTTGGCCACCAGAACTCAAGGCAGGCAAACATTTTGGCCGCAGACCTTGGACATTCCAACAGGACTCAGCATCATCGCAATCAGCGAGCGCCACCCTAGAATGGTTCCAAAATGAGGTTCCTCGCTTCATTTCCAGCGCACAATGGCCACCAAAACCTCCGGATACCAATCCATTCGACTATTATTTCTGGAGTATTTTGAAAAGCAAGGTACGCACTGAAAAATACAAAAGTGTCGATCACCTCAAGCAATCGCTTCGCCGGGAATGGACCAAAATACCGCAGAGCAACATTCGGGCAGTGGGTTACGGTTTCATTGGTCGTTTGGAGGCCATAATTCGTGTCAAAGGTGACCAATTCGAACAAATCTAAACTTAATCTAAAATTTGATGCTATTTCCGACATTTTTTGCTTTCATTCAATCAAATTAAAAAAATGTAAAAAATATGGTGTTTGACTGTGTTGAAGTTTTTATTATCTCACCCTGTATCTTTAATCGATTTCAGGATTATTTTGCACCAAATGGCTAAGATCATCCCAAATGAACTGAATTTTGGCACTTCCGAAGGAATTCAGCCCAGAAGCAAGTACTTCAAAGATTGGTAGAATCGGTTCAGCTATAGCTTTAGCTCCCATATATATGTTTCATCCGATTTGATGTTAAAGTCCCTCACATGCGGAGTATGCACTCCACAACAATGACATTTGATACCGGATATCATATACAGCTCAAAAATACCTCTGTCAAATTTTATTGAGATCGGATCAGATTTGGATATAGCTCCCATATGTCAAAAATCCTGAATTGTGGTACATCCAACCGAATTCAGTCTAGAAGCAAGTACACCAAATTTGGTGAAATGTTTAAGTCCCTCTCATTCGTAATATCCATTCGACAACAATGATATTTGGTACCACATATCTAATAGAGATCGAAAATACTTCTGCCAAATTTTATCAATCGGTTCAGATATATCTTCAACCGATTTCGAGTTAATTGTGCACCAAATGACCAATATCTGTCCAAAAGTCCTGAAGTTTGTACATATGACCGAATTCAGTCTAGAAGTAGGTACATCAGGAAATCGGGTCAGATGTAGCTATAGCTCCCATATATATATTTCATCCGATTTTGTGTTTAAGTACCTCAAATTCGTAATATCCATTCGACAACAATGATATTCGGTATCAGATATCTTATAGAGCTCGGAAAAATCTTTGCCATCAAGATCAGCTAAGATTTGGTTATAGCTCCTAAATATTCTCAATTCGATTTCAGTTTTATTGTACAAATGCTGGCTAACATCAGCCCGGATTGAATGAATTTCGGGATGAATATAGTGAAAATCGATTCAGAATTGGATATGCCTTCCAAATATTAGTTCCCTCTGAAAACAAACTACTCTAAAGCCAAATGTTGATAGGTGGTTTGATCTACTTCAAATAAATTCTTTTGTAACGGGAGCTCTACTAAATATGCATAGTGCTGTAGGGTATCATATAGTCGGTCCCGCCCGACTTTTGACTTTTCCTTAATGGTTTTTACCTGTTAATATTATATTTGTAATAATTGACTAAATGCCAATTCCATTTCTTCTAACCACTGTCTTTATTTAATTTACCTAATTGAGTTATTGATTTGATAACAGATGATTATTGATTACATTGTTCAGATGATGGCAAACAAATGTTCAAAATCGTGACTTACATTGGCCTGTTGCGGCTAACATTCAATTAAATTGATGATGAATGTGTATTGCGATCGGTAGATGGTCGGATGGCTATGCAAATGTCTGTGTGTTCAACACTTTTCATTTTAATAATCTTGTTTGTTTTTGTTTTCTTTCTGTTTTCATCTATTTTCAGTTGTGTTGACTCAATTGAACTCTCTAATCGGCAGAAATCGTAATTAGACAACATCAACGGCAACGGCAATGGCAGCAACAACAACCATAACGGCAACCGAGGAATGCTCATTAGTAAAACTATAGCTCAATATTAAGTCTGGATTTGAGAAAAGATGATGGGAGAGAGAGAGAGGCAGAGAGAATGCGGCTGTCAAATAAGAGTCTTTTACTTTACATGATTAACATTTCATGTAATTTCTCTGGCCAGAGAAAAAAATGATATTTTTTGTTTTGAAAAACTTTCAGTTTGATCTTGGATTAAGTATGGAATTAAGAAGCAAAATAACAACAATAATACTGGCATTATAGGAGAGAAGGGGCTTTATTGAGGCATTCACTCATATACATATAAACATTGCTATTAAATGTAAATAATATGTTATTAACATAATTTAGTTGTATTAGATTATCTTGTGCTACTATTTCACCTTCTCGATGGCTCCCTCCCTCCTGCTCTTCATGGTGGATCAGATACAGATTAGAGTGCTAATGCCAATAATCGTATCGTATTGTTGTTGTTATTATGTTTGCTTATTTCCAGTTTAATGGTGTGGTCTGGTGTTGGAGGCACACGATTCTCTTTAGTTTTGAATTCCTACTGTGTATGTAGTTGTAGTTTTTTTTTTTTTAGTTTAAATAGTTAAATTTATATATTTTTAGATTTATAAGCGTACAGCAAAAAAACAACAACACTACTATTTATTTATGTCAATAAAATAACAACAAACAGACTAATTCTTTCCCTACATGGAGATCATCATCATCATCATCACCATGGAAATCACATTAATTAAGTAGTTTTTTTTTTTTTGGTTTAATATAATCGATTTTTAATTTGTTTATAGATAGTCAGTCAATCGTTGTTTCTTTTTATGTTTCGTTTGGAACAATACAAGACATTATAATTTTCAAATTAGTTTTAGGCCGTTCGATCTTATCAGAAGATTCCAGTCTCATTTGTTTTTTTGGCAAAAATGCATAATGTATGATTGGCGACGACGGTGGTGGCAGTGGCAGTGCGTGATTTTCATGAATACAAATCGTTATTTAATTAATGTTTATTGTATGGTGTCAATGATATTTTAAAAACGATATCCATTGACTGACCGCCCCTGGGCCACACAGATGCTGAAACGAAACTGTCATATATTTTAAAATTTTAATTGAAGGCATTGATGTTTGTTGTTCGAAGAAAGAAGAAGGAAGTATCTTGAGGGGGGAGGGGGCGTTTTGTTGAAAATATCAAGTCATTTTGAATTTTACATCTTTGGAAGTTGAATTCTTAATTAGCAAAAAATAAAGTAATTAAAAGGGGAGGTGATGTGGTGCAGAGTTGGGGAATTATACACATTATGTTTCTATCAAAGATTGACAGACTTTTATAAAGAAGACATTATATGAGAAAAACACAGCATGTCACAGATCTTTCATCCATAAAGTATAACACTTTTGGATTAGTGTTATACTTTATGGATGAAAGAGCTGTTACTGCTATATTATTTTTACAGAATGTCTTCATTATATTTAGGTATTTTATTGACACTTATGTTATATGGTAGCTCCGTTCTAGAATGTGTAAAACTCGACTCCTTTAACGATTTTAGCAATTTTTTAACAGAAGCATGTCCCTATACCTGAAAAACTACCAGAGTGCAGGCAAATTGAAGTGAAGATAAGCAAAAAATGTCAGCCAATCTCGCTCTATATAAAACGCTGATACTTGACATACCTGATTGACATGTTGATTTTCTTATTGGCTGATATATTTATTTTTGAAATTTTCTTCCCGCACTTTCTGGGCAAAATAGTTCTCTAAGAGCGAATTTAACATTTCTCTCTTTTACTACTTAGAAATTATTGGTCGGTTGCTATCAGATATATGGTTTGAAATGAGCAAAGTCTTGTCTAAATGAGAGATTCTGCTCAGAATATATGTTACTTGTGGCCAAAAGGACTGAACCAATATTGATCATTTTCGCTCTAGATATATGAGCAAAAGTATTGAGATTCATGAAGTTTGAAGAAAATTATCTACAAATTTCACACATGTGAGAGTTCTAATGTTCCGAAAAATACGGAAATGGCAGCCCATTTAGTTCAAAAATGAATGTAGGGTATCCAAACTACTATTCCAGAACATGGATCTACTTTTTTTGTTTTGTTGAACATATTCTTCTATTAAGATTTCAAAATAAGATTTTAGCTCAAAAAATAATCTAGGACCCCAAATAACCGAATTCGAATGGAGGAGATGTAAGAGACTCTATGAAAATCATTACAAAAGCATTTAAGAATGGATGGGTATCTAGACAAAATAAGCCATTTGAATGCCTCCAGGTTTCGTTACATGGTGGTTGTACTTATATTTTTTGAGAGGGGTAATCTAGTCACAAAGAACCCGAAACCTAAAACGATTTGGAAATTGAGACAAGAACTTTCAAAATATCAAAAAACCAAACCTATATTAAATATTTGTTGAGAGGAGATTAATAACCCATTGAAAACCCGAAAGGTCAAATTACAGCTGATTTGGTTGGAAAATCAAAAGGTACCGTTATATGGCGGCTATATGAAAAAGTCGACGTTAATTGATGTCGAGAAATTGAACTACGCACTGAGAGGAGAGTGTCACAATTTCCTATCTTAACCCGGTCTGATGCTATGACTTAACAACCCGTCATTTCTCTCGGGATCAAACCATCTCCCAATAATCGTCTGCATAAGCAGATCGTCCGACTTCATAACCTCTAAACGCCTCACTTCCCTTAACCACGTGAAAGCATAGTGGCCAGAATTCTGAGAGTTCACCAGTCTTCGCTTCAGAGAAATGCCCATGTTCGGCTAGAAGAAACGATTCTGGAACGGTGGGTAACGGATAAATCACTGTCGGTCATATCATAGGACCTCAGTCACCATTAACAACGTAACCACGGCTGATACGAAGAGTTACACTGAATATTTTAAGCGGCAATTTGTCGTGCACCTCGAGAACGATAGGGTGAAGCGGAGGGCACTATGTCGTACCAGATCACCTCCCTCTCCAGCATCAGAGCACCACAATCTCCATACCACAATATCCACACATATCAGTCAGGGATTTAATCGGAACAATCCATATTATAGAATGGTGTTGGTAGCTCCTACCTATCAAGGCCAAGGTTGAAGCGTTGAATAATCAACTATATATGCGGAAGCAAGTCCCCAAGGTGAAGTGATATCTTCGAAACATTCTGGAATTCCCAGCCCTCCAGACAGCTTAGACAGCGTTATGTATGCGGATAATTGAACGATCATGGCGTCGTGTCCTGGTGCTGACATATGCCTAAGGTTGAATACCCATTTCGTAGACCTTGCCGCATACTTCCACACGAGGAATATGAAAATGTCCGCCACTAAATCAACGGCCATACTCTTTACCACATGACTTGCAGAGATGAGAACAGAGATGGAGGTAATATAATTCCAACCTCGGACTACCCCAAGATTCTAGGGATACAATTTTACAGCATTTTCAAGCCGTGGCCGCCCAAGCCACAGTTGTCTGCGACAAAATGAAAAGTAGGAACAAGTTTCTCAAGGCGCGTGCTGGCAGCCCTTGGGGTGTGGAGGGAGACCATGTTGTGGACAGCTATGCGGTCCCAGTGTGGTCTTAGAATACGAGTGTTATGCAGTTGAAGAAAATCCACACCTGCCAGAATGCTATCCAGAGAACTGCGACAGGGTGCCCTCTCATGACACCTGTGGATCATATACATGAGCAGGCGAAGGCCCTTCCTGTACGACAGCATAACTATGTGATTTCGTTGCAGTACCTGGTTGGAATTTATCGTGGCAGTCGTTTGGATGATTTAGGTCCTAGGGAGGTCCAGTACTATAAGATAGATCTTCTCGATCAAAAAAAACCAATCAGGCAGGTCTGAGTGGCATTCATAACAATGCAATCACAGATGCCGTCACCCGTTACAGTATGAATGCCTTTCTCGGAGTCCACTCCCATCCATTGCAGCTGGAGAACGTTGGCTGCCTAGATAGACCAGGGTATATTTGGCGTAATTTAGTTGACGATGGTGCAGTCTCCTCAATCCGTATTGGTCGCGAATTGACGTAGATGTGCGAAACGTCAGCCCGTTGTGTGATGCAGGCCCTCACATTACTCTGTACCTCTTAATTGTCCTGCCAAACCTACTTCACTCACTCCAGAAGATCTTTGGTTACAGTCTGCGAAAATAGCCGAAATTTTGAATCTGAAGCCATTAAAACCACAACAACCAACTGAGAATCCAAAATATCAAATTTCAGCTGAATTAGACAGAATTTTTTAAATACCAAAAATTAGGAGGTACCTTTGTAAGATTGCTATCCTACAAATTGGGCTTGCTTTTATATTTTATGCGAAGAACTTCAAAAAAACTGGAAATGTTAGACTTTTTTGATTTTACTAATTTGTTTCGAAATTTAGGGACAAAACCTTCAAAATACCGATGTTATGGGTGCTATATAAAAAACGGGTATATATTGAATATTTATTGAAAATATTTTCTTCGTAACATTTTTCGTTTCGTTTTCATAGAACAAGGAATGAGCGCTAGAAATTTTGAAGATGTTTGAGCAATCCAGTTTGATGTGTGACCTGCCACCTTAACAACACAAAATCTATTTATTAAAGGCTTAGCGCGCCACTAAATCACCGAGTAGTGTCATGACACAATACATCATGTATTTTCTTTCAAACACAACTGACTGACTGTTTATTTATAAAATGTAATAAATTTCAAAACATTGCCAACATTGATCTCTTTCCAATTTTTAGCCAAGGGAAATTTTGTTTATTTCATTTTGGGTTTCAATTTGACCTTAGCTGTCAGCTCACCATTTGATGGCGATGACGACGGCAACGAGGAAAGCTGTTGACAGTCCGTATTTCTTGAATTTGACAAATGGCAACATTGTTCTGTCAAATGGGCGAGGTAGCAAACTAAACGATTTGCTCAACATCTGTATGTTTATTAATTTTTCTTTTAATCTCCATAATCCGGGCCAAAACCTTAGTCCATTTGGCCAATAACATAATATGAGTCATGCAATCAAACCCAAGACCGACCACCACTATGGAAAAGTGTGTTAATTTTTTTGCGAAAAACATAAATATAATTAATAGCTAAAGAGCCAATAATTTAAACATAAACGCCACTCAGCCATTAACCGCAAACGTCATGGTGAATAGGAGCCAAAAAAATACGAAGAAATTTATTACTTTTTTATTTCATGGAACTACTCCAATATCAGCAATCCATTTGCTTTTAAGAAAATAATTTAATTAATTGTTCGTCTGCCACTCGACTGCTATTGCCATAGCCACACCTGTTGCTGCTTTATTGCTTTGCTTCAGGAGTTAATTCAACAACAAGTTGAGATTTGCATTGCATTGGGGCGACATACAACCACACGCAGCCACTTGCCAGCCATATCTCGTGCACATTTTTTTTTTTGGTATGCACAGCAATGCCGATTTTCCACGCACATTCTCACTCACTCGCTCCACCTAAAGAGGAAGATTTTTCATCATTATGTCGCATTGTGTCACAAAGCGTTTTGCAACTAATCAACAGCTAGTCAACATTTTCTATGTGTTGTTGTTTGTCTTGTTGTTGTGTTTTGGGGAAGAATAACGTAAATGCTTAGCATTGGTCGGCTAGAATGTCAGTACTTGCTCTGGCATTAAATTGAGTGG